AGAACTCTTTTAAATATACAAGCCTTTTTTAATATATAAGTTATCTGTTGATTTTATAGTTGTAACATGCATCTCGTTCTGTGAAGCAGAGTACCATTTATGTTCATATCAAGGAAATGCTGGTAGTTTGGTTCTTTTTTGAAGAAATTCACTTTAAATTCAGTCTGGTGTGGGCTGGGCAAGCAGGTTTAATGAATGATGAGCCTTTCTTTCAGTTTTCATGTATCTAGAGAACATCTGCTGTTTTGACTTTGAGCTCATCTGATCTTCTAGTTGCCCCAGCCCGAATTTCATTTTGTCCGAAAGCAATGGTTCAAAAAATTCCAGCCCAATATTATTGGGATAGTCTAGGGTAGATCTGTGGCTTTCCGTTCACCACCAAGAAAATCTCCAACAAGATCTTTCAAATCCCACGTGGCGTAACAGCAACCTCAACATCTCTTGAAAAATCAACATGCGAATCCACATCCAATGCACCAACCAATAGACTGCTGCTGATGTGTACATTTCCTGATCCACAACATCTTCTCATTCATATAACCCCTCCCCTCTTCCAAGGCAACGTACACCGCAACAACATAAGTCTTAGCTAAAGCCTCAGTCATCACCATGGCAACCTCTGCTATCCAACAATCAGCCTTCGTTGGCCGGACCGCTTTGAAGCAATCCAATGAGCTCGTCCGGAAGGTCGGTGACTTCGGTCGCTTTCGCGTTTACATGCGCAGAACTGTGAAAAGTGCTCCCCCCAGCATCTGGTACATAACCTTTTTGTTGCTAATTCCTACTACATCCTAGTAGGCTCATTTTAAGCCAATATTTGGAAACTATTTGTTAATATACGTTTAAAGAGGAACCTTGAAAAGAGTCAAAACCTTGGTTGAACAATAGGAACATTTTTCATTTTGTTGCTTGCAAATCTAATTGTCCAAAACGATTTATAGAGAAAACTTACGAGCAGAAGCATTAGAGAGTGAACTATATTTCTGGTACATAATCTGATTGCTTGAGCTATAATTTGACAAAAAACAGGTATGGCCCTGACCGCCCAAAGTACTTGGGTCCATTCTCTGACCAAATCCCATCATACCTGACTGGTGAATTTCCCGGTGACTACGGGTGGGACACTGCTGGATTATCAGCTGACCCTGAGACATTTGCTAAGAACCGTGAGCTTGAGGTGATCCACTGCAGATGGGCTATGCTTGGTGCCCTTGGCTGTGTCTTCCCTGAAATTCTTGCAAGGAATGGTGTCAAGTTCGGAGAGGCAGTTTGGTTCAAGGCTGGATCTCAAATCTTTTCCGAAGGTGGCCTTGACTATCTTGGCAACCCAAACCTTATCCATGCCCAGAGCATTCTTGCAATCTGGGCCTGCCAAGTTGTGCTCATGGGATTTGTTGAAGGATACAGAGTTGGAGGTGGACCACTTGGTGAAGGCCTTGACCCAATTTACCCAGGTGGTGCTTTTGACCCACTTGGATTGGCTGATGATCCTGATGCCTTTGCAGAATTGAAGGTTAAGGAGATCAAGAATGGCCGCCTGGCAATGTTCTCCATGTTTGGATTCTACGTCCAGGCTATTGTCACAGGAAAGGGTCCCATTGAGAACCTTTACGACCACCTTGCTGATCCGGTAACCAACAATGCATGGGCTTATGCCACTAACTTTGTCCCTGGAAAATGAAAAACTTCCATAGATCATAGATATGTCTTGAAAGCTGTAACATTAATCGCTATGTGGCATCTGTTGAATATCTGTTGTTCAGAACTCCAGTACTGATGTAATTTCACTGCTTATCTTTGGAGCTATTGTATCATTAATGCCAGATCTTTTGTGCCTGAAATAGTTTCTTTCTTGAGATCATGCAACAAAACTTAACATGTCAGTGCACTGAATCATGTTTTCTGCAGTACTTAAACAACTATGGCATGTTTCCTTTCTGATAAAGTATGTAGATAGAGGAATTTTTACAATTCATTGAACATAATTTCAACTTCAGATGTTCCTAACTCTTCTCTTTTTGTCGGTCTTATCAAGAAACATATTCTATTCATTCTATAAACCCTCAAAAGTGATGGTGGACACAATACCATGAGGATCTTCCCACTCAGTCCTGTTGAAAAAAGCATTAATTTTTCAAATAAGTGTAATGGTTAGTCTAATTCAGTTATGTCATGGTCAGCTTCGGCTGATATAGGTATGGAAAGAAAGATGTAATACCGGCGGGTTTCCTTTCTCTTTCCTCCGTTAGCATTAATGGAGTCTGATCAGAAACATCAAACTCCAAAAATTATTCCTTCAGATCCTGTCTTTTTCCATAAACCAAAGTCAAAAATGAAATAAAATCAAAGTTAGTGAGTAGAAAACAGATAGAAGAAATAACATGTATCCAAACGTGCAAGTGAATGAACCATCTTCTCCTAAGCTAACTTGGTTTTCAAAGACAAGCCAACACTGCATCACCTAACCCTTTATTTATTCCCCACAAAGCTTCCATCCAAATGCTACTCCCCAACTCCATTTGGACTCTATCTCTCACGCTTATCCTCCCTTGATAAAGTCCTTTTGCCTACAAACCCACCAACCCAGCCCTCTCTAGACTAGCCTCAAATATCCTTCTTCTTGGATTTTGCAGCACAGCAGCCGATTCTCCTTCACATTACATCACCCAGAACCTGTTGGGCCCTGTACAAAATATCAGCGGTAGGCAGCTCGGTTTAGTCTAATAATTTCGGAAAAGTAAAATTCAACCCAAAGAATAAATAAGTAAAAACATCTATATAACCCTTAAAGCACCAACCATTTTCTCAAACAGCATCAAGCAATTGGCACCAAGGAAAAGGCTTTTCCTGTCATGGTTAAGCAAGGTGGTGATCCTACTATGGTTAGTTCCTCGATTGCCCTTTTGCAAGAAAGGTTTAGACAGCTGCAGAGGGTTAGAGAAAAGAGAGAGGAGAAAGAGCTTCTGAAACTAGTCTCTGAATCGGAACGTGCCAGCCCCACCATGCGCTATGAGCCTAACAGATTGCCCTTCCAACCTGAGGTGATTCGACCTTATAGGCAACCCCCTCAGGATTCACTCTCTCTTGGATTAAACTCACAAAGCAGGCAAACCAATTTCAGAGCTATGGCAATCCCAGAATCAACAAGCTTATGGCCTAACAGTGCAGCCACTTCAAGGACATCTAAACATTTTGACAATTCTGATGTTGATACTTCTCTTCATCTGTAGACAAATCTTACTCTTTTATATGTCTTTCCTCTCTTTCTTTTTTTTGGTCTATATAAGAATGGAAGAGTAATAACACTTTATATGTACTGATAATATACATTGCTGGCTACATCGTCAGATTGTTCATGGAATCAGAAAGGCTGCATTCTGCTCTATCTTAACTATTGTAATTTCTTTCATTTTTTCCTCACTTGGATGGATTCTGATCAAATCTCCATATTCGTATCTTTTTTCGTCTGTCATTCATTGATCATCAAGAATTAACTGATGCTCAATCCACGAGCAGCTGGAATATTAAAAAAAAAAAAGCCAGTTATCAGTTAATATGAAAAAGATCTCAAATTCTCAACTCAATCCATAGTTTCCCATAATAGACTTGTTCACTTTATGGTGCTGCTTCAATGCAAAAACCACAGATTCAAATTCAAGAAATCAAAGCAATCAATGGAAACTGCTGAATTTTTTTTTTTTCCTTTTTGCTCCTTAGGCCATATTTGAATCCAAATTGAGCCACAGCACGATCCGATTGGATGCCATGGGTGTGGTACGGTGAGAAGATATTTTCATTTTCCATAGGAAGATGTTTGGTTATACTATATTTGTCGAGCTTGCTTGTAGTTTATGGTATTGTTTGATGGTATCCGTTTGTGTTTTTTCGCTGCTTGTTATGTTGCATGATGCTGTTGCTTCTGACTTGTAATGCGATACCAGCGATCTTCTTCTATGTTGCTTTTTTCTTGTTTGAATGTTGTTCTACATTGGAACGTACATGAATCTTTGATGCATACTTTTGTGGTATAAAAATAAAGTTGTTTTGTCGCTAGAACTTTTACATGGAATGAAGCATTGACCTTCCCCTCCACTTTTGTATCTTTGCAAGTGTTTGTTTCTTTGATTGATAAACAAGAGATACCCATTTGGTAGACAGCTTAATTTAAGGCTTCCCGTCACGAGACTAGGGTCGTAATGGTTTTGGATCAATTCGATTTGTTTTTTTTTTTTTAATATTTTATAATATTATAAAATTTTAAGATCTAATCTAAATTTGAATTGATTTTTCATAAAATTTGATTTGAATCAAATTGAATTTTATTGGTTTAATTTGATTTATTGATTTTTAAATTTTTATTTTTAAATATTATTTTAATGTAAATTTTAATATATTTAAATAAATTTTGATATAAAATTTTATAAAAATTTAAAAAATATATAATTAGGTTTGATTTTTTTTTCAATTTTTCACTTTTCAATTTAAAATATGATATGAACCTAATATATGCATATAATATCTGAATTTAATACGAATCAAATAAAAAAAATCGATTCAAACTAAATCGGATATTATAATTTTAAATCAATTTATTTTTTTTTTTTGTTTTTTTCTCTCCTCTACACTAAACATGTTCACAAACTAAATTATTCATCCTATTCACGAGCTTGATTTCATTCAGATTGAGTTTTGAACATAAATTATAGAATTTGGATCTATTTGGGTTAAAATTTTATTTTATTTTATTAATAAAATTTAATTTTTATTTTAAAATATATTTGAAAATAATAATTAACTTATGTCAATATTGTCATTTTTTATTATCAAGTTTCAACCCAAGAATCTCCACATAAAATTGAGGGGCACAAGCTAGAGATCAGATTAGTCTATTCGACCTGAAATTCATTGTTATACGAATTATTAGACGTAGCACCTTTTAACATTTTCAAGATATTAATCGATTGAATTAGAGGTATCTTTTTTTTAATTTCATTTGGACCATTTTCTATTATTAATAGGCACCCAAAACTTATCAAAATTACATCTTTATCCCAAAACGGCATTGCTGTTGCATATCCAGGAAACAACGCGAGCCTTTAAAAAAGAAAGGAATAAATAAAAAATCTCCATTTGCTGGAAGGACTCTTTGACTGATTAATCTCTCCTTCTCAAGTCTCCTCCGATCGGACCTTTCGATCCAATCTTCGTTAAAGGTATAGCCTTTGCTTCAATTATACTATATCAGTTTTAGGGTTTTCTCTCATGATTTTACTTTCATTTTGAGTTCTCGAAGTTGTTGATTAGCGATGTGCTGGTTTCTGGTTTTAGGTTTCTCGATTAGGTAAGCTTTTCTTAGTTCGTCGAATTTCGAATTGGGGTTGTTTTGCTAGGGTTTGACTCAGATTAGGGTTTTGACCCATCTATATCATAGAGTTTACGGTACGAGATCAGAAGAATTGTTGCTCAAAGAGAACGAATTTTGGGCGGTTTTGAAAAGCCATGGGCGCTTGGTTGTTGACATAAATTTGGAATTTTGGATTTAACTTTTTGGTCAATTGAGTTGGGATCACGGAGTGAATATTGATTAAAACCTGCCCAAAAGTGTTTTTGGGCTTCAAAGGATTAAGACTAGGTAATTGGTTATCTATAATATGGGCTGTTTCAAATGTGTTTTTAGCGCTGAAATGTATGATCTTAGTTTTATATGGAACAATTATTTTGGAATAGTATTACTTATTTTGGAATAGTTTTATAATCAGTTATTTGTTGTCGATAATTATGCTTTTTTTTTTACTATTATCTTTTAATTTTTAACAACTTTTGAAGAAGTAAAAAATCAGATAGAAAAAAATCAAGCAGCAGTTAAGGTGGAACCCTAGTAGAAAAAAGCTTAAATTTATAGTATTATGTTTTCTAAGTTGTGCTGGATGATGACTCAGAGGAGTTGCTTTCATTTACAGATTAATCAAGATTTTATTGATGGGAACATCATCTGGTTCTAATATTAACCAGCAGCATTTGTCGAAGATGTTGCCTCCGCGTCAACAACCATGGTCGGGGAGCTTACAAACATCGTTGTCATTAGTCTCCTCAGATCCTCATTTGTCACCTGATGCCCAAGAACCCAGAACAAACTCAGATAATGTTCATGAGTCTCCTACTGAGAGTGCTAGCTCACGAGAGACTTGGCCTATTGCTGATGCAGTTGCAGCAAAGAAAATGGAAAATGGGAAAACTGAAAATGATTGCCCTGAGCAGTCTGTCATTCGTTGTATTTCTAGTGCTGATAAGATAACTCTTCGAGACATTGCAAGAGAAAGAGTCGATGTTATCTCTGAAAAGATGCATCACCTACCTGATGAGTTTCTAGATGAGCTAAAGAATCAACTCAAAGTAATCCTAGAAGGCAATGGTGGTTCACAAAACAGGGAGGAGTTTTTAATTCTGCAGAAGTTTGTTCAAAGTAGATCTGATTTAACTGCAAAGACATTGATTAGAGCACACCGGGTACAGCTTGAAATCCTTGTTGCAATAAATATGGGAATTCAGGCATTCTTGCATCCAAACATCAGTCTATCCCAAACTTCTCTCATTGAGGTTTTTGTGTACAAGAGATGCAGAAATATAGCATGCCAAAACCAGCTACCTGCAGATGACTGCACCTGTGAAATATGTTCCAATAGGAATGGTTTTTGCAATCTTTGTATGTGTGTTATTTGCAACAAGTTCGATTTTGAAGTAAATACCTGCCGCTGGATAGGTTGTGATTTGTGCTCCCATTGGACTCATACTGATTGTGCTATTCGTGATGGGCAAATTTGTATGGGTCCTTCTGTTATAAGTGGAGCAGGTCCTACTGAAATGCTTTTCAGGTGCCGAGCTTGCAAGCGAACATCTGAACTGTTAGATTGGGTTAAAGATGTCTTCCAGCATTGTGCTCTGGCATGGGATAGGGAAGCTCTTATGAGAGAACTTGATTTTGTTAGCAGGATTTTTTGTGGAAGTGATGACCTTAGAGGGAAGAAACTCTTACAGAAGTGTGAGGATCTTTTAGAAACAATGAGGGGTGGACTAGCAGAGTCCGCAGCTTGCAGATCGATATTAATTTTTTTCCAAGGTACAATGTGTGGCAGTTATTTAATTATCTTGCAAAATATCATGTGAAATTTTTTGTTATCTGGTGAAAAATGTATGGGAGATGAAAAATACCAGTTAGTTATGGGGAAGACTAAAGAAGGTAGAGATCGAGACTTCATTCGTGGATTTCCAATTTTAGGTTTATTTTAAAACCCCAAAGGCTTTAGCATCCACAATTGCTTCACACAATCATAAGAAGAGCATAATAGCACCTAAAATACATGTAAATGTTCTCTTTGTTAATTAAAAGAAGTGACAATTCTTGTACAGAGGCTTCTACTATTAGTTGAAGGAATTGGACTCAGAAATTGAAAGTACAAAGAGCTAATCCCTAAGAATTGTTAGACTGGGAAATTAAAAAGACTCAAAAGTCTGCAATTTTCAGTAAATCTAGAAATTGACTAGGGTCCTAACTCCTAAATCAGTACGATATAGTAAAGAAAGATCATAAGTTTCAGATATTCATAACATTTGATCTTGACTCTTCTTTAACAATTTTGTTCTCTGAATCAAGAATTTTGTGTTGCATGAAAGTTCTACTTTGTTTTGATAAATCATTGTTACTCTGTCATGTAGAGCTTGATATGGATTCTCCAACAAGCATGGAAAATGGGGAAAGTGGGCGGTTGATAGCACCACAAGAGGCATGCAATCGAATTGCAGATGTAGTGCAGGAGGCCGTAAGGAAGATGGAAATGGTGGCTAATGAGAAGATGAGAATGTTCAAGAAAGCTCGCTTGTCACTTGAAGCCTGTGAGCAGGAGCTTAAGGACAAGGCCAAGGAAGTAGCAGAACTAAAGCTGGAGAGACAAAAAAAGAAGCAGCAGATAGAAGAGCTGGAAAGCATTGTAAGGCTTAAACAGGCAGAGGCTGATATGTTCCAGCTTAAGGCGCATGAGGCAAAACGAGAGGCTGAGAAGCTTCAAAGAATTGCTCTTGCGAAGTCAGATAAATCAGAGGAAGAGTATGCTAGCAGTTACCTGAAACTTCGTCTAAGTGAGGCAGAGGCTGAAAAGCAGTATTTGTTTGAAAAGATAAAGCTGCAGGAGAGCTCACGTGCATCACAGAGCAATAGTGGAGGCGATCCTTCACAGGTTTTGATGTATTCCAAAATCCATGATCTGCTCCGTGGATACAACATCCCTTCTAAGACAGAATCCCATCCAAATGAGCGCCACAGTTTTAGATCGAATCCCTAAGGAATTCTGAGTATGTTATTTATTGAAGTAAGCTGTCTAAGGAATTATGTTGCTTTGTTGTTAAACTGGTGTGTAAGGATTTGCAACTTTAATTTTATCCATGAACCTTCAATCAATGTCAATTAATTTGCTACCCTGTAAAAGTAATTAGGAGGTATAAATCTGGGTTTCTTTTTTTTTTTAAGCTTTTGTAGCGTATCAAGATGAGACTAGTATCATAATATTTTGTCCTTACGGATGAACTTACTCTTCCGTGGTTTTATGTGCAATGAGAATGCTCCGGATTCTGTAGTTGCAATTTTGAACTTACCTGGCTTGCATGTGCATGATTATACAATTTCCAAGATCATTTACATCACAGCACTGCACTTTACATTGGTGTTCAGTAGTGCAGTGGAAACGATCCGTTTCAAGTGAATTATAGTTAATATTTTTTGCCTCGTCATCATCTGGTTTCAGAGAACTCCGGAGCTCTTTTGCAGGGAGATTGATGGGTAAGGTTCCTGAGAGAGACACAACCCTGTCAAAGGTGATGGCTTTGCCGATTCCATGACAGCTTTTCAGAGAGGTTACATTCCATCTGTACCCATGATTAATTCCTGCATTGGTTCACCATCATATCTTGTCTTTCATCGTGGGTTATTGCCTGGGATGTTTGATGGTACCATTACAGTATTGAAAAATGGAAGCGGTTGAAATGAAGCACTGTCGAAATTAGGTGACAGAAAATCAAATCTCAGAAATGATCTCAACCGATTGCAACTAGAGGCAGTTCATCGTCTATCAGCTTCAGACTTCATACTTTTAGCAAGTTTGTGGATGCCATTCAAGAGCTCGAGGAGGATAATAAATTCAAGGTAAAACCATAGTCTTTATGTTATATAATAATAATCCGAATGAAGCCTATTTGTAGTATTTGTTAAACAATAAAATTGAGGCCCAAGCACACAATTAGCCAACTCATGGTCATCACCTATGTTATGTCATTGGCCTACACCCAGATATTGGAACCAAAAAAAATTAAAAGATAGTAAACCAGACAAATTAGTAGAAATAAGTACCTAGGACTTTCTTCTATGAAATTTTGAGCTAGAATAAGAAAATTAGACATAATACTATAATACTGTCAGGTAATGTTTGATATTATTTTCAACATCAATTAACAAAGACAGTCAATTAGACCACGTTAATTTAATTTTAAGTTAACTTATATTCTTAATGATGACTTAAAATCAAATATCTTCATCAACAACCTTATGATCTATTAATAGAATATTAAATTTTTAATTTTAATAATCAAATTCAAACCTTGACAATCTAAAGTCTTCTTCAATAAAGAACCCAGACTTGTAGAGTTGGCCAAGATGGTTTCAATGTTGAATAATTTGTCTGAAGTCTTGTCGAGTGTTTTGCAGTTTTAGCAGGCTTGACAGTTGACATTACAGATTTCTTGTTTAGGTCAAGTAATTCTGGGAATTTATTTTGTTTATTTAATTATTTATTTTTGGATGTTTTACAATTAGTCTGAAACTGAGATGGAATGTGCCTTTCTGAACTTTTTCCTACATCTTTCCTCTAACATTGCTGTGAAGAAGTCTTGGTCAATCACTCAATTATTTTTACTATGACATACAATTCTTCTTCAACCATTGACAACAACATTTTAGAAAATTATAAATTTTTTTTTGGAATATGGAAAATTTTGAAGCCACAGATCATATATATATATATATATATAGTGATAAACGGGTCACTTTAAAATTATAAGGATTGAGTATGCTAACAAAAGAGATTGCAACGTGTCCGATTAGGCGGGTTTTTCTTGTCTCAAATCTGACTTAATTTTATATCTTTAATATTAAATTTTAATTTGATCCAATTTTTCATTTTATTTTTATATTTGCATACGAACTTGATTCAATTTTATATAAAATCATAATTAATTCAATCCGAAATTAATAAGATATTTTTTAATATAAAATCTTATTTTTATATAAATTATTATTTTTAAATATAAACATAAAATTATATATATATGTAATTAAATAAATAATAAAAAAATATTTTTTAAATATATACTCTGTTGGGTTAGGATGAATTTACCTAAAATTTGATCCTAACTCAGATCCTAATTTTTTTTTTTATCTAAAACCTTATTTAACTCGAAATCCAATTAAAAAAAATGATCTTATAAGATTATATCAAAACCCAACAAATACAGATTAAATTATTAATCCTAACTAACAATGGCTTGATTTATTTCTATGAAAGAGAATCCAAGATGATAAACTTTGTATCTCGTTTTTTAATTTGAGAATAAAAAAAAATTATAAATACTAAAATTTGAATTTCAAACATATAAGATATTATCTTTTAAAAATAGTTATATGAATTAGTTGTATTAAATTTCGAGTTTATTAATTGATACGTAAATAATTATAATTAAATAAAAAAGTAAAAATCTAAAGCATGCATGAAGTTGAAGAGTGAGTTCCAAGGACTAGAGACACCAAAATGTTAGAAAGGACCCACGTGAGACCCAAAATGGAAAACAAAATGGGGTTGCTGAACTCAATTGGAGGCCATAGCATTAGGATTACTGCAAAGCTTTTTCATCTTGGGAAGGTGAAGACAAAACATGCAGATGCAAAAAGGTAGAAGAATGGAGGAGTCCATCTCCTAAAAGCTCGAGCATATATATATGGTCGGCAAATGACAGGGAAGAAGCTAGGCAAGGAAAATCAAGCTTAATCATGCTTCTTGCTTGTTGGCAACCAACTTTCAGAGACATCAAAGTTTAAATACTTTTAACTTATTAGTCTTAATGCATGTGCATGCATGCATGCTAGGAAATTTTTATATGGACCCAATGTTGGAATCATTCTTTTTTTGGGTTTAGGACTTTAGGGAACATCTGGGGTTTGATTTGTTCATTTATTTTTCTTTTTTTTTATTCTTTTATTATTCTTATGGTTATTTTAACGTGCAAATTGAATAACTTTTTCCGACATCACAACATTTAAAAATCTCGAAAATCTTTTATTGTGTAATTCAAAATACTTATACGTCAAAAGCAAAATGAATGACCATTTTTTTTTCAGTATGTATTAATTTTGAATTTTTGCTAATTAGCCAACCTACTTTATATCAGAAAATATATGATTTTGTTCCCAAAATGTTTTCCACACGCATGCACATATTTTGGATTTTTGTAGGTATCCAATTGTATCAACATCACATGTAAAGATTTTATGTTCTTGGTTGCATTTATATCAAAAGACAAAGGCCGGGATTTTTTTGGTTCATTAACTAATTTATTAGAGTTACTTTGACCACCTGATTTAGGGTTCTTATTAAATTTATTAACTTTTTTTATGGATAAATCTTAGTTATAAAAAGAAGAGATCAACTTGAAACTCCCTCTCAATAGCATATTTCTATTTATATTTCCAAGGGTATTACTATTAAATGTCCAAGGAGCACTATGTCTCCTTCGAAATCATAAAATTGGATTATTAATTGATGACAAGCATTTCCATTTTGACTGTGAAGTTTTTTTTTTAAACATGCAAGAGTTTCCTTTCTTGCTTTTTGTTGATAGCGTTTTTGGTGGAATTTATCTAGTAGGTAAGCTGGAAGGTGAGTTAGGTTGGTCCGGATCTACAGTAAAGAAAGCACAATTCAAGAGCGTCAAAATTTGTTATTCGGAATGTGCTTTAACGCTCTAGTCGAGTAGGTATATTAGAGTTTTGGGAAGATGAAGATGAGTTGCAGAGAAAACTTGAGAGAAAGAGACTTAGAATGAATGTTCCTAAACCTCCTATTGACGGGAGCATGGAGTAGCGATAAGATTAAAGTAGGTGATAGTTAATGAAAATTTTATGTGAAGCTTGATAAGAATCCAAGTAAATTAGCGTGGATTGCAAGCAAGTGGTTGAGAAGTTTGATTTTGTTTGATGATATTGATGTGACGTTAGATCTTTTATGGGTGAGAATTCATGGATGATAAAGTTTTGTTAGGCGAGCAACTCAAGGGCAAGCTTATACAATGACGAGGAATTTGGATGCCGATTTTTTTTAATGGTGACGTGGCAGTCTGTATATTAACTTGACAAATATAGAAATTGATTTTGTTAATTGGATGATTGGGTGTTATACTTCTAACTCTCCACTTTAAACTAACCTTTTTTAGCTTAAAGTTTCCTTATATTGCATTAATTTTATTTTTTTTAATTTATTTTAGATATAATTTTAACTTCTAATGCGGAGCGTAATTGAAACATTTTCATAACATTAAAAATTATATTTCATGATTGAATTTTTAAAATTTTAAGATTTAATTTAATTAATTTATATAATTATTCATTAAAAGTAATATTTAGTAAATTTAAATTTAAATTTTTAATAGTTGCAATTCTTTTTTATTCTCAAAATATGATTTTTTTTATAAAAATTTAAAAAATATAATTTTCAATAAGGTGAGAATGCTCCACCTTGCTCTTAAATGAGAAAAAAACTTATATGAAGTTTTATAAGTGGAGTTCGTGAAGTTTTTTTTTAAATAAATAAATAAAAAGTAAAATTTAAAAATCAAAATTGATAAATTAAATAATTTCATCGCATAAATCAAACGTGTAAAATTTTAAAAAAATTGATATATTTATTAAATAAATATTTTTAATAAAAATATTAACAAAATTTTTATTATTAAATAAGTATTAATCAAATTTGAATTATAAACAATATTTTAAATAAATTTTTATATATTATTGATTTTCACATTGAACTCTATTAATTTATCAGTTCAAATTTTTTATTAAAATTTTTATTTATTTCATTTTAATAAAAAACTTCACAAACTTCACTTATAAAACTTCATCCTTAAATAATGCTTAATATCAATAATAATTATTATATTAATCCATGCAACTAAAAGAGAAAAGTAAAATAAAATAAACCTAATTAAAGATGATAATTTAGCTTAAATATAGTCATCATTGCTCGCTTGATATATCTAATCTCATATCAAGACTCATAGTATCCTCCAAACAAGGAATCAAATCATGATGTGGCAATAGATTTTGTCGGTCACTTTAAGATCGACATAAAGCAATATTAATTATTAATATTTGTTGATCCGAATGATTAAAGAATTTAATTTTTTTAAAAATAAATTTAAAATTTTATGAATAAATGACATAATCGTTATGAAAGTTTATTTTCTTATAAGATATAATTCGATTTAATTTTAAATTAATCAAAATTTAAAATAATTAAAATTCTCATAAAAAAAAAAAAAAGCACGTTAACTTAAAGCTCTCCCTTTCTCTAATGTATGGGACAAGCATCAACAAAGGGAAAATTCCAAAAAAAGGGCATCCAGAAAGAGTGATGGAGATAAGAGTTGTGGGCCATTGGGACACTAACTTTGATCCAAAACATGTTTTAACTTTGGAGTCACTTAGGGTTATTACACCTACGTTGGATTATTACACCTATGTTGGATTATCTTTATGTTGTTCCAAAGGAACGATGAATATCGTCTGCTTCACGTAGAATACTATTATTAATTTATTTAATTATTAAATGTCGATTTCGATGAAAAGTTATAAAATTATTTTTATTTTGATTTTTTTTACCTAAAATAATTTGACATTTTCTTTGATTGTTAGTTTCGAAGGAAAGGGTTGGTCAAGTCTTCAATAGACTTGACTCTATGTTCAATTCTAGAAATTTGGTTTGGGAGGGAACCCTGACCAAATTATTAGAATTTAAGAACTTGATATGACTCGTTCTAGTCCACTTAAAACTGTAATATGTTTTTAATAAATAATCAATTTAATAATTTAAAATATAATATAAATATGATATAAAAATAAAATAAGAATATGATATAATTTAAAATTTTAATAATAATTAATATAAATTTAATAAAATTAAAAATATATTTTATATTTTCGTATCAATATAAATTATGTTACGTAATTTTCATGTAAAATATAATACAAATATATAAATTTTAATATTTTATATAATATAAATATATAAATCATCAAATCTATCAAATAATAAATTACAAAAACTTACGCATGAAAATGAAAATAAAAATAAAATATCAAATGGTAAGATTGTAATTGATTAGAAGTATAAACAAATATATTATTTAATTAACAATTTGTAAATAAATTTGATTTTTATTTGTTTATATTTATTTATTAAATTTAATAAAAATTATAAGTAATATTTAAAAATTTGTTAAATAAATGAATAAATTATAAATATAAAAAATTTTATTTATATTCAATTTATTATATCTTAAATTTTAAATTATTTTTTAAAATTCTTAAATAAATTTTAATTTTAGTATTTAAAATTTTCTTTTATAAAAAAATTAAGTTTGAACTTTAAAGCATGTTTGCTGAATTGGAAGGCACTACTTTGACACCTTATCTATCGCTTTAAGTTTTGCTTTGCCTCCCTGTCCCTCAGCCGTGTGGGTCCTTTTCCGTCCCTAGGTCCAACCTATTTGTTTATTTCCAATATTACCCTTCCAATTCCATACCCCATATTTTCAAACTCAAACGTGTCCACTAATTTAGTTGATCGTTGAATTTCCTTTGCATTGTTTTGGAAAAAAAAAACTTGTATAATAGACATTATATATAATTAATTTAATAAACAAATAAAAAAATGTACGTTGAAAAGATATCTCAATTTATATATTTTTTCTTAATATTTCAATTAAAAGATTTTTATTTGAATTTTAAGAGAGAATAATAAGATTTTTGAAAAAAAAAAAAAAAGCTTTTAGGTTTTTGTGTAATTTGAGTTTAATAAATTTTCGCATATAAAAAAGGAAAGTATAGTGTGTACTAAGAGAAATTTTAATATAAATTAAAGATGATAATAGGTCAAGATGAGGTGAAATTTTGCTCGATTCTATCTCATATAATATTTTTATTAAGTTAATATTTTAAATTAAAGTATTACATAATAATTTTATTAATATAATATATATAATTAAATAAATAATAAAAAATATTTTAATTTATATATTATATCAAAATAAAACAAATTTATCTAAATCTAACCACATCGTACTTTATCTTTTCTTAAAGAAAAATTTTATAAAATCGATTCGAATAAGAATATGACAAATTTAAATATATTTACCAACCTTAATATAAATTGAAATAATCTGAGTAACTAATATTGTTAATGAATTTAAAATTTAAATTAATTTTTTTATATAATTATTTTTAAAAATGATCATTCAATAAATTTATAATTTAAATCTTAATGTTTATAATTTTTTTATTTTATTTTTAAATCGTGACATTCCTTTAAAAAAATAAAATGATAAAAAAATTAGTTTCTTTCCCTTTCAAAAACGGTCCCAAGGCAAATGGACTCAAATACCTAAGTTACAGTAAAGATTGAAAGCCACGTCAATAAGTAGAATAGTCTTTGTTTCCCTCGTTTGGGTCATACGGTTCAATACCGACGGGTCAAATGGTTAAACTGTTGTGAGAATTCCACAAACAACGAGTCAATGTTGTAAAGACCAAAGAATGCACTTGTTTTTTTTTTTTTTTTTCCCTTTAATTTCTTTTCCCCTACAATTTATCTAGAAAACCAAATTTCGATCAAGAAAGACTAGTATCATGTGTCAAGTAGTCATTGCTTTATTGAAACATTAGTGCTACATATCTCAATAAATCAATTTTACGAAAAAAATAATAATCATGTGACACATATAATATTTAAATATTTTTATAAAATAATATTAAAAATAATAAAAAATTATCGAATACATTAAAAATAAAATTTTATTAAAAATAAAATTTTTTAATCTTATAAATGATATTAACAAAATGCGACATTAATTTTTAAATCAAGTAATTAAATGGGATAAAAATAAGCATCAAAGTAGGATGTTAATTTTATCCTTATTTCAATGAAAAACACAACATTTTATTCGAATGAGAATGAAAATAGATATTATATTATAGGTACGAAAAAATTGATGGATATAATTTTAAATTTTTATAAAGTTCGAAAATGAAAACAGATAATATAATACTTATTTGTTTTCCATATTCATACCCATACTCTACATATATTAATTTTTATATAAGATATAGATATTGGGATGATAAAATAAAAATCAAAAAAAAAAAAAAATGATCTACCCTAGTCATTAACATCTCTACACCCAAATCTAAAGCTGAGAAAGCAAATTTTTTCAAACTACTTAAAAAACCAAACTTAACCACCCTAAAAAAATTTAGTATAAATATTGGTGGAAAAGAAAAGATAATAGCAAGCAATTAATATGATGTTGGTAAGCTGGAATGTGAGCTAGGTTGGTCCAGATCTACAGTAAAGAAAGCACAGTTAAAGAGCGTCAAAATTTGTTCTCTAGGATGTGCTTTAACGCTCTAGTCAAGTAGGTGTATTAGAGTTTTAGAAAGATGAAGATGAGTTGCAGAGAACTTAAGAGAGAAAGACTTAGAATGAATGTTCCTAAACCTCTTGTTTACGTTTATAGGGAGTGTAGAGCAGTAACAAGACCAGAATAGATGACAGTTAATAAAAATTTTACGTGGAGCTTGAAGAGAGTCCATATAAATTAGTGTGGATTACAGTTAATGTTCCTAAGCAAATGATTGACAAGTTTGATTTTTGTGAGGTGACATTGATGTAACTTTAGGTCTCTTATGGTTGAAGAAGTAAAGGATGAGGAAGTTCTAATAGGCGAGCAACTCGAGGGCAAGCCCATACTATGGCGAGGGATTTAGGTATTGATTTTCCTTAACGGTGATATAACAGTCGAGTATACATTGATTTGACGAACATAGAGGTTGATCTTGTTAACTAGATGATTAGGTGTAACACTTCTAACTCTTCACTTAAATTTTTTTTTTTTACTTAAAGTTTTTTTATATTGCATTAATTTTAAAGTTTTTTTAATTTATTTTAGACATGATTCTACCTTCTAATGAGGAGCATAGTTGAAGTATTTTTATAGCATCAAAAATTGTATTTTATGATTGGATTTTAAAAATTTGATGTTTAATTTAATTAATTTATATAATTATTCATTAAAAGTAATATTTAATAAATTTTAATTTTAATTTTCAGCACTTGTAATTTTGTTATTCTCAAATTACATTTTTTTATAAAAATTTAAAAAATGTAATTGTCAGTGTAGTTGGAATGCTCCACCTTGCTTTTAAATAAAGCTTAATTTCACTAATAATTATTATATTAACTCATGCAAATAAAAAAGAAAAGTAAAATAAAATAAACCTAATTAATAATAATATTTAGCTTAAATGTAAACATTATTGTATAATAATTATTATATATTTAAATTTTTATAAGATATAAATATTAAAATAGATATAATATAAAAATTTAAAGATATAAAAAATATTTTATCCTAATTATTAACATCCCTACACCAAAAAGTAAGATGAGGAAGCAATTGAGCACATGTGTATATAGCAAGGGCTTTTTGGTCATTTAAGCAAGTCAATGATAGGACAAGTGACTTGCAAGACAACTCAGAATGTTTTTTTTTAAATTATTATTTATGGTAATTCTGTAGTTTTGGTGTAATCAATGGGCATTTTATTAAGTCATCAGATTTTAATTACGACTGCACATGTTGTTCTTTAAAAAATTTCTTGGCTTCTTTCTCTCTCACTTTCTATCCAAACTCAAAAGGCTCTGTTTTTCTGAAGTTAAATTTCAATCAAGCTGGAGATTCTTTAGAATTGGGTATGTTAAAACCATTCCTTTGATGTTGGAAGTGAATTTATTCCTCAAATTGAATTTAAGTTGGTTCTTCTCTTCTTGATTGCCTTTTTTTTTTTTGAGGGGTTCTTGGAATTCTGGTCTTTTGTTGGTTTATTTTTCTTTTAGTGAGTAAACCTGTTGTTGGTTTCTTTATTGAGGGGAAAGGTGAATCTTTTGGTGAATGAATGAGTTTACTGAAAGTGGGTTGGTGATGGATCAGCTAAAAGTAGGATGGTTTTCACATATTTCTAGTTTTGGTTGTTTTTTACTCAAGAATCTACTCTTTAAGATGTTGAAAAAGTTTTGGTTTTCATTTTTTTACCTTGAAATGGCTCTCATTGAGAGTTCCAGTGCCTACTTTCTATGTTTGTGGATGATGCTTGATTCTCTAATCCCTTTCCAAGGAGGAATTGATTTAGTTCCTATCTGGGTTGTTCATAAAAACTATATTTTTTTTTAGTTCTAAAAATTCAAGCTCCTTCACCTCTGCAAGAACATGATGTCTAATGAGTAATGATCCAGTGCTGGAAACGTGTTTTATTGATTTATGACGTACAAAACATGTCAAACTCAGATATGAAAGGGAATGCCTAGTTATAAGTTGAAGTTTTGATTGCAGTAAAAGTCTTTTATAGGTAGACTGGAACTGAAATTTTAGTTTTCATGGTTGATTTTTGTCTCCTTCTGCATCTAAGATGTGTTGCATAGGGAAGGTCCCTCAGGCATCAACTTGAAAAAAAATGTAGCAGGTAGAGTAGGTTGGGGTATTCAATTTTGATGTGTATCCTTCTTGTTAAAGGTCTAGGAACCTATTGTTGAAGTGGTGTTGAGTAATGATATCGCATCTCGTATTTTTATCAATCCCTTCAATGAGGTAGTGTTTCTTCATTTCTTGATATAGGTTTTAAGATGTCAAAATTGCATCTCCATTTGGCAAATCCCTGGGGGAAAAAGGAGATGATTTATGAAGCAGTATCTATAACGCTGTGTGATTGTGAAAGGCTGCATAGAAATGCATCATTATTATTTTCAATACTTTTAGTTTGCGAACCTTACTGGTGATGAAGTCTTAATTGCTTAACCTAGGAAGCAAGTGTCCCGATTTTGAGTTGAATAAAGTCTTTAACAAAATTTGTTTATTTGATTTTGAGGCAAATAGAAGAGAAAGCAAAGGTTTGTTTTGCTTTTTTTTTTTTTTATATTGAACACTTCTTTTCTCCTCTTTAAATTTACATGAAGAGGAAAAGGAAGAAAAAGATTTTTTATATGTTAAATTATAGCATCCAGTGTCAATCTTTTTTCTTTTGTTATCCGTATGCACTGAGACATTCTGAATATTTATGAATCTCAGTGTTTCCATCCCCACTGAGCAAAAAATATTTTTTTTGACGGTGAATATCATTGTGATCTGCATAATGAATCTGGAACTTCTGTTGTGTCCTCGATGCTGCCATTCAATCATACTGAGCTTCTTTCATTTTTATGCAGATCATAAAGAGACAGCGATGGGAACAATCTGGATAGTCGGGTGAAGTATAATGGTGATGTTGATTTTTCTCTAATCTGTTTGTATGTGGCATTTAACCTCTCAAAGAGAATCCGAGGTTTCATAACGTTACTGCTATTAGAACTAAGACACACCAATAAAATGCTAAATTCTGAGTGTTAGCAACTTTCATTTTGGTTTCTAAACAATCCTGCCAGGCTTGAATCCTTTGATTGCCGCAGCCCCTATAAAGGGACAGAGAAACTGTTCAAGTATAGCACCCATCAATGAAAGCATCCCAGCAACCCAGAAGTTCAGTCATGGCCAGCAGAGTGTACCATCAAGTAAAGCAAGAAGTTGAGCCTTACTGCTTCCCTCAATTCCCAGCTATTGATCGCTCTCTCTGCAATAGTGATACCAGCAGCGGATCCCACTTCTCTGTTAAGAATTCCAGTGAGCATTATTGTGCTTTGGTGTCATCTTCTGCATATGGCAGTTATACTGTCTACAACTCTTCATCATCTGCCAGTTTCTCACCCAATCGAAGCTTTATGTCACAGCAAGAATCTCAGTCATATCCATCTGACCTGCATCACTCTCCTGACAATACCTATGGCTCTCCTATTAGCGGTTCCTGCATAACTGATGATGTAAGTGATTTGAGGGATAAGCTGAGAGAGCTGGAAACTGTGATGTTGGGGCCTGATTCTGATATTATTGACAACACAATCTCACCAGAGATGGATAGCTGGAGACTTGTAATTGATGCAATCTCCAGAGGGGACTTAAAGCAGGTCCTTGTCTCCTGTGCAAAAGCTGTATCAGATAATAATCTGTTGATGGCTCAGTGGTTAATGGATGAATTACGTCGGATGGTGTCAGTTTCTGGTGAGCCTATCCAGAGGTTGGGAGCATATATGTTGGAAGGCCTTGTGGCACGACTGGCCTCCTCAGGGAGCTCAATCTACAAAGCTTTGAGATGCAAAGAACCGGCAAGTGCTGATCTGTTATCTTACATGCACATTCTTTATGAGGTTTGTCCCTACTTCAAGTTTGGTTACATGTCTGCAAATGGAGCCATTGCAGAAGCCATGAAGGATGAAGATAGGGTTCATATTATCGATTTTCAAATAGCTCAGGGGAGTCAGTGGGTCACTCTCATCCAAGCATTTGCAGCTAGGCCTGGTGGGCCACCCCACATCCGAATAACTGGTATCGATGATTCTGCATCAGCTTATGCCCGTGGAGGAGGCCTTAACATTGTGGGAAAGAGACTGTCTAAACTTGCAGAGCATTTTAAAGTGCCATTTGAGTTCCATGCTGCTGCCATGTCTGGTTGTGAGGTTCAGGAGGAACATCTTCTAGTTCGACCTGGAGAGGCTCTAGCAGTAAATTTTGCTTTCATGCTTCACCACATGCCTGATGAGAGTGTTAGCACTGAGAATCATCGTGACCGACTCTTGAGGCTGGTTAAGAGCCTGTCTCCAAAGGTTGTAACCCTTGTTGAGCAGGAATCGAACACAAATACTGCTCCATTCTTCCCAAGGTTCTGTGAGACATTGAACTATTACACAGCCATGTTTGAATCAATTGATGTGACTCTTTCACGGGAACGTAAAGAGCGGATTAATGTTGAGCAGCACTGCCTGGCAAGAGATGTTGTAAACATCATAGCTTGCGAGGGACCTGAGAGAGTGGAACGGCATGAGCTCTTGGGAAAGTGGAGGTCAAGGTTCAGAATGGCAGGGTTCACTCCTTATCCTTTAAGCTCCTTGGTTAATGCCACCATTAAAACACTGCTTGAGAACTACTGTGATAAATATAGGCTTGAAGAGAGAGATGGGGCATTGTATCTTGGCTGGATGAACAGGGATTTGGTTGCTGCTTGCGCATGGAAGTGATTTTCTTTTTCTCTTTATCATTGTAATCACACGTGAGAACAGGGGACTTGAATCAGTCAAGGCCACGGGCTTGCATGGAAGTGAAAATTAACCTTCAATTAGTGTTCTTTTAGGAGCCTCTTCATTGAGCTGTGGTAGAGAGTCCTACTTTTCGGGTCTCTTATCGAAGGGGTTCCTTTTGACTGTGTACTTTCGTATAAATCATAAGTTAGCCATTCCCAAGTAGAGCATTTCACCTGTAAGCAATTGCATTGCCATAGAATCACAGATTTGTCCATAACCAATGAGAAGGTGAAAATAACGGCAAGAATGCTATAGATAAAAATTAGCAGTGACAGCTATTTTATATCAAATTTTACTGTAAGATAAAATTACATCTTTAATCTCGAATTATTTAACTGGTTAAATGATTTTACACGTAGGGTTGTTTGCCAATATCCATAAAATCAGCCAACTGCAGCCCAAACTTCAATTCCCCAAATAAATCCATTTGAATACAGAACCATTTAGGACCATAAGTTTAGCTTTGGACACGTTCTGAACTAGGCATTCGTTACTCATCAGAATTACAGTCAGAACGTGGAGTGATATGGACCATCTTATCAATGCAAACAGCATCAATTTCTGATTTAGTTTCTAATTTGCCACTCATCACTTGCTCATTTGATGTACTCTGAGAACTTGATTTACTATGAACAATCATGTCATGGCGAACTGCATCACTTTCTTTACTTGGATCCAACTTCCCACTCCGTTGCTTATTTGACCCATTTTCTGGACCCAATATAGCTGCATCCACCACATCAACACAAAGAGTACCACTTAATTCTGACTTGGTTCTTGATTCACCATTCAATTGCTCACTTGATTTATTCTCAGCTCCAGAACTATTGAGGCAGACGGTCTCACTTTCTTCTACCTTGGTGCCTGATTTGTCATTATGAGCTGCTGAATGAACATTTACTCCTGTTGTATTGTGAGTAACGGTCCTAGTTGGAGGCAAATCATGGTCATGTCGTCCCTCATAAGTAATTATAACTAATTTTGCATCATGAGAAGCCCTTTCTACATGTTTCTTGACTGGGCACCCAGGATTTGAGCACCTGTAATAACTCCTACATCACATGTGAGCAGAGAGAGTCAAAAGCTGCAGTAGTGATATATATATATATGCAAAGAAAGGAAAACTTTCTAAGATCAAAAAGCGCTAGGTAATATGGCACAAACTGCTATCTCGGTATTATGGATTAGGAAATATCTCCACTTATGATGAGGAGACATCTACAATTGGTATAACAGTGTAATCATCTCCATAGTAAATGAGCAGAAATAAAATGTAAATTAGACAAATTTAAGTGCTTTAAATGTGCATGAACAAATATAACCTGATACATACCTTGGATTTGGATTGCCTTTAACTAATTTCTGCCCATATTTGCGCCAGCGGTACCCATCATTTACAATGTCAACCTCACTCAAAGTCTTAACAACCATACGTGGTTCAGTGCTTGGCTTCTCCACCAGAGATGCATCAACATTACCATTTTCTTTCTTCCTGTTTACATTTGATGACTGTTAAACAAAGGTTAAGTCGATATATAAACACAAAAGAGAGAAAAACTAAGGTACCTTCGTTTTGAGATGAGATGATCATCATCACTATCAGCTACATTTTGTATCATATTTGATTTTGAAGGTGCAGCTTTCACAGCTTCATTGGCAGCAACAGCTACGGGCAGAGAACCATCTCTTGGCTCAGTCTTGCAAGGTGTTTGGGTATTTGCATCCAATGATTTGTCTTCAAGAAGGAGGTCAGTTACAAATCAGGCAATTTATGCTTCATTAGATTTGACTAGTCACAAATGGTTAAGATGTTTTCTTACCTTTGACAATAGTTGGAGATGCATTATCTGATCTCTCTTCAACAGCAGAGACAACAAAGCCAACAGCTAGTGGAAGGTTCAGTGGTGTTGGATGATCATGCTGACCAAAATAAGCAGTGTCAACCATTTTCCCATCATGTGAATGTTCCAATTGCTTTTTCACTTGGCAGTTGGGATGTGTACATTTGTAATAACTTCGAATAAATTCATTTCCTTTAACAAGTTTCTGCCCATATTTACGCCAGTTATATCCATCCTCTGATGCTTTCTCACGTACTATAGGACTGCTTCCTTCTGTACCCGGCGATGGAGAGGGAGTCAACGATGTTTTCTTGGATATCATTGAGGAAACATTTCCTCCTTGCTCTGATTGTGAAGGATGGACAACAATATTAGGAAGCAGATCTTTCTCTGATTTAATTAAGGGGGTCCCTCCTCCTTGATCAGATTGTGATGAGCGAATTTTGCTATCGGAGTTCTGTTGCAAAGCATGACTTCCAGCAACTGGGCTCCGCAATTTTTCCGTACCGACTCTGTCTGTTACACACTCCCCTGAAGAAACCATCTGAAGTAAAGAGCCTCTTATCAGTTAAACGTATTTCAGCAAGAACCAAGTTACCATTAAAACATGCCCTTGTTGTTAGCCCAAACCTGAAAAGGCATCCAAAAAAAGTCATATATGCTAAAACAGTAATATATACATGATTTAACGGCAACTGGAAAAAGAACCAGCTGAATTAGAACAGCCAGCCACATATATTCGGCCGTAGAATTGAATTGCTCAGAAATTTTTAGAATAATCATATGATATTGCATCAGGTCATGATTGACTTGCTTGATTAAAATTTTCAAAATTAACTAACAAAAACTTGGCCAAAAATTATGCATTTCAAAAGCTTTTTTTTTTTTTTTTTTCCTTTTTATGCTTATATTCCTAATTCATCTACTAACAGAAAGATGAAATTTATGAGGCCAATTTAATAAAAGAAAATTTTTAAAGTTCGTTCATTTCTTTACCTAAAATTCAACTCAAAGACTATGATTTTCCAAACTCAGTGGTTCTTTTGCTTCGAATTTCTCAGCAACCAAACATCTTACAAACAAATTAAGAGACATAATTTCCAGAATTATACCGGCAAACGGAAAATTCAATTCAAATTAAGGTAAAAAGAATAAAAGCTGAACCAACTAAATACAGTTTAAAAAAAGGGTTACCTGTGCAAGTGTCGAAGAGGCCACCAAGAAATCCTAGTAGTAGATCAAGAGGAAAGAGCGTGAGTTTAAGAGTCGATCAGAGCCGTAGATCACACCGGTTTTCGTGATTGGAGCCGGGGAAGTGAAAGTTGGTTAGCTAAAGGGAGGAAGTACAGAGGGGAAAGAGCGAAGGAGAGCTTTGGGAAAATAATAGAGTACGGTCAGTTACACTCAAGTACCTGTGTCTTTTGTCTCGAGACGCTGATATCCGTTGCTTCTTGGATATTTTTTTCTTAATTTTGACATTTTGCGGGGCGTTTTTTAGCTTATAAAATTTAAAAAATATATATATTATATGAAATAAGAATATAATCCAATCAAATCGACTTAAAATATTATTATATTTAAATTCGGTTTAATTTATAATTTTATAATTTAAAATATGACTTAAATTTAATTTTTTATAATGAAAATTGATTTATAATTTACTTAAATTATTTGAATTAGATTTAATATTGAATAATTAAAAAATAAAAATTTAATTTAATTTATAAATATTTTAAGTGAAGTATTAAATTATTCAAATTTGATTTAATTTATTATTTAAATAATTCAAATTCAAGTTCAATTTAACCATAAATGAATTAAGCTTAAATTTTTTTTATTCAAAATTGAAAATGGCTTACAAATATTTTAACTCGTTTAGATTTATATATAGGAGTAAGCAAAAATCAGTTTAAATTGACTAAACCGATCGAAATCGGATGAATTCGATTGAATCGTTTTGATTTATTCGATTTTAGTTATAATTAATTTTTTAAATTGATTAAATTCGATCAATTTTTTATTTTTAAAATTGATAATCGAATTGATCGAATTAACAAATTTTTTAATAAATAAAAAAATTTTGAGATAAATATATTTATTTATTTTTTTATGGTAAAATAATGTTGAAATTATTAAATCTTTTAATCATTTAGTTGAATAATACTTGAGTTTGAGTTTTATTAAATTAAATTTATGATTAAATAATTATTTATAATAAAAAATAATAAAAAATTGATTATTCAATCGAACCAATCGAATCGAACCGATTTTGATCGGTTCGATTATGATCGATTATTTAAAAATATTCGATTGATTTGATTATTTATTAAATAAAAATCGATTAATCGATTATTGATTTTTTTAAATCGAACTAATCAAATCGATTGATTATTCCCCTCTGGATTTATACTAGGACTTTACGATGATGCCTACTTTTTAAGGAATTTTTAAAAATTTATTTTTAAGTTTAATCATTTAAAATATAATATAATAATATATATGAAAATGATATATAAATTTAATAAAATTAAAAAAATTATTTTATATAAATATGAATTATAATATAAAAATCATGAATTAATAAATGGCTCACCGCCACAAAAAGACCTAATTCCGTTTATTCACGACGGCAAAGAAAAAAAGGTGATGATAGATATCATAAAAATAGAAACAAAAAATCATAAAATCAATTTCAATTCTCTGAAAACGCTAACGTTGGAGACACCATGCTTCTCTCACCAGGCCATTCTCAACGACACGTTTCATCGCCGTCACGATCTCCGTATTCGGACAACTCTCTCCAAATTACCCCAAATAATCCTGGCAAAAAACGCCCTCGAGTCCTAGACGAAGACTCCTACGTAGCCGCCATCGAGGAGATCATCGAACGCGATTTCTTCCCCGATATCTACAAGCTCCGTGACCGACTTGATTGGCTCGAAGCCATCAAGACCGGCGATCCTATTCAAATCCGTGATACCCAGTTGAAGATCATCGAACGCCGTGGCAGAAAGGTAAATAGTGCAAATTCCGAGGGTAGAGGTCTAACTCAAACCCCTGGTAGTTTTATGCGAAATTTTACCCCTTTCGATGAATTTGATAGTAAAACCCCCCAAACCCCAGGTGTTTTAGGTAGGGAATTACCGGTGAGGGTGATTGTAGGGATAGCGAGGGTGGGTTCGATACGAATTTGTCCTTAGATGAGTTTTTTAGGAGGTATACGAGTGGAGATAACGATAGTTTTTCAAAGATTTTAGAGAAGGTTAACAGGAAGAAGAAAGAGAAGTATGGATATTTGATGCAGGGCGAAAATGGGGATGAGGATGTTAAGCTAATTGAGGGTGTGAAGAGAGATAGGATTACAGATGGATACGGGACGTCTGATCAGCCAATGAGCACATTGGAAGGGTGGAATTATACGGCCAAGAATTTGTTGATGTATCATCTCGCCGATCGGGGTGAGGCCCCGTTGACTGAGGAGGAACGAGCAGTGAGATTGAAGGGTTTGACAAAGGAGATCAATCGTGGAAACACGCGATTTCATGGTAAAGTTACGGATTCTAGGCCGAAAGATGATGGATCCATGGAGGTTTTGTATACTCCTTTGGCGGGTGCAAGTCCAATGCCTATGTCCGGTAGGGATGGGGATTGGGGCAAAAAGTATGATCTGGAGGATTTGAGAAAGACCCCAAATCAGTTTTATGTTGAATCTAGGAAGAAAGCTGACAATGGTTATAGTTTTGTAAAGACATCATCACCTGCACCGGGTGTTGATGAATCCCCCTTTCTTACATGGGGTGAAATTGAAGGGACACCTTTGAGGTTGGAGCCTGAGGATACACCAATTGATATTGGTGGTAGTGGTGACGGGCCTCATTTTAAGATTCCATGTCCGCCTGCCAAAATTGTGAAGGCACACTCCTTATCAAGGGAAGCTGCTCGGAAATTGAGAGAGAGGTCAGTTATGTTTAAGAAGCCATTATTGCCATCACCTTCAGAGAGGGCAGTGCTAGTCCAAGTGTACGTACACTTTCTCCTGCTGGTTAGAAGTTTGTAAGAAATGCAATTGCAAAGTCCTCTTCTTCTGTGGATGAAACACTTCGTGCCAGTTATCGAGGTGCAAGTGTCTACTCCTAAAAGTGTAAGAAGTGTTTCAAGGTTCGGAAGGGATGGTAGCATGGATTCCAGGTCACCTTCTGTAAGGGGGGGTTCTAATCCGCCATGGTCTTAGTTGTCTTAACTGATTAATGGTATTTTAGTTCAATTCTGTCTTGATTTTACCTAAGTCCTTGAGAAAACCCATTTGTGTTTAATGGGTAAATGTACATTTTCAGATTATTTCCATTGTCTTGATAATATTCTCTTTTAATGAATATAACACAGTTCAAATATTAAAAATGTTGTTTTTTAGTTTCATAATTCTGATTAACTGATGTTGACGTTTGATATTTTCATACTCTTCAACCTCTCTCCCCTTCTCTCTATCCCTCTTTCGTTAAGTTCTCTGAAATTTGGGATATGTAGTGGGAATGAGGATGGTTCAATGAATAGGTGCCCTAGTTTGAGTAACTGGGGTTTGGGGGGCTGTCATTGCTTCTTCTAATAGTGTCAAGTGTTTCAAGGTTCAGACAGAATGATATCATGGTTTTAGGTCACCTTCTGCAAGAGGTTTCTAATCCTCTATGATACTGGTTGTCACAACTGATTTGTTATATAATTGTTCTTTTCCTTTTCCCTTTCATCAATTATAACTTCCTTGTACCAAGGTGCGGGAATAACCTGCTGCAACAGTATTAACCTGTCAAATTCTTTTACAAGAACGATATAGGGTTCCCTTTCCTCTGCCATCTGTGAAAGTAAAACTCCATGGGTTTTGAAGAGCTGGGGTTTGATCCAGCAGGCCCGCAGGCTCAATATCAAGGTCTCATTTTATGGAGATGGAACCAGGAGAGACCCGACTAGTATGCGAAAAAAATAGTCATTGGCCTCTTAATCACCCCGAATGGTTAAAATGTTATGTATCCTCTGCTCTGCTGAATGTGTCAAAATTTCATTTAATCACACCCGAGACCTGAGGCATAGCCTCCATGGCTTGTCAGACCAGCAATTTCCATTTAATGGCTTACACCAAACAAAGACATGGGGGACTGGGTAGTTCCAAGTTTTCCCGTGAAATACTTGCCTGTAATTGTACTTTATATTAATATTAGAGATAGAGTGGCAGGCACATCTCAACTGATCATTCAGTTTATTGTCTTCTTTACTGTTGTGTTCATGATCTTGCTTCCAAGGAGGCCAAAGGCAAAGATGATGTAACTTGCGCCAACTCAAAGATCCAGAATCATAGCCAGGTTCTGATGTATGTAAATAATTACTAGTTGAAAATTAATTTTAGCAGTTGCAGGAGGATATATATATTAATGCACCGCATTTCCCATGATGCTGAGATTTTTTTGTTCTCTGTTGGTGATTCAGGCACGGAAATTTCATGAATTTTTTGCTTTCTTTTTCTTTTACTTTTTAAAAAAATCAAAATGATTCTTCAAAGATGGTTCCGTGCATGTTTGATGACCTATCTTTTTCTTCACGAGTGCAGCTTTCAACAGTTGAAGACAGTTGAACTTTGCTCTGCTCTAAATCCAACTAATATTTGCATGGATGAGTTGAGTGCCGCCCGTGACAATCAAGAGACTGTCAATTTCTTGTTGTTTGATTTCTTCATTTCTTCATCATTCACATTATTAATTTATTGAACCATTGAAAGCAATGGCTAGAAGTAGATGGCTTTTCAGAAGCTTTCCTTGTTGTGATCACCCTTTTTTTTTTGTACTATGAATCAGCTTGATCTTATTTTACGAGGGCAAAAACAAAGGCTTTTTTTTTCTTTCTTTATTGCAAGATTACATTAACTGATCATGAAATGCAAACGGACCATATGGTTAAAAGGACTAAAAGGCAACTCTTCTTGAGCATCATTGTTAAGGGCATTTTAGTGTTTAAAGGGTAAATTAAACTTTTCATTTGTTAGCATAAGTCGATCGATAAGTGAAAATATTTTAATATTTTGATCGAATTTACATATTAAGCTGATCTAAAGTTTTAAATTTCGTTAATTCAATCATCTTAATAACTTACAAGTTATTGTCCTAAAATGCTAACTTGTCATGTCTAAAATAATTAATCTAACTGTTAATTCAATTTAAGAAATCAATTTTAATATTTTAAAGTTGATTTCGGATAATTTAAATCTAAAACTTCCATCATATAAGTATAAATAATATTATCCAAATACTTTTAATTTCATCTTTAACTTTTCAACTTTTAAGTATTTACTTCGATTGTTTTTTTTTTTTAATTTTATGTTAATTCAATCATCTTAATAACTTACAAGTTATTGTCTTAAAATGTTAACTTGTCATGTCTAAAATAATTAATCTAACTGTTAGTTCAATTTGAGAATCAATTTTAATTTTTTAAAATTAATTTCAAATGATCTAAATCCAAAATTTCCATCATATAAATATAAATAATATTATCCAAATACTTTTAATCTCATCTTTAACTTTTTAACTTTTAAGTATTTACTTCGATTTTTTTTTTTTTAAATCGATCTCTAATTTAAGTATCGAAATATAAATGTTAAGACCATCCCAATATTTGATCTTAACCACCTTTTTATCTCTCTTCTATGATTTCAAAGTTTAACCGTCCTCGGATAATACGGCACAATCACCATAGACCAACAAAAATAATCAAACAACAGCTTGAATTACACACACGCAACGCAAGAAGAGATGAAGTTACACTGGCTTTAGATTTATAACTTCACGCCAATTCCACTTTTAAATTAAACAATCTATTTATATTTGTCATAAAATTTGAAATGGATTACATATTTTATCATTTCGATTTAGAATAATTTTTTTTATATATAATTTGAATTCCAGAAAAAAAAATAGAAACTATTAATGCAAGTTTTAATAATAATTTTGGTAATTGTAGATGAAAAAAGAAATTAAAATTTAGCGAAATCGAGTTATTTGACTGAAAATTCCAGCCAAAACACCACGTGTTTCTTTTGCTTCTTTTTTTTTTTTTTTAACCATCCAACGCCGTCGTTTTATCTCAATCCATATGTCAAACCCAGCAACTATAAATACGTAACCCCCTCAGTCCTACCGCTCCATCTCCTTCGCCTAGTGTTATCCTCTCTATTTCTCTGACTCCTGCTTCGTTCTCAGCTCACAGCTCTCAATCAAACACAATCTTTGCCCTCCTCTTTGTTCAATTTTCCTCTCTTATCGAGGTAACTTTCTCTCCTTTTCTCTTTCACCTTGAACATTGCATCTGAAATGCGTATATGTATATATATATATATATATTTGATCGGAATATGTATTATTAATTGATTATTCAAGATGCTTCCATGGAGGAAACCCTAGCCGCGAATCGAGAGTTGTAATCGAACCTTTGAATTTAGATCAGGCTGTAAAATTCAGAATATTGAATTGAAGTAGTACGTACGTATAAATACAATGTTACTAATGATTTTAATTTTATTTCTTATTGAGATTTCGTTTTCCGAATCACATTGATTTTGTGGTAAAAGGAATTTATTTCAATTCAAGATTGCATTTCTTCCTATTCATAATGTTTTTGATACTTCTATCTCGAATCAAAGTAGAATTTTCACCCCTTAAATCCTTTCGTATGATCAAGATTGAAATAATTCTAGTGAATTCTCCGTTTGGATAAAAGTTTTTGTAAGGCTTATAAAAAATTCCTAAACTATAATTAAAAAACTATTTAAGTGTTTATTTTATATTGCAATCAATCAATTTTTTCAATATTTATTTGTATCCAACTAAGTTTTTATTTGGATGAAAAAATTAATACCATTAACTTTTTAATAATTAAGATAAAATTTCATGTGACATCAATAGATGAAAGTTTGTCACACAAAATAATTTATATATGTAAAAATAAAATAAAATAAAATTTTTTTTCTTCTCTATTTTTTTTTCTCTCTCCTTAAGATCCCTATAAGGGTTCAATTAATTGTAGTTTAGGGTTTGATTGATTTAATTTTATTACGTGATTAAATTTCATTTGATTGAAAGTTTAATTGAGTCAAAACAAAAAATTAAGAGCTCAATTGATTGCTATAAAATACTAAGAGTTTAAATGATTTTTTACCCTTTAGCCCTTTTGTAAGTATAATCTGTATCTCATGATTCTAATCTTTGAAGATGCCCGCTGCTAGCCCCAATATGCCTGATCGAGAGGTGGAATCATTTGTTGAGGTTGATCCAACTGGACGCTTTGGGCGCTATAATGATTTGCTTGGTGCTGGTGCGGTGAAGAAGGTTTACAGGGCATTTGATCAGGAGGAAGGTATAGAGGTGGCCTGGAATCAAGTGAAATTGACCAACTTTAGTGAAGACCCTGTGTTGATCAATAGACTTCTGTCCGAGGTCAAGTTGCTGAGAACATTGAAAAACAAGTATATCATTGTATGCTATAGCGTTTGGAGGGATCAAGAGCATAACACGTTAAATTTTATCACCGAAGTCTGCACATCGGGGAACTTGAGAAGTTACAGGAAGAAGCACCGCCATGTGTCCATTAAGGCCTTGAAGAAGTGGTCAAAGCAGGTACTTGAGGGATTGGAATATCTCCATACACATGACCCTTGTATTATTCACAGAGATCTCAATTGCAGCAACATCTTCATCAATGGGAACATTGGCCAAGTAAGTAGTAGGCTCATTCCCTATCACCATGCAAAACTGTCTTCGAATTACCAGCTAACCATAGTTTCCTGAACTGTAAAGCAAAATGTTTTAGGAACTACGAGTGAACAAAACAATTAATGATCACATTGGAGATCCCAGAAGAATATCAAAATTTATTGGACTGGAAGTTCCTGGATGGACCCTGAATGTTCTTGAGACCTTTTATGAGACTATAACTACAAATTTCAAGTGATTTAATTTTCTATGTGCAGGTGAAAATTGGCGACCTGGGACTTGCAGCAATAGTTGGGAGAAGCCATGTTGCACATTCCATAATAGGGACACCAGAATATATGGCCCCAGAGCTGTACGAGGAAGATTACACTGAGATGGTTGACATATACTCTTTTGGAATGTGCTTGCTTGAAATGGTGACAATGGAGATACCTTATAGTGAATGTGATAATGTTGCCAAAATCTACAAGAAGGTCACCTCCGGGATTTCACCCCGGGCCTTGAACTCAGTTCCCAATCCAGAAGTCAAGGCATTCATTGAGAAGTGCATAGCCCAACCAAGGGCAAGACCTTCAGCTTCTGAACTTCTCAAGGATCCCTTCTTTACTGACCTCAAAGATGATGAGACCGACTCAACTTCCATTTGATGGCTTTTCGAGTGAATTTTCTGCCTCTGAATAGACAGAAACAGTAAGCTAGTTAAACGAAATCTTATCATATGCCTTATGCTATCAGAGACTTTCTTTACCTAACTGAGATTCATAAATCCTGATGTACATATTGGTAGGTCGAAGTAATGATAATAGATCTTTCTGTAATGCCAGTTGATTTGCTGTTATGGGTACTCAACTGCTATATAACTTCAGTTCCTCCTATGAATATCCCTCATAGTTTATCAATATTCCCAGGTATGTGAGAAGTGAGTGCTCAGCTAACTCTTACTGCTTTTGTATACAGAAAAACTGACTGGCCTATACACAAGCAACTAGCGAGACTCAGATGAATTCAACTTCCAATACCTAGATGTCACATATATTTCCACCTTTGGAAAACGTGGAAGTAAATAGTCCAACTATGAAGCTACACAAATCCCAAAGTAAAGACGATAACAGAAAGAGTGCCAACTTTTCAGGTATTAGCAAGTACATATAACCATCTAATTCAATTACAGATTACTAACACATCAAAAAAGATCATCCATGCTGATACCAATGGAAGAAATAGTAATCATCCTATACAATATTCTTAGAAACAAAAATGAACATGCCACGCAGCAGGAAGATGGCAAAATTGCAAAGGTAAACATGCTAATTCCGAATAAATCAATCCTAAAAACCCGTCATCTATGATGAAAAATACATTTAATTTCTGTTAATCAGAGCTATTTCTACAAGTCACAGACTGTCCTTGAAACTGACTCAACACTTTGAACTATTTGGCATTACATGATCAATTTCCTTTCTAGAGCAACCAATCGTCCTTGCCACTAATAGAAGGCTGAGACCAGTTCATATTTGGCACCCTGTCAAAAAAGAAAATCAAAATCTCATTTCAAGTGTACTAGACAGGAACGCAAGGTACAAACCCAAAATTTTATGTATATGTATGCTATGTACATGTATCTATTTTTCTAGGCAAACGCATTTAGCCAATTGTCAGAGAATTAGCTCCAGAAAATCACATGACAATGCTTCCATTTTATGCTATAACACTAGTATCACCCTGCTGCGCAAGATCCTCAGTACTTTCTTGAGACAACGGTGGAACAATCTCTGCCTCCTCTTTTACCGTTTGCTGATCACTATGAACAGCAACATCAGAGGGTTGTGACTCACTGACCTTATCAGTTGCATCATGTGTTTGTGATTCATTAACATCGGTAGCCACCAGAGTTTGGGGGTCATTGGCCCCATTAGTAGCGTCACAAACTTGTGAGTCATTGGGCTCGTTAATTGCATTATGAATTACTGAATCATTGGTATCATCGATCACATTAAGTAGATCAGATGACTGTGGAATAACCTCCTCTGCTGCTTTGGCAGTTTGCAAATCACTTTCACTAATAGCATGAGGGATATTTGAGTTGTCAACCTCATTACATGCATCACAAAACTGGGAGGCATCTATCCCATCAGTTGCATCATGAAGTTGCATGTCATCAATTTTATTAGGTGCCTCCAATAGCATGGCGGTTTCACCCTCAACAACAGTAGTACAGAGTGGCAGATGATCTACCTCATCATCTGCGTGATGTAGATGTAATTGATCTACCTCAACAACCACGCCGCAATACTGAGACTCATCCTCACTAGCTCCATGGCCTTCCAACGGATCATTACCGCGCTTCCGTTTCCCAGTACCCTTTCTTCTTACCCTCTCCTTCCCTCTATTCCTTTTCCCAAGTTCAGTTCCTACAATGGGTGACACTACAATTGGACCTCCAACTTGGTCTCTCAAGCATTCTTGTGCAATAGACCTAATCCTGGAAATTGATTCAAATTGCTCAGGCTGTAGTCCTTTCAACGGGAAAGTGTCAGCTAAGTATGAAATTTCTCGTACACCACCAATCTGTTTCATCCAAAAAAAAAAAAGGGAAGTACACATATGAAATTAAACGGGGACAGGACATAGACATTAGTTAACTAGTTAAGTACAGCCTTACTGTTCTTTGAAACTCTGAAGAGAGAGAAATAGGTCTCCCTACAACTTTACGAGTAATTCTCAAGTACCACCCCATGTATTCGTTTTCATCTGCACCATCATCATCACCTTCCACAATATGGAGCGCACGATCTGCCCATTCATTAAGTTCTGATTCCATTTTCCCAGATAAGTCCACCCCACCATCAACTCCACGGCTCTTTCTTACCCATTGTGCCACATTTTCTGGGATCAGTTGAAGCATGCCATATTGCCTTAGGACACGATTAGGGAGGTGTCTTTCTGCCTTGTCAAAGCAGATCAACATCGTTTTGGACCTTCCCCAAACCAAAGTACTTCTAATTTCCTCTGGGATTACTGTACTATCACTGTACTTGTAAGGAAGCCACTCTACCTATTTTTCAACAACATACAGCTGTATCATTCTTTCTTTTGGTCAGAAGCTGATTCTTTCACGGATGGCAAGTTGGAATATAAATTAAAAAAAAAAAGGAATACCAAGAACTTACATCACTTGGTTCTAGGGAGTCAAGTGCCTTACGGTAGAAAACTACATCACGATTTGCTGTTGGACCACTCTGCTTCCCCTTCCACCTAAGTACAAAAGGGAAATGATCGTGGATAGGGTCCCTGTTGAGCTTTGGTCGACCAATATTTAGATGATAGTAGCTCCAGCACTAAAAAGATGAATAATTATCAATAGCAGAATTTTAACCAAAGGCTATTAGTAATAGCATTAAACAACTTCATCTATTAATCCTCCTAACTACTCCCTTTTGTCAAGAGAAACCGAAACACACCAGGCCCTTCAAAAGAACTTATAGAAGAAACAAAATAAAGTGAAAAACCTGAAGTAGTGTCAAACATCCACAAATGGTGCTTTGAGATTTAACAGAGGCATTTCCAAGTGCCCTATACAAGAATGCTAATGCAGCTGCACCCCATGCATACCTCCCAGCGTCATCAAAATTCTCAAACAATGGAAGGTACATGACAGGGACCTTATTCCCTGTTGTAGTTGAAAAAATAGTGCTTCCCACAAGATATAAAAGGTAAGCACGTGTGTGACGCTCAATCTCTTCAATTGATGCATCTTCGGGGCACTGAGAAAAGAACTCTTTCAACCAACTTAACTTCACCATCCCACCACTCGCATAAGTAGAATCTGGCGCTTTCCCTAGATAATTTTGACACACTGTGCCACAAGTGGTATATGTTATTCCAATCACAGGATTTCCATCAATTGCCAATCCCAACAATAAGGCAACATCTTGAAGAGTCACAGTCATTTCTCCAACAGTGAAGTGAAATGTATTTGTCTCTCTCCTCCACCTCTCAACTAATGCTGAAATGAGCGGATTATCTAAACTAATGGCAGGTATCTTCCTCAAGAATCCAAATCCTGCTTTCTCAACCAACTCTATCTGTTTAGGGGTGAGTCTCCACTCACCCAACTTCGATGTATGCTCATGACATCTAAGTGCACCACGCTCCTGTAATATAAACATATATTTTAACGAAAATACATGCACAAGTCAAAATTACAATCAAATATCAAACAACCCTCCACATGTATAAGCACAACTAGTCTAGTGCATCAAAGAGATGAAACTAATAAACAATCAACCAAGTTAATAACTAACAATCTGAGTGCATAGCCAAGATTGAACCTCAGACCAAGTAGTCAGAGGGCCTCTTACCATTGAGATTGGAATACTCAGGTTAACATGTTTAACAATGATTTGTTTAACATGATTCTTTTTTGGCCTTTCATCCAGCCAACCTCAGAGTTATAAGATATAAAGCTTAGTTTATTGCTGTTGTTGTTGTTATATTTGTTTAACTACACATAGAAGTCTCTAATCCTATAAAGGCACAAATGAATTCTCCAAATTTATTTATCCAAGAAATACAAATTACATATTTGCAAATTAGTAAAGGGATGAGAAGAGTGGTGTGAATGAGAAATGAACCTGGCCATCCCAAACAGCTGAAGATACATGCTTTTCTTGATCATACAGTACTGAACGATCAAAGGGTCCAGGATTGGCTGCAAATGGGTCCATTCCAATCTCTTCCATTGATTTTATATTCTAAAATTTATATATATAAAAGAGGCCTGAAAAGCAAACTTTAGTCCCACAAAGTAACTGAATAGCAATTTCATCCACTAGTGTTCACATGCATAAATTTTACATTTTGGAGCCAATTCTTATCAAACCCATGACCAAAATTAAGATATTTTAGATAAATTTGACACTTTGTTGAGGGACTTAATTGCAATTAGAAGAAAAAAAAATTCAAGCTTCCATAGCTTACAAAAATATACGTTCAATTTTCTATTGGGTCTTTCAATTTGCAAACCCTAGTTTCCGTTTCGCTCTCCAGAAAACGAGAGAAAAAGATAGAAACCAAGGAGAAAATTGTTTTTGGTTTGAATTGGTTCTTTATATAAAAGTAAAAACTTGAATAAAACAAAAAAGAAATTGAAAATCAGAAACGAGATGAGGGGGAATAAAACGACGACGGAAGAAGAAAAAAGAAGAGGAAAAGGAAAGGGAGGGACGTAGCTTTACAAACCTGATTTTAACTCCAAAACGACAACGGAAAAGCAAGCACCACCGTGAAGAAAGAAGGGACAATTTTTCAGCGGAATTCAAAGGGAATAAAACCCCAAAACGCGTCGTTGCGACGGTTTCCTGGGTTTTTATGGATTACATTCCCTAGCCATTTACACGTGGCGTGTCTGGATAATTTGGGCTTTTGCCTTAATTTCCTACTTATTTGGAAGAATGGGCCTATTCAAGCCCATTGAAAATATTTTTTAATTATCGATATTTTGAAAGAAATATTTGAGCATTTGATTCAATATTAACTTAGGAGTATATATTTTTAATATAAAAGATAGATTTTGATTTTATTTGTCAAAAAAATAGCATAAAATTATTATTTTATTTAATTTTAAAAAATTATATAAATACAAATTAACTCTAATGTTTTTAAAAGTAATAATATTATTTAAAAATAAAAAATATCTAAATAGTTTTTGTGAATTAAATCAAAGAAAAATTATTTGTTATTATCAATAATCATGTAATTTATTGATATAATATTAAAATTTTAATTTTAATGATTTGAGTTCGATAATTTTATGTATATAATTAAAAAATTTGTTTGGCATTATTTAATTTGGACCATCAAAATTTTGCCATATAAAATAAAATATAAATTTGAAAATTAATTAATTAAAACAAATAGATTTGATGACCTTTAAGTTAGATCAAGGAGACAAATTTGAAAAAATTTAAATATGTTTTAATATTTTATTTAAATAAATATTTTTATAAAAAAATATCTGACAAATGTTGATCTTTAATAAATAATGATTGAATTTTGTCTACAACAACACTACCTACACGTGGTTAGAGAACCACCATCGATGTCTGCAGCTAGCATCTTTCCTCTCATCCATCGGCATCGAAAGGGGCCACGTCGTCCCTTTTTAGCCCCCAACATCCCAGCCACGTACGAGCTTCATTTCGCTGTTCCCATGGCTGGTGCTATCCTCAACAGCATCAACACCCGCCTTGACTCCCGTACAATCTCCATACTCCTACGTACGCAGCCACTGTGAACCAAAGCTCCTGTTTGTCGATACCCTCTCTCAATCTCTAGCCCTTGAAGCTATCTCTTTGTTTTCTCCTAAGACAAAGCCCCCACTTCTTGTCCTAATCAAAGATGATTCCATTGATGCTGATACGAGAGCTTGGTGGAGAAAGGTGATCCTGGGTTCAATTGGATTCGGCCTCAAAGTGAGTGGAACCCAATTGTTTTGAACTATACATCTGGTACAACCTGTCTCCTGAAGGAGTGGTTCATAGCCATAGGGCAGTTTCAAATCAAACTGTTCATTTGTGGACACTTCCCATGTTCCATGCTAATGGGTGGAACTTGACTTTGGGGATGGCAGCTGTCGGTGGGACCCATGTTTGTGTCCGAAAATTCAATTCCCCCACCATATATAGTTCGATAAAAAAAACATGGTGTCACTTACATGTGCGGGGCACCTATCGTGCTTAACATGTTATTAAAATCTCCCGAAACTAAACCACTTCAAAGCCCTGTCCGGTTCCTGACAGGAGGAGCTCCACCACCAGCGGTTGTACTTTCCAGGATTGAATTTGAATCTGTTTTGTATAATCACCCAGCAATCAATGAAGCAATGGTGGTGGCTAGGCCAGATGAGCATTGGGGAGAGACCCCTTGCGCTTTTGTCAGTTTGAAAAGTGAAAGTGATTTAACTCGGAAACCGAGTGATAAGGACATAACTGACAACTGCAGAGCTAAGTTGCCGCACTGCATGGTGTCCAAAACGGTGGTGCTCAAAGAAGAACTACCCAAGACTTCAACTGGGAAGATCCAGAAAGCTGTTCTTAGAGAGATTGCTAAAGGAATGGGATCACCTTTCGCAAGGGTGAGTAGAATGTGAGTTGATCTTTGGCCTTTCGCATGGCCATCTCTGTCTGTCACCATGTTCATTACCAATGAGAATTTAATCTTATCTTTAATAAAAATAAAATTTTAAAAAATAAATTTAAACCAAACTTGAAGTTGGTTGAAACTCATTGGATTTGAATTTTAACTATAATTTAATCTTATTCATTGCTTCCTATTTGCAAAAAGTTATTCATTAACTACGTATGTGTTGACCTTCTATATTTGATAAATGGTAGGTTTAATTTGATAAGGGATATGTTTAATAATTTATGTAGTTGTGTCATATAAATTATTTATAATTCATATATTTGTATTATATTTTACATAAAAATTATATATCATAATTCGTATTGATATAAAAAATAAAAAATATATTTTTTATTTTTATTAAATCTTAAATCATTTCACTTTTATAATTTTTATATCGCATCATTATATCATATTTTAAATTATTATATTTAAGAAATGTTATTTATATTCAAATGTACAAAAGTAGGTTTGGAAAATGTTAAATGGGAAAATATAAATTTGACCAAAGCTATATGGAGCTTTTTTTTTTTTTTAATTTACTTTATGGAGTTTTTTCTTTTAAGTAAATTATTAAAAAAATGTAAATATTTTTTATTATATATTATAATATATATTATAATTAAAGGCAGATTAAAAGTATTTCCAAAATTTAAAAAGTGACATTTAAATATTTTATAATTTGTTTTGTTGTATTTTTACCTAAAACCTTAACAAATGAAATTCTCCATCCATCTTGATATGAAATCCAACTGATTTTTTTTTCATCAAAACTGCAAGGCTAAGCTGAAGTCGAGGAGTTTCATGAGACTCAATGCTTCCAATACCATATATCACCATCTGCAGCTTTAACTCATATCCCAAAACCCCTGTGAAAATGATCCAAGACTTTTGGAATTTCCATTTGATCCAAGAAAGTCAGAAAAAAAACTAGAGTTTTCAATTCTCTTCATACAAATTTGTATCTTGTGCATAAACTTTGATTGTCTCTCTGGATCAATTTCAAGATCGGTTGGAACCCATGGCTGTTGTTCTTGTTGTTGTTATTTTTTGGGAATTCCTTCTATGTCTACCCTTACAGGGTAAAACAATTGTCCACTCTCCATTTTGAGTATGATTATCAGGGGTGAGAAATTTTACAGAAGCAACCATTTGCAAAGCAAGGACACTAAATCAACTGCTGGCAAAACTTTTCTTTCCAATTGTGAGAAATATCGTACCTATTATCATTATAGTAAAAATACAATCTTAAATCAGATGTGTATATAGCAGTTTAGTGGAAAGAAAACAACACAAATACACAGGCAAGACATGCCTGCATGCAGGCATTCCAAAAGTTGAATTACATTCTATCATTTCCTTTTTTTCTTCTCCAAATTGATTTACAGAATCCAGAAGCTACCTTTCTTGCATGCACCATAAGAATGCTAATAGATTAAATATTTTCACCGCCACTAAGAGATGAAATTGATTAAATAAACTCTCAGGCACATAAACAATGATTTCTTATTAAGATGGATGAAGAATTTCATTTGTCTAGTTTTAGCGCGACAATGAATTGATGATAAAAAAAAAAAAAGTAACGGTTTTGAAAAAAAATATAATAAAACAAATCATAAAATAATTAAGTGTCACCGTCCTTAATCATAGAATATATTTATAAATTTATCAATTAATATATTACATTTTTTTATTATTTCATCATTCATGAGCTCAACTATTCTCATAATTAATATATTACATTTTTTAATAGGGTGAGTGATATCAACTCCATCTTAATTCATTTAGTTAAGGAATTCAATTAAGTTTAGGACAAAAATGTTCATGAGTCAAGTCAAGTTGGGTTTAAATCGAATCCATACTTGGATATTAATAATTTATATATTTGTTCAAATCCAATCTAATTCGATATTTTAGATCTAAATTTTTTTCTCAAATCTGCACTAAATTGAAAAATTAAATCTTAACTCACTTATTAAACCTATTTTGTATAACAAAAATTTTAAAATAACAAATTATCTTTTTTAAAAAATAAAATATTAAAATAAAAATTCACATATATATATTTATATAATTATAATATTTTATTAGGCTTGAATTTTAATTTTTTTATTTAAAGTTTGAACTAAAATTTAAGCAAATTTAATAATTATGTACAAATTCATTTAACAAATCTTAATTTTTTATCTAAACCTTTTCAAAACTTAAATGAATTTTTAAACTTAAATTGATAACTCAATCTTTAAACAGACATAATTTAAAATATAAGTTTCAACTTAAATATTTTTTTAAATGAAAAAAAAAGCTCAAAATTTTAATTTGAATAAGACAAAATTCTAAAATAAAATAATGAAATGATTGAACTCAAAACTATACTTGGTTATTTAATCCAAGTTGTATCATCATTGCCTACCTAAATTATAACAACAAATCCTAGCAGCTACGGCACTTCAACCCATCCTATTTTTGGCTTAAAGTGCTAAATTCCAGGAAATTCCCTTTTTTTTTTTTTTTTTTTACAAATATAAGAAACATTACTAATTTACTACTTAAATTTATTACATATTTATAGCAACTTAAACCTCATTTTACCTTCGAGTTTGAAAGGTGATTTAGCTCGGAAACCGAGTGAAAATGACATAATTGACTGCTGCAGAGCTAAGTTGCGGCACTGCATGGTGCCCAAAATGGTGGTGTTTAAAGAAGAACTACCCAAGACTTCAACTGGGAAGATCCAGAAAGTTGTTCTTAGAGAGATTGCTAAAGGGATGGGTACTTCATCTTTCGCAAGGGTGAGTAGAATATGAGTTGATCTTTGGCCTTTCGCATGGCCATCTCTGCCTGTCACCATGTTCATTACCGATGAGAATTTAATCTTATCTTTAATAAAAATAAAAATTTTAAAAAATAAATTTAAACCAAACTTCAAGTTGGTTGAAACTCATTAGATTTGGATTTTAACTAGAACTTAATCTTATTCATTGCTTCCCATTTGCAAATAGTTATTCATACACTACTAATGAGTGTCCCTCCGATGTTTGATAAATGGTAGGTTTAGTTTAATAAACGATAAGTTTAGTCATTCGTGTATTTGAATCATGTAAATTATTTATAATTCATATATCTGTATTATATTTTATATAAAAATTATATATCATAATTTGTGTAGATATAAAAATATAAAATATATTTTTTATTTTTATTAAGTTCATATATAATTTTTATTAAATTTTAAATCGTATTACTTTTTATAATTTTTATATTATATCATTATATCATATTTTAAATTAACATATCTAAAAAATATTATTTATATTTAGATGTACAAAAATAGGTTTGGAAAATGTTAAATGCGAAAATATAAATTTGACCAATACCATATGAAGGTTTTTTTTTTTTTTTAAATTTACTCTATGGAGGTTTTTTTTAAGTAAATTATTAAAAAAAATGTAATCTAATTAATTATGAGATTGTTTAAAGTTCATTTATGAACTCCTTAACTAAGTTGGAGTTGAGCTTAATCATTTATGAATTCATAAATGAACTTTAAACAATCTCATAATTAATATATTACATTTTTTAATTATTTCTTTATTTATGAGCTCAACTATTCTCATTAGTGAACTATCTTAACTCTAACTTAGTTCATTCAATTAAGTTTATGATAAAAATGTTCATGAGTAAGGTCGGATTGAATTTGGATTGGATCTATATTTGATATTAATATATATTTGTTTAGATTCAATCTAACTTGATATTTTAAACCTCGAAAAATTTTAAATATGATTTAAATTAAAAAATAAATTCTAAGCTCACCTATTAAGCTCATTTTATATAATAAAAAAATTAAAAAATAAAAAATTATCCTTTTTAAAAAATAAAATATTAAAATAACAATTCATATATATATATTTATATAATTATAACATTATTAATTTATATAATTATAATATTTTAATAATATTTATTTTATTCAAGTCATGCGTGAGCTTTAATTGTTTTATTTAAAGTTTGAATCAAAATTTAAACGAATTTAAAAATTATATTTAAATTCATTTAATGAATCTTAATTTTTTTTTTTCAATTTTTTCAAAATTTAAATAAAATTTTAAATTTAAACTAATAGTTCATTTCTTAAAGTAGTCTAATTTAAAATATAAAACTCGATTTCAATAACTTTTAAATGAAAAAAAAATCATGCCCAAAATTTTAATTTGAATTAGACAAAAATTTAAAATAAAAAAAAGTGAATGATTGAACTCAAAATTATACTTAGTTATTTATTCCAAACAAATTGTACTTGGTTATATCATCATTGCCAACCTAATTATTAACAACAAGTCCTAGCAGCTACGGCACTTCAAGTCACCCTATTTTTGGCTTAAAGTGCTCAATTCCAAGAAATTTCTTTTTTTTTTTTGTTTTTTTTTTTTTACAAATATAAGAAACATTACTACTTGAATTTATTATATATTTATAGCAACTTAAACCCAAAATGGAAAAAAAAATGTTGTTATGGGTGTTTGATTAGGATACCTTTTTCTTTCTTTAATAAAAAAGAAGGCTTTACTATAAATTTTTAAAATATTTTATTTTTAATAAAGAATAAAAAGTTACTAATAAATTAACATGATTAATTACTTTTTTGGTCAACAACATGATTAATTACTTTTCTTTTGGCCAACAACATGATTAATTACTTAAATAAATAGGTATAATTTATATATAATCTCATATATAGAGTTTAAAAATATCATCACTCATTTAAGATAATAATCATTAATACTATTATTTTTCTTTGAAACTTGTATATACTTTGCATATTAATGTTTTCAAATTTATAGCTCAAGTTATGCACGTGTTAAATATAATATTTAGTGCCAATAATATTATAAAAATTAAATTGAATTAATTGGTTAAATTAAGAATTTATAGTTAGTCCGATATTAAAAACTAAAATATTGTCATTTCATTAAATCAATCAAAATTCGATAAAATCAATTTGATCATATTAGTTAAACCTAATTGGAAACTATTTTTATTATTTATATTATTGTTTATTTTTTAAAAATTTATTATAAATGATAGGATTTGATTTTTTTAAAAAAATTTCATTAATGTAATAATCATCAAGTTAAATATTTTTTACCAAGTGTTTGTCATATTTAATATATATTTTTATATTTATGACAAATAATGCATTTGAATCATAATTAAAGCTTTATATTAAATAGATCAATTGAGCCTACTGACATCCAATCTGTTCAATTATTACAATCGTACTTAAAAGAACTAGTGGATTCATAAATGATAAAAAAATTAAATATTTTTTATTATTTAAAAAGTAATGAAAGATTTATTATTTTATTTAAGGGTGAATATTACACTTTCAATTAAATGTATGATTGATATTTAAGGATTTTAAATTGAGTTTTTGAAAAAATAAAAATTAATTAAAAAGATAAAATATATTTGAATAGATATTAATTATTGATTTATAAAAAAGTGCATTATTTACTTTTATATTAAGTAATGGAAATTTTTACTATTTTTTAAGTAATATAAAGGATCCTTTTTTGAAAAAAAATACCCAGTGACAAAATTTGTTTGAAAAAAAAAAAATTAGTGACCAAATTTTCTTAGAAAAATTTAATAAAATTAAAAAAAAGTCAATAGACAAATTGGACCCGGCCCAAGCCTGATAGGATGAACATTTTTTTTTTACTTTTATTTTTTGGTAAAATGAAATTCCAGGTTAAGTCCAGCTGGGATTTAGGCCATCCAACCCTATTTTCCACACTGTTATCTTTCAAAGTTTACTTACATTAATATATGATATTTATTTGTTTTAGATAAAAGTATTTTTACAAAAAAAATATCGATGATAAGATTTGAATCTCAATTTTATTAAATGTAAATGTGTCAAATAGATTGAGGGACTCGTGACATAATAAAATTTAATATGACATTAATTTTGTTCGATATGATCCATTATTAAATAATCAAATTAGGTTAAGTACCACATATATATGTATATTGTTGAACTAAAAATTTATAACATATGGGTCAGTATGGCACAATCTATTAAGGGTTATTGTTAGCATGTGATACGTGAGCTAACAAGATATGACACTAAAGCTCAAATATTGTTTTTTTTTTTTTTTTAATCTTGTAATGAAATTATAATTACTTTTGACATTTTGTTGATAATTTATAAAAATAAAATTATATTAAATAAATTTACTTATAATTTTTTTTTAAGTTTCACTTATAATCAAGTATTATATTTATGTAATTAATTAAATAATCAAATTATTACAACACTGAATAATTAGCCAATACATATTTTGAATACAAAATATATAATATGTAAATTTTTTATAAAAAGTTAATGAAAACAACATTATTAGTAAATTCATTAAAAAATTAATACTACCAAAGTAAAATAATTGCCACTTGATCTACAAATAGCTAAGATTTCTTTAGTAAATATTTTAATTATTCTTTACGTATTTATAAATTTGAATAATACGAAAAATGTTAAAATTTATAATATAGAAAAAAAGTTGGTTTTTATATTCCAAGTTCAATGAACTTTCTATATATATATATATAAATATACTTTAAACTTAATCAATAATTATAAATTTACAAAAATTATTAATGGATCACGTTTAATCAAATTTGATACGAAAAATAATATTTAAATTTGTCACGATCTATTAAAATTATAAACCAAGCATTATATCCAATATATTATTTTTTTTATAAATCGTATTGACATGACATATTAAATAATAATGTTATATTATCATAATTTATTAAAATATATGTTAATATTTAAATGAATAATATGTTCGACACACTTTTAATTAGATGTCATGAATTAAATGAATTAAATTTTAATTTGTATTTTTAATTACATGTAAAGGAATTTTTTTCAAAAACATATAGAATATTCTCAAAATAATAAGAAAATAGTAAACATTTAGATTTATGAAGGATTGAGAGAATCCAAAAACATAATTGAACAAAACAAATCAACGGTCCAAATCAGATCATCATTCTCAGTCCGTTGATGAATGAGGATATAATGATAAAAAAACGGTCTGATTCAATTAAAATGATTCACACAAAGGGTGAAGGTGGCGTGGAGCTGAAACACTGATGCACAAGCATTAAGGAGTGTGAAGATGAAGCAGTAGAGTAAAATTATCTCCCATAAGTATATAAGGAAGAGCAGAAGCCAAATTTCCCCCACCAAATTTATCAGATCAAATAAACCAAAAAGAATTAAAAAAAAACTTTTTTTTTTTCATTTTTTTACTGCAAAAAAAAAAAACTTTTGAAAAATTTTTTTGAATAAAAAATTTCAAACCAAATTACTAAAAAAAATAAAAAATCAGACTCTTTCTTCCATTTTTCCTGAGACTTTCTCTTTATCTATATATTCCTCACCTTGAAAGCCTTTCATTTCTCTTTACACCATCTCTTTTTGCTCTTTCTATCTTGAACAAAGGTTTTTTTTTTTTTTAATTTTTAATTTTCCTTGTGCATTTATACAATACAAATTTATATAAATATTTGTGGTAACTGAATTTGCATTTTGTGATTAAAAAAGTTGAGATTTTTATAAGACAGGAAACAATTGAGAGAAGAAGGAAATATAATTTGAAGGGGGCAAGGCAAATAGAAGAGAAGAAAGAGGATGAAATTAACCTCCTCAATTCTTATTCTTATTGTGCCTCCTCTCAGATCTTAGTTTTTTGCAAGATTTGGCACTTTGGTTTACTTTGATTGGTGGGTTTGCTTTTTCTGCTGAATCTAGATTTGGGTTTTCGATTTTCTGCTTAAATTTCTGATAAATTGTTGCAGCTATATCAATTTTCTGATTAATCAACAATCTGGGTTTTTATGGTTTTTTGTTTTTCCATTTCTGAATTCCAGGTGAAGTTAAATTCTGGGTTCAGTTGATTGATCGTGGAAGGATCTGTTTGTTTCTAAATTTCCAATCAGAGAGAAAATTTTTCATTTTGTATCGGATTACAATTTTGTTGTTAAAATAAAAGGTATGAATTTTATCTGCATTATTGTGATTGGATTGATATAGTCAATAAAAGACAAAATTTTGATGTGTTGTTATTAATTTGATTCACTGAGAAGGAATATTTTGGTATTGGTTTTTGGTTGGTTTGTTGTTGTTGCAAAGGAATTTTTATGTCTTGCATTGGATCTAGTAATAAATTTGTCCATTTTATATTAGAGTGTGTGTTTGATTTGCATTAGTGGATGGTTTCCACTTTGTAGTGATGGAACTAGCTTTTTGCAATGTAGAAAAAGATGTCTGAGAATGGTAAGCTATTTATTGGTGGGATATCTTGGGACACCAATGAAGACCGTCTCAAGGAGTATTTCAGTAGTTTCGGTGAAGTGGTAGAGGCAGTGATCATGAAGGACCGAACCACAGGGCGTGCACGTGGATTTGGTTTTGTTGTTTTCTCTGACCCTGCTGTTGCTGAGAGAGTCATCAAGGAGAAACACAACATTGATGGCAGGATGGTAAGTTGTTGATCTTTAAGCACACCATTTTAGATTAATATTGTGCAATGTACTACTCATTGATGCTATTAGGTTATTGAAGCAAAAGGTGAATATTCAATTCCTTATTGGAGTTATGAACCCGATACTGTAATTGCAGGAATTCTATAATTCTGGTTCTGTGTCCAACTAAATTTCAAAATTGATCCAAGAGTAATCATGCTTCCTCTTATTTATTTTTTCATTTGCAATGATATAGGTTATGTTTGTAATTCTATTCATTTACTATACTTATATTGAGCTGAAAGAGTTCGTGCTGTTTAAGTTTGATTTTCATCATTGAGTTGCTTATGCTCAGGTTGAGGCAAAAAAAGCAGTTCCTAGGGAGGACCAGAACATTATGAGTAGAAGCACTAGCAGTATCCATAGTTCACCTGGTCCTGGCCGCACAAGAAAGATTTTTGTCGGAGGTCTAGCATCAACTGTCACAGAGAGTGACTTTAAGAAGTATTTTGATCAGTTTGGGAATATCACAGATGTCGTGGTGATGTATGATCACAACACCCAAAGGCCTAGGGGTTTTGGCTTCATCAGTTATGATTCAGAAGAGGCGGTGGACAAAGTGTTGCAAAAGAATTTCCATGAACTGAATGGTAAAATGGTTGAGGTTAAACGAGCTGTCCCCAAGGAGTTATCACCTGGTCCCAGTCGCAGCCCCCTTGGTGGATATAACTATGGTCTGAATAGGGTCCACAGCTTTCTTAATGGCTACACTCAGGGATATACTCCAAGTAGTGTTGGAGGCTATGGACTTAGGATGGATGGTAGATTCCGCCCAGTTTCTGGTGGTCGAAGTGGGTTTCCTCCTTTTGGTTCTGGTTATGGAATGGGCATGAACTTTGAGCCAGGGTTGAACCCAAATTTTGGAAATAGTGCAAATTTTAGTAGTAATATGAGCTATGGACGAGGATTGAGCCCTTACTATATTGGTAATACAAATAGATTTGGTAGTTCTATTGGGTATGATGGAAGCAGTGGAGGTAATACATCCTTTTTCAGTTCAGTGACCCGGAATCTTTGGGGAAATGGGGGGCTTAATTATAACACAAATGCTGCTAGTTCCAGTACATATATGGGAGCTGGAAGTGGGAGTGTAGGAGGAAGTGCCTTTGGAAACAGTGGGATTAATTGGGGTTCTTCTGCAATTTCCGGTCAAAGTGGAGGGAATAATGTTTCTAGCAATAGTGTGAATTTTGGCTATGGAAGTGGTGATAACAGCTTTGGGTTTGGGACAGCCGGGTATGGGAGAAACAGTGGGAACAATGCGGCACCAACATCATCATATGTAGCATCAAATGGTGGTTATGATGGGGCCTTTGCAGACCTTCACAGTAGTGCTTCAGTTTATGGGGATACCACTTGGCGATCATCAACATCTGAGCGAGATGGTTCTGGTTCCTTTGGCTATGGGCTTGGTAGTGTCACTTCTGATGTTTTGGGTAAAAGTTCTCCTGGTTATGTTGGTGGTTATAGCATTAATAAAAGACAAGGAAATAGAGGTGAGACTTGTTCCTTAGCATCCTAAGATCTCTCTGTCAATGATTTTCAGCTTGAGGAAATTTTTGGTTAAATGTTTTAAGGAATTATTATTGATGTTCATGGAAGTTTAGTAGCACAATCTTGTTTAGGTGTTGTAGAAACATAACTAAATGGAACCTTAAAAACTTTCATGTACAGACTCTGCTTGCAATCTTTCTTTGGTCCTAAGTCTTAAATTTGGCAGCACATTCCTCGTAGTAATATGATCTTTCATTTCTTAACAGTTGCGTGACATGCTTGCTGGCATTAGATGAACCATGTCAGTCAAGATTGATGGACGACTTGTGAACATAATGACCATATAATTCATTCATTAATTGATTGTGTTATTTTTATATTTACTGTGTATATCATTTACATTTGATAGTTTTTATAACATTTCTGTAATTGGTTATATAATTTGGTGTGAATAATTGCTGTCTTATACAAAGATACTTATCATAAGAGTAACAATAGCACGTACAAACTTAAACATTTCTTATCTATCTTATTGTTTGCTTGTTCTGTTGTTTACATGTATATTCTTGCACAAGTTGAATTGGCTATTTGGGCCTAGTGTTTCTCATGTTTAAGCCCCAATTGGAAGGTTTTGAATGCACTAATTAGTTTCCTAGAACTAGTAGCGCCTTTAGCTTTATATTTTTCATTTCATATTTGTGTTAGGGTTTATAGGTTGGAGGCTATAAATACTTAATTTCATAATTTTCTAAAGAGTTTTTGATGGTGGATTATTGAGATATTCAGTTTTTGGAATTAGATTCTTTCCCTCCACCGTTCTTCCCTCTGATTCTCTTATTCCTCCTATCAATACCTATTTCTCTTTATGTTTCTGTATTTCTCTCGTTTCTCTTTAGTTTTCCTCTCCTTCCTTCTAACTTGTGCCACATCACTCATCGTCTTTTCAGAAACTTAATGGTGGTCTTACATTTGTCTAATCTTCTAGGCCTAATGTTGCTTGAATTGTGATCAGTCTTTCCTTCCATGATATCTCTTCTGTCTTTTTAAAGTTTAAAGCATAGTTCGAATTTGTAACAAACCTGTTCACTAGATATACCAAGTTTGGCCTCTGTCTGAACATACTTTTTAAGTTCCTGTATTTTCAAGTGGTACCTCCGTGCTAGTTGCACTTTGTTATTTGCTTTATAGACACTTGTGAGTCTTGTATGGATGCAAATATATAGTCTCAAATGCAACTCCTAAAATCTTTTTCATGGCACCCAACTTTATTGCATGTGTGAATTTAAGATTATGGACAGATAGTACATGGGGATTTGGTGTTTGCATGTTATGAACTGAAAAATTGTGAAAACACTTAATGAAAATATAGTTTTTCCTGAGCATATTGAAAGAAATATGCAACATTCTCGTCATTCTACTCTCACACATGTGATTCCTTAACAACTGATGGAAAGAGTTTTTAGTTTTTGTCACTGTCATTTTTCATGGAACCTATAAATCTTATCTTTAATATTACCTTAACATGATTGTCTTGGAAAGTTATGTATCTCCTCAAAACTTTTCCCATGCTTCTTAGCACTTCTTCATGCAATTCATATGTTGATATTTTCTTGTTGTGGCTGATACAAAGTCTTAGATGATTTTTATGGAGAGAATATAAACGTGCCTTATAAGGACATATTTCTTCTTCCCTCACCTTCTACAGTTTGGTTTTTAGTTTTTTGATTTTTTGTTCCTTTTTTTGGGCTAGGCAAGAGAAGCAATTGCTTTTGCTCTCTCATCTTCTGTTTTCCCCTTCAACTTCATTGGTCCGTTCATGTTAACTAGGTTTTGCGGTCTAATGCCTACTCCACAAATTTTCCACTTGATTGTGGTGTTATCAGGTTTCTAAGCATAAAATGAACAAAATGCTTAGAGAAGAAGAATGTCAGAAATTGGAGGGGAAAAACATGAGTTGAATTTGGGCGTTGCAGATTAGATCTAGCACTAGTGTGGTTTAGCATTGGATTTCCAACAACATGGAGCATGAACTTTGACCATGTTTCTCTTGATATTGACAGAGGCGTATCATTCTGTTTTCCTGACTTGTCACTAGTTTCTAGTCTTTTTTTTAGATGTGAGACACCATAATTTTCTTATGGAGGCTCTTTTGTCACTCCATACTTACTCTTTTATTTAATTTAAGGTCATGAAAACAGGATAGTCACTAATAAGAGAGCTGAGTTCTTTATATTTCAATTTCAAAAAAGAATTATGGTTGGAAAAATATCATAGGCTCAGAGTCTGTTTATGGATTTATTGTCTGATGTGCAGAGTTTCATGACTGTTCTATTCTGCCTTACGGTCATATATTTGATTGCTTGCTGATGCATTAAATTAGTTGATTGTCCTTTGATGTGTGTCATATCAATGATTTTGCTTCACCAACTAGCAAGTGTTATTATTTAATTATTAATTTTAGAAATTTATGATGCCATTAATAATTGCTCTAATACAGTCTTGCTGCTTTGAAGGAACCAAATGCTCTTTTTATAAAACATGTTTTTGATGTACTTTCCAAAACATTTTTATAAATTTAGTATTTCTTGAGTCGGTTTCTTCACACTTACATATTTTGATTTTCTCTTGGTTCAGGAATTGCTAGCTAGAAGATTATTTTGGTTATCACAATACTGTAGGTGACGATAATCTCATGAAGCAGGTGATCTGTGAATTCTGCACATATCCCTCGTTAATATGTTTCAGTTAAAAGAAACTTGGTTTCCTAGAGCTAACCGGTGAGCCTGTTTTGGAGAATTAAATTTAGAGGTAGAAATCACAAGGGATTTTGTGTTAAGGCTTGAGTTTTGAGTCACCTTTTTAGGGTTTCTTTTGGTATTTGAGTGAGATGTAAAATCAGGTTGTGGGATATAGTCAGAAATGTATCATGCATCTCATGTGAGGTGGCGGTACATAACGATATAGACTCTATATTTTTTCTCCTTAGATTTTATGTTCTGTAATGGCTCTGGCAAAGTTGTGGGTTCTTGTCATTTATGTTCTGTTTTTTTCCCCCGTTATCTTCCATTATTTGGGTTTGTCTTTCAGCCAGATTGTACCTGAGGTTCTTGTTGATTTACTAGTGTGAAACATTAAAAGGGGCACCCTTCTAGGGTCCCTCTGAATAAGTTACGATATATGCTGATTCTTTATCCATTGAAACTCTTTGTGAAATTCTGAAATGGACAATTTGAATTGATTTTTGATCTTGCACCTTTTTTTGTTTGTTTGCCTGCAAACTGAGACTTAATATGCAAGCCATGTTCATAATTAGTGCTATTTTGATGATTTCTCTAAGCAATTGCATTGCTTTGGCTTATATATGGGCATATGTAGGCATATGTACATGTGCTTATTTTCATGTCAGCTGTTCATGATATTAATTAGAATCTGGGGCTTCAATTCACTTTCATTAGTTTATGATAATTATCATGTTTTCCATGATGGCATCGCCGTTTTAATCACTTTTTTTCCATTTTCATTTCCATTCAAATTCTTTGTCCATGAAAGGAAGCTTGTCTGCATCTTTCCCCTTTTCCCACTACATGTTTCAGTTTGGAAAGGTAAAGGCAAAAAAATAGAAGATATGATCCTGCAATGACCATGAAAATAGCTTGTTCATTTCTCTTTTTGGTATAATTCTGAGTTATTACAAGAATCCAACATCCTAACCACAAAGATGATCATGTTAGAGAGCTCGACAGTACCGGTCTTTGCTGTCCAAGCGTATCACAACATGATGATTAAATTACTCGGAGTTTATCTGTCTCCACCAAGGCCTGTCTGGATGAAAATCACTCACTGCAATGCATGCCTTGGAGATGTGGCATGATACAAGTTGCTCCCAAGTGCACACAACTATGAATAAAGCTTACATTATAATAGGGGCACGTTTCATCCACTTGCTATGTTTTGCTTTATTTTGTTCTTTGACGTTGTGATTGAAATTGAATGGGAGGAGCCTGTAATATCTATCTAGTAGCCCGAAATTTCAAAAGATGGTTAAAAAAAACCCCAAAAAAGCCGATGGAACATCACCTTTCTGACCTGCTTTACAGCCTGTAAATTGTTAAAATTCTAATCCTACAAGGCTACACGTAATTGATGGGTGAAAACTAATGGGGCAGGCATTAGGCCGACAGTTTTTCCTTTTGAAAGAGGCTTGCCCATTGACTCCCAAAAAAAATGCAAGAACAAACGTGGACAATGATAAGAAAACACTACCGAGGAACATGATGTAGGCAAGCATCATGGTTTCCATCTCGTTTTGACTTATTTTGGTGCTGCTGACTGCAAGCATCCGCCATCTTTCATGGTCGTTTGTTCCAATTTGCGACGGCAATGTTCTTACAAGACTTGCTATATTTGACTCTCTCTCTCTCTCTCTCTCTCTCTCTCTATATATATATATATATATATATATCATTAAAGCCCTGTTTCCAACTGATGCATGCATGGTTTTTCATCTTCAGTTTTGCCCATCCAACCTGTCACCAAAATGGCTCTTTGACCAAAGCAAACTGGGAGAAACAATATGAATCTTGTTGCCCAGGACTGGAGAAACTAATCGAACGTGGACTTTTCATGCATGTTAAAGATATTTGATTTTAGCTGAAGCAATTAGGACAGCTTTTTTCCAACCAGCTGATGCCAAGCAATTATACCGGTAACCTTAGCCTTGTGCAAAGGATAGTTTCATTATTGACTATAAAGGGGTGATTATTCCATTATAATGTTAGCTTCAAATTATTCACCGCCTACAATTTATGTAGGTGTGCGTTTGGAGCACGTAATTTTTGATTAAATGTTAGGTATTGAATCTCATTCGTAAGCTAAACTTGTATGTTTATATTCTAAAACTTCATTTAATAACATTGCAAAAAAAATCTTTATTGCTTTACAATTTTTTTTTTGATAAGAAAAAATCCGGGAGTAAATAGATTGTTTAGTCCTTCAGATCATGACAAGATGTCCCGTATCTGATAGTTTAAAATAGGTGGTTATAGGTCATGTATTCGAAATGATCCCAACAAATGATTATCGACAAAACTCAGAACCTAAAATTTTTTCGTCGAAGAAAACAACCTTAATCAATTGAACTATTTGTTGGTATTGCTTTACAATTATGTTTTATGATTGGCTCTCAACTGATAGTCCACTCAACAAAATTTTAAAAAAAAGTTTTACCTTTTTCCAATAATCCCATATTTTAAGTGCTATGATCAATAGTTCTATTTGTTTTTGACATTAATAGTTCTATTTATTTACTAATAAAAAAAATAAAAAAATTGATACTATTTAGTTTAGTTAGACAATTATAATGGTTCTAACGTACTATTTATAGCTTGTCTAATTCAAATTGCATAAGATGAAAAGAGCTTTCATAAATAAAGAAGATATTTTGGGTTGCAATATAGCACCAGCGTCAAGATGGCCGAGTTGGTCTAAGGCGCCAGTTTCAGGTACTGGTCCGAAAGGGCATGGGTTCGAATCCCATTCTTGACAAGAAGAATTTTATTTTTGCATGCTGGTTTTGATAATGCAGCATAAAATAGCTGGGCTTAGTACTTTTGATGGCCCTGGACCCATAAAAGCTATGCTGCACTGCATATTAATAAATTGCAAGTGGAGCTTTCACAGTTGGTGATGTGATTACATATATACATATCCCAGAAGAGGCTATTTTATGTTCCCCTTGAGATATTATTAACCAAAGGAAACACTTTCATTGGAATTCTCGCAGTCATGCCAGAAGCTGCAGTTGGTTAGAACTACATTTTTACAACCAAAATATTGGTGGAACAAGCATCAATTAGTAATAGTCAGTTGTAGAAACCAGAATTGCAGAAGTGAATGGCAATTGCTAATGTGAATGCTGAGTTTTCAGAAAAAACAAAATTAAAGTTTTTGATATTGATGGCAGAAACTTGTAATTGCATAAACACCAATGCATTGGGCTTCATCCGACATTTGTTCCTAAGGGGACAGAAAATCGAGCAGTCCCAATGACAGAACATTCTGGCCATACAGTGGATGAACCTGGGGAATGTTGTTTGAAACTGAACTTCCAGCTTGCCAGACACGATTAAAAGTAGTTTGAGCAGCTAGTGGTCCGAGGACAGCAAAGATAATCATCTCATTGTTAACATACTCTGCTGAGATTTCTGAAACTGGAATGCTGAGTTCCCCAGGCTTCATTGAAGGGTTGTAACTTGTTATCGGTGTTGTATAAGCAATCATACTGCCATTAGAATTGCGAAAAGCAACAAGAGCTTGAGATCCAATCATGCCTCTTCCCTTTGGATTTATTGCCATGCAATCCATCCACTAGGAGTCTGGGTAGCTGTGTATGCAATCTGAATCTTTCTAGTGAATGGACTGTCGTTCCAGTGTAAATATGCTTGAAGAACAGGGAGGTCAGTACAGGAATCGAAGACTTCGTTACCTGGAAATATGTAGTTTAAGCAGGTTTGAGCTGAGGAAATGAAGGCCAAAGATGTAAGAGTGCAGATCAGCAATATCATCTTTCTGGTTATAGCCATGAGATATGTTGAACATGAGGCTTCCCTGATGCCTATGCATTATGATGAATAGTTGGGGCGCCGTCCTGATGGCTCATATATAGAGTCTCAACATCCTCAATTCCAACCTAGTAGGTTGATACCAGCTAGTAGTTAATTACTACTAATTCCAAGTGAAGGCCTAATCCAGGAAGTGCACATTTTTTGGATGAACCAACAAGAAATGAACACAAATACTTAACACAAAGTTTAGACTGAAAAAATTTGTATTTATTTATTCTATCCGTTATATCTTGGTCGCCCAACCTGATGGATCAGATGCTGATTGGGCGATCAGGGTATAACACTACCAAGTTATGAAGCTGATTAATTATATAAAAAAGAAACAAAAAAAGATGGTTTGGGATCTGTTTTGATTGTTTGAATGGCCAGCCAGCTTTGGCTGAGCCTAGCCCAGCCCATTTAGAGGAAAACGTAAGATTATGTCATTGGAAAAATCAGAATCACATGAAAGCTGTAAGTTTGAATAATATGAAGAAATGGAGACCATCTGACCATGCAAACATAATTTCTTGAAGTAATTAATAAAAAAAAACTCTATTATTGATTAATCTGCCATAAGCGAAGACTTTATCAAACACAGATTGGGAAAAAAGTTGGATGACTTGTAGATCAAGTAAGTAGAAAATAATGGGCTTGGGATGTTTGAACATTTCTTGATTTGGGGATTGCCATTAAAGAAGGGATTATAAATTGAAATTTCAATGAAGGATCATTTGGCATTTGGATCCTTTCAATGCTGATGATCATGGTTGGTCTGGAAAGGCTGCTACTCCAGAAACGTGGGTCTCCTTTTTGGACTTGGATACCATGCTTATGTGGTAAATGAGAAGTTATTTTGACTTTTGCTTTGTCCCAGAAAAAGACATTAAAAATTCAAGTTATTTTATGGTGTCAATTCTGAAAGTTGACCAAGATCTGAAATGTTTCTAGAAAATTTTGATGATCATGGTTGAACTTTTCTTTTTCTTTTTTTTTTAAGCTGCATTAATTAAGGGGATGAAAATGAAATTGCACATTTATTTCCAAATGTAGCTTAAAAGCTTTTTTTTTTTTTTTTTGGAAAAAATTGAAATATTTTGGTTATTCCTTTAGTTATTATTTTCAATTCTTCGCCTCAGGTGAAAATATTATTAAATTTTATCGATTATCGTATAATTTGTTCATAAAATGTTATATCATTAGTTCAAATGAAAAAAAATCAAATTCTAACAATTATAAATATACAAAAGGAAAAAAGAAATTTAGGGTTGTTCCAATTTCATGTTATATTATAGTCTTCCTATTTTGACCTCAAAAGCAAATGCAACAAAATTACTTTGAATCTTTCATGACCATAGATGATTAGAAGCACAAGCACAACCAAAAGTTGGGGAGAGGGTGGGTGGCCAACATACTTCTTATGTTAAGAAAGTTTAACACGATATTTTGTGAAATTTAGAAAAGAAATTTTCAAAAGGTTAAATTGTTAAATAAAGAATTTAAAAAAATTGAGGGGCTAAGTATGGTGCACCTACACAATTAAAGAGAATGAGTCTTTTTTTTTTTTTAATTTGATAAAATTTAAGATTTAATTCAAGTAATTTGTAGGTGACATTCAATATTTTTAATAAAAATAGTTGCATCAATCAATTTGAATCGTATAATTTAATTCTTGTTTATTTGTTTGATTGTTTATATATATTTTATTTGTTAATTATGAAGCAAGGAATGGCAAATTGTTATTGCTTTAGCGTTTAGATTGCTAGAAAAAAAAAATCCTTCCACCTACCTACTTTTGCTTAGTTAGGTGGCAATTAACTTTTTATTTTACGTTTTTGGGGGGTTTAAGAAGGAGCTTTAGAATTCTAATTATTTATTCTCATTCGAGAGAATTTTAATTAAGATGTTGTTTTGAAATTAATTAATTAATTATGTATACTATCAATTGAATCTAAATGTCAATTTCAGTAAGGTTTTTTTAGCATAAATTTTTCTATAATTTTTTTTAATTGTAATTATAATAATTTTTATTATTATTTTTAATTTCATCAGAACCAATCTCATCATTCATCTAAATAAACCATTAGATTCGATGATTCGTGTATTTATATTGTATAAAATATTAAAATTTTAATATTTATATCATATTTTATATAAAAATTATATGTTATAATTTATATAAATAAAAATGAAAAATATATATTTTTAATTTTATTAAATTTATATATAATTATAGTTAAAATTTTATATCATATTACTTTTGTATTTTTTTATATTATATTTATATCATATAATTATATTATATTTTAAATTATTAGATCTAAGTAGATACGAAACTATTACTAATCTTGTTTCCTGTGGGCATACGTACGTCGCTAGGGTTTTAAATTAATAAATACATGTGCACTGACTTATATGATTCAATAATGTGAACATATATTTTATGATCATAGACATTGATATCCTATATATTTTTATAATAAAAATGGTTCACAAAGTTAGAATTTTTTGTTCTTAGTTTTTTTCTTTATGAGATATTGACTTGAATATTAGAATCGTCCTAAACCACCAACTTCAACATCCCCGATAGTCTTTGTCTTGCAGATCTTTCGACTCCATCACGAACAACTGTAACAAATTTTACACATCAACGGACAAAATTTGTGTAAAAAATTTAAATTAATAGATTGATAGCGTAATAACGAAACCGAGTTACTAAGAGCAATGACTGTGATATTTCAGACTCCGGAACATTTGATCCTTGGCGTCATGGTGGACTTCATAGCCCCATGGTACGTAAGGGTTGCAGATTACGCAAGACCCTGCCTCATGCTCGCCTAAGCGAGGATCTGGCAAGAAAAACTAACCTTTTACCCTATTGAAAGCTTTATTAATGTCAAACCTTGAAGATACTGAAATAAGAAACGTTAACCAAGATTATTGGTGTTTATAGTTAGTTGCATGTTCTAGGTTGTTCCTTGTTCAGGTAATAATCAATGGACAACAGAAGCTTTTAACAATGGAGAACATATGTCAGCCACTAAAATGATTTGGCGATCGATCAAATGCAGATCAGCAAACAAAAAGATATCTTTCATTGTATAATCTGAAAAAAACCCTAATGAATTTGCTAACTGTATGGAGTTTAATCATCAACCACCAAATCTAATGGATTCATTAGGTTTCATGAAAAATTTCTTTCTATTATACTGTAACTCAAAAGGGTTTTTTTTTTTGGTTTTGTTTCATATACATTTTGATCTGTTTATAATTGGTAAATTAATTCTAAAAGCAAAATTCTTATATAATGACTTGCTACGTACGTTTATGTTGTTTTCGTAAGTAGAAAGAAAAATGATTTGAATGGGTGATTAATCGATAAATAAAAATATTTTTAATTATATTTAAATGTAACATATTTAATTAATATTTAAATATTTAATTTAATGATTTACTCATGTATTTTTATTTAAAAAACAAATATAATTTTTTTCAAATAAAATAAAAATCATAAATAGGATCATGATTTCAAAATTAAAAATTAAAAATTTAAATCTTAACATAATAAAAAATTTTAAAAAATTTATTAGTACGGTATAGCAATTGATAATACAAGTTGGTCTGGAGAATCTCATATGATGATGTTGTCGGAAACGGCATCGGCCGGAGTACAAAACGACAAGTAGACACAAGGTTAAGAATGCCGAACCGACACGGCTTCTGGATTTCCTGATCGTACTCAAGTATCTGTTCGAACAAAACAATCTTTACTGCAATTCCATCTTTGACCTAATAATAAAAAAATATATATATATTTATATAAATTTGAAAAATGTATTAATAAATAATGCCGGATTTAGCCGGCGACATAGATTTATTTTCAAGTCAAACACCTTTGTTTATTTATTTATTATTTTTTCTGTTTCTTGCATTTTCTGTTGCTCCTTTGTCTTTTTAAGCCATTTGTTTCGATACGCATGTAGCCACTTTTTATTTTACACACAACTTCTAATCATTTTTTTTATAAAATTGAAGATTGAGATTAAAGTAAAATTTAATATTAAATTTTGTTATTGTGTATTAATTTTATTAAATTTTATCATTGTATTTTTTTATTTATTTTTATACATATAATGATATTTTTAATCTTCAAGTTATGTCAAATCTTACCTTTTTTTTGTTTTTATTCTCAGTCAAATTAATCTTATTTTAGCAGGAGAACTAATAATAATTCTATTAAGAGTGTACGGTACGAGAATATAACACTTAAAAATATCATATTATAATTAATCACGTATAATTTAAAATTATATAAAATTTATCAAAATGTTATATGAGATTCACATCTATAAATAATGAATTATTATATAATTATATAATTATAATTAAATAATTAAAATATTATATATATTATATATTTTAATTTTTTATAAAATAAAAAAATAATTTTATATCAAAATCTACTTAAATATATTAAAATTTATATTAAAATAATATATAAAAATTTAAAAAATTAAAAATTAAAAATTGATAAATCAAATTGAATCAAACTGATAAAATTTGATCCGATTCGGATTAAATGAAGATTTTGTTCGGATTCAATTTAAATTTTAAATTTTCATAATATTATGTAATGTTTAAAAAAATCAAATCAAATCTAATTTGAATCGAACCATTATCACATTTAAACAAATTACAAAGAGTAGTTGGATATAAGAGAAGAGAGAAACAGAGACAAGACATTACATTTCAAAAAACAAATGCTGCCAATAGGCCAAAGACTTTCTCCCATGCTTCCTCACTAATTTCAAAATTTTTCACTCTTTCCTCTCCTAAAAAATATTTTTATAAATTAAGATATGTTTTTCATAAATAAAAAAATTCATAAAAATAATTTATCAATATATTTTTGAATTAATATTATTTTTAATCTCATCAAAAACCCATAAAATGAGCCCTAAATATAATTGTGGTTTGGACAAAGTAAATAAATGAGTATATATTGTATTGTATGCAGAATTAGTCAATAAATACACACTCTTTAAATACTCACATGTCCTTCCTGACTTCTTCCCACTTCCCTGATCCTTTCCATCTCTAATTTATTAGGAAATAGAACTCTATATAAATCTCTGTTGTTGGCTTAAGACACCAAATTGCCTTGGGAAACAATTTTTCTGGAACATCGATCCTGGAAACCTTTTTTCTCTCCAAGCCCCAAGGTACGCAATTCAGTTTCGACATGGAGAAAGCCTGGAAAATTGTCCTGTTTTCCTGCCTGGTGGGTTCTTTGTTGGCTTCATCGTCTGCCCAAACCTGTCTTACCCAAACCTTTTCCAACAACAAGCAATATGCCAACTGCAGCGATCTTCCAGCCTTGAACTGTTACCTCCACTGGACGTATGATCAGGCAGCTGGCACCCTTGATATTGCCTTTAGACACACTGGCACCACCTCATCAAGATGGTCAGCATGGGCTATCAATCCCGAGGGACCAAGAATGTTGGGTTCCCAGGCTTTGGTTGCCTTTGTCAACTCCAGTGGCGTTGCTCACGCATTCACGACATCAATTGACACCATGAGCCCTTCCATGCAACAGAGTGATTTGAGCTTTGCGGTTCCAAACCTTTCAGCAACCTTTGAGAACAATGAAATGACGATATTTGCTGTTCTGAGAATCTCCGAGAGTTTGTTATCTACCAGCCAGGTTTGGCAGGAAGGTCCTGTGGATAACGGCCAACCTGGGATTCATCCGACTAGTGGAGCCAACCTTCAATCCGCTGGAAGTGTCAATTTCCTTACTGGACAATCTGGAGGGAGTGCATCTGGTTCAAGAACTAGAAGAAGAAATGTAAGTGACTCGAATCTTGGTTAATTCGATAAGTCAATATATAGTACGTCCATTACAATTTTATTTAGAATTTCCCTCTTAATTAAATGATTTATGATTAATTTGTTCAAAATGAATTATATAATGTAATTTTAGAGTTTACATGTTCACAAGATTTAAAAGTATGGGTCTTTCTTAGAAATTTATTGTTGGATTTGAGCTTTTGGATTTCAATTTGAACTTGTCAATTTTGACCATAGATATATAGAACTAGAATTACCGTACAAAAAATGATTCAACAGCCCAATTATTAAAAGGTGGTTTGGGTTGAATTTTCCAGGTTCATGGAGTACTGAACGCGGTCAGTTGGGGAATCTTGATGCCGTTGGGAGCCATGTTCGCTAGGCACATGAAAGTGTTCAAGTCTGCAAACCCGGCATGGTTTTATCTCCATGTTGCTTGCCAATCTTCGGCCTATATTGTTGGTGTTGCAGGATGGGCAACTGGCATTAAGCTCGGCAGCGATTCTCCTGGAATCACACAGAATCCCCACAGGAACATTGGCATTACCCTCTTCTGCTTCGGAACTCTTCAGGTAATTTCTTCTCCCTTAACATGAATTCAACATCAAACCCAATGATGGCTAAAGGAAATATGGAATTGCATATCTGTTTCCTTAAATTTATCTCAGATTGAAATATCACATGTTTGTAATTAGCATGTTTCTTAGATATATTTTATTGAAATATTGCCAGGTCTTTGCATTGCTTCTGAGGCCAAACAAGGATCACAAATACAGATTCTATTGGAATATCTACCACCATTCCATTGGTTACTCTGTCATCATCCTCAGCATCATCAACATTTTCGAGGGTTTCGACATCCTTCAACCCGAAGACAAATGGAAGAGAATTTACATTGGCATTCTCATATTTTTGGGTATTACCGCCACTTTGTTGGAAGCATTCACTTGGTACATTGTTCTCATGAGGAGGAAGAGAGGGTCAGACAAGCACTCTCACAGCATGAATGGAGCCAACGGAGTGAATGGATATGGTGCCAGTGGACACAGCGTATGATAATTTTTTTGGTTAGGATATTACCCATGAGCTTAGGATGTTTTGGATGACTCCCATTTGTTATTACAGCTTATTGTTTGTTTGTTTTTTTTTTGGTTGTGTTGTAGTTATGCTGTGATCTATGAGTTATACACTATAGTTTTGGCATGTATAGATCAACAATCCTTTTCTGTCTTGACTCCATTTTTCTTTCAATTCGTTTATTGTTGTTTTTTGATTCGGCTACACATGTTGGGCTGCGGAAAACTAAACAACAAAATTGAAATATAAGCCAATAAGGGTTGACCAAAACGATTAAGATTTAGAGTCTGAATGTAAAGTATTTGAATTCAAATCTTATAATTTTTTGTTGAAAGATGATTTATAAATCTAAATTTTTTTTAAAATATATGTAAACAGAATTCATAAATCTCGCTATGAGTTGATAATCTATTTTGGTCTTGAAAATGGGATAATCTCTTTTATTCCTAAATTTTTATTCAAAAAAAAAAAATGAAGTAATGACCAATTCCATTGAGACTTTGAGGGGAGTTGGTGAAGTCCAATAAAATGTGAGGACAAGTGTGTGACGCTACAATCATTTTCCAACCTCTTTCTTTAGTCAAAGAGATGGGTGGCTCCTGAAATACTATGAAATTTAAATGCTAAACAATTGAAAAATAAAATATGAGAAAAGTATAATAAGATTGAGTTCTAATTTCACTCATTTAATTCTTATAAAAATTATCATGAAATCTTGACAACTACAAAATCTTAATCATAATAATGTACTTTATATTAAATATATTTTAATTGAATAAATATAATTTTTATTAATAAATTTTATTCTAATTAAAATTTAAAATTTTTTATTTTTTAATGTCAAGAAAATACCTGCTACTACTATTGATTAAGACACTATTTAAATGAAGAAAGGAAAAAAAAGATAGAATATTTTCAACTTCCTAAAGATGAATATTTAATGTATAAACACACATTTGAGTATTGTACAATAGTTTAGATGAAATAAAAATGTTTGAAAATTTAACATGGAACATCACAATTATCTATATCTTGGCATGAACGATCTGTGGGTTGCAAGGTAGCAATCTCTTGAATGATTTGGGATTTGTCTGCTTCAAACTGTTCATCTTCTGCAGCACAAGAGAATTTGACATTAATTTACAGCATATAATTGTTCGAAGAGTAATTTTCAAAACAGATGTTTTTCTACCTTTATCAATATTGAATTCGCCAAAGAACCGAAGAAGCTTGCTTCTATTTGTGACAAGGATACTGATGATCTCGGGAGGCTTATTTTGATTTGCAACAAACAGCTATCAACAACAACAAATGGAGATATGAAAGCGAAAGGTGAACATGATTAAATAAAACAACGAAATCGCAAATATATGTGGCAAATTCATCATCATTCACCTTGAACACATGAAATGTATCTACTTTAATTGTCTTATTTGAATCCTGCAGATTGGTGAGACAAAATGATTAGAGTGAAACATATATAAGCAGCAGCTCTTCTATGTATGCAAAATGCTGTCAAGGAAGGTGTAAGGGTACCCTGAGAAGATTCATCATGATCCTCATGTTATCTAATGAGGTCACATACCGAAACATCACGGTGGAATTTGATCGATCTAGCAACATATCTCCAAGGAGCTGCAAAAAAAGGTCATCAGCATAGACAAGTGACATTGAGAGCAATCGAAAGGATCTGATATACCTTGACAGCATGTCTTCTGGTGATGTAGCTTTCGGATTGCAGCAATCGGGAATTGTATTCCTGGAGAAACTGTAAGCAGGGAAAAGATAGTGTCATGCAGATAACAAACCCAAATTAGAATAACCTGATATTATACCATTGGAAAACTACCCTAGTCTCCTACATTGATTCAAGTAAAAATAAAAAATTTTCTGGATATATGATTCGGATTAATCCTCAAGCTTATATATTCTGACTATGGCAATACAAGCTAAACAATCACATGAATCATAAATTCATTTACCTCTGAATTACATGTTATACTTGTATTAGTCACTGTGATCACACAGGGAAATAATTTCGTAACACAGATAAAAGTGTATCTAGATATTGAATCCAACACTTTACCCAGTCATAATTTGCAGAAAGGAATTCAGCCACAGTGGATTTATGCCTTGTCAAAAGCTCCTGCAGAAATGTGTTTGTGTGTCAGAGTTCACGTGTTTTTTTCCTAATTGATTTTTGGTATAAACAGAAGTGAGTGCTTTTAATAAAACACATATGACAGAAAAAGAGAAAATAACAAAAACAAAATGGTACTCAACTTTAAAAGTGGCTTGAACATCTGATGCTATGTCGAAATTTGGATTTTGTAGATAATCAAAAAACTTCTTCATATGATTTGATTCCAAGACATATCTGTAAAATCAACCCACAAAAAACAAAATTAAGTTTTTTCCCTTAAGTTTTATCTATCAATAAGAAGCCATGATAGAAGCTTTTAAAGTCAACCTAAATAACAGAGAATTAGGGAAAGGTGGGCAATTTATTTTTCACTCTATACTAGCTTAGGAAGAACAGGATAGTTCCAGTAAATTTCAGCACCTGCAACCTTTTCACTTATCCTCAGACCGTGGTCTCCTTTGTAAAAAATATATATATATACACACGGACAAACCAAATTATTTGAGTCAAAGCAGCAACTATGGATTCAAATTCTATGTTTTGCTCCTCATTCCTTTTAATTCAAAGCAAAGCATGGATTGTGAAAAAGTTTGCAGCAAATTTGTGTCAAGTGCATAATACCCTTTTTTCCCCTATATTAACCATGTATGTTGGATCTCCATCACTACAAATTCTGCTCGAATTTCAGATATAAAATATCCCCAAAGTTGTACAAGCTTGATTTTTGTAAGTATTTTCTCAAACATTTTGAAAACGAATCCTGATTGACCTTATTTCATACCTAGCAACATTCTGATGGCGGATGCACTCCCTTGAAATTGAACCATAAGTCCAAGAAATATCATCGTCTTCATAACTAATTAGCACACCAACACAACTAGTTAGTCACATTATTTCTATGTGAACCTTTTACCATGCAAACCAAAAAATTGAAATCGTACCCAGCTAACAAAATATCCATAACATCCAAGTTATTTTCCAAATACTCAGAAGCAATTAGTCTTGAATTCACCCTTTGTCTTTGCAGATTTGCAATCACATGAGTAGCGTTTAGACGGGCCTGCAAATCAAGAACTAATAACCTTATTACTTGTGTGTCAAGAAATGGTCATATTTCATGGATTTTAATGGTTACCCCTGAATCCAAAGTTGGAAGACAATTGATGAGAAGCCGAAATGTATCCTTTTGAAAGAACTCCTTTGTCAACTGTGCACATGCGTCTGAACTCGGCTCTGTTTGGCCATCGCCATAAAGAACAGTTCTTATTTCCAAAATCAGTTTACACAATTCTGAAATCTGCACAATTTATATAATCAATTCGCTACAAAAATTAAACCATAACGTCAAAACAAAGGGATAACAAAATGGTAGTAATGATGAAAACCTTCTCCGCTCGTTTGCGTTCACGGGTCTCAGTGTTGCTGATAACGCAAACAAGAAGCTCACGTGTCTGCTGCACCAGCTCCACCGGCGTCCGGGGCTTGGACTTGAACAGCCCCTTCATTTTCCCCTCCCTACACCCTTTTTCTTCTTCTCTCAATATCTTTGTTTCAAGGCTTTGGCAATGGACAATGCATGATTATTAGGGTTTCAGAAAAGGAGGTAAAGGGGCAAAGAAAAAAATGGGGATCGAATTGAATATTGCATGATCATTGCAAAAATGGATATTTTGGGGGCTGAAGCTTTTTTGAGGTTTGCAAATGGAGGGTGGTTAGTTAGTTAGTTAATTAGTTAGTTATATAATTAGAGTGAGTGAAATAGAGGCAACGCGCAGTTTATTCTCGCGTGCTATGCACTTGTGTTCGATGTTAGTATTTCATGCTATGCCACCGACTTTGTTCTCTATATTTAAATATGATAATTTATATATTTATATCGTGTATTCGTATAATATTTTATACAAAAATTATGTGTCATAATTCGTATCGATACGAAAATATGAAATATATTTTTTTGATTTTATTAAATCTATTTATAATTTTTAAAAAATTTTAAACCGTTTCATCTTCGTATTTTTAATTTATATAGTTTTTGTGTCATATCGTATTTGAAATTACCAATCTATCGATATTTGTATTTCATGATATGCTATAAAAATATTTAAAAAATTCACAATAAAATCTTTTAATTTATGGGTAAGTCAACATAATTCATAAGTGAGATTTTACAATTAAATTGATAAATAAGTGACATGTAAAAGAGTATAAATATTTGATACAAAAGTGATAGGATGATTAATATTTTCTAAAAATTAAAAAACCACATCCATTGATTTTTAACAATAAAGAATCATGTGAGATTTTAAGTAATTAGATCAACTGAATCATGTTAAATGGTGTTATATCGTATATGTTAAGTTTTGAATTATTTATAATTTTATATTCAAGTTAAACTTTTTTATTATAATTAATTAGATTATGGTTGGATATTTTGTTTTATGTCGGGCTCAAGTTTTGTTATGTTCTTCCTTCCTGTTATCCCTTTAGGGTTTTTCATGTGATGAGCCCCTTTGTTTTATGTCGGGCTCAAGTTTTGTTATGTTCTTCCTTCCTGTTATCCCTTTAGGGTTTTTCATGTGATGAGCCCCTTTGTTTTTGGCTTACATATGATAAGAATTTGTTAAATAATGTTATCTCATATTTGTCAAATCTTAATTATTTGTTATTTTTTATTTGTTGGATCTTTTCACCTTTGCTAATTAATTTTAAATTGGATGTCCATTCAAAATTACATCCATCTACAATGAGAAAGTCTTTGGCCGCCAGTTAAGCAGTGAGCTTCAGCTTCATTTTCTAACTTGTTTATTTCATGCTCAACAATGAGATGTTATGGAGATCAATTGCTGAATGGACCCTTTGCCATTCCTTGATATAACATGTTAATTTGAGGGCCTTGAGGCTGTCAAAGACTGCACAATAATAACCAAAAGGAGAAGAAGTGGCATGGCATCCTTAATTATATATTCAACTGAATCAATTATTACTTCATAATCAAGTTATAATTCCTAAATCAATTAACAAATTATAATATAACTAAACTATCAAACTCACACATAGTAAGACTTGAACTTAAAATCTCAAGATTATAGGTTTCCTCCTCATCACTAAAGCCAAGACTTCATTGGCAACATGATATATTTATTCATTACATAATTAAATAATTTTTTATTAAATCTAAAAGTTTTAAGCAGATAAAAAAATTATATATATTAATCTCATTATTAAAATGAAATATTATGTCATGCATAAGATATAGCGATCTCTTAATTTTATGAGTTAAGTTGGTTATATGGTTTGGTTACTTTTTGTTCTAAAAACAAAAGATTAACAATGTGAATAAGTAAATAATATGTTTGAATAAGTAGAAATTAAAAAAAAAAAAGGAATCTTTGTGATAATTAAATGTAGAAATATATATTTAAATAATATGAAATAATTATATTTTAATATATGCTAACTATTACAATTTAATGCTTATTAATGTCCATAATCATTTTTATATTAATACTAATATAAATTTTTTTTTACATGCTACTCATTGTCATCATAAAAATAGTGAGACTTTTACTTATTTAATCCCTCATTTTAAGTTTTGTTTAATTTTGCTGGGATATTCAAATAAAAAATTACAAAAAATTTACTATTTTAATTTTTTAAAATAATTGAGTGGGATCCATTGATCTTATTCAACTCAACACCCTGTATTTAAGGACAGTTTGACAGCTCCAAAACACCTGCAAACCTCAAATTATATGTATTTAAAACAGCTATAAAAGGAAAGAGCCAATAATAGCATGTAAACCAAGCCTGCATCTGAACAACAGTGATAACATTAGAAAGCATTTGGTTGAAAATTTGATTGGTTGTAGCTTTCCCCAGCATTCTATATAAATGGATTCAAACACATCAAAAGGCAAAATAACTTTTCCTTTCACAAGAATTCGTCATTTATAACAACAACCGAAGAAATCCAGATACTTAGAAAAAGGAAAAATATGGGTGTTCAATGGAATATGGCAATCATACCAATACTATTTTTATTTTTGTTCACTTCAACAGCTAAAGCTCAATCTGGGGTTTTTGATTTAGTTGCCAAGTATGGTGCAAAAGCTGATGGAAAGACGGATTTGAGTCAAGTAAGAAAAAATGCTTGTAATTTTATTTTTCAACCTCTGTTTTAAAATGATTTTCTTTATTTATTTATTTTTTGTCTTAGCCATTGTTGAATGCTTGGAAAGAAGCATGTGCGTCGACAACTCCATCCAAAATTGTGATTCCTAAAGGGACTTATTTTTTAAGTAAAGCAACCTTGGAAGGTCCTTGTAAGGGTCCTATTGAGCTTCAGGTTCAGGGCACTGTGATGGCTCCGGCAGATCCTAGCGTTTTCAAGCAGCCTGATTGGGTTGCCTTCAACCGCATTGATCAGTTCAGTATGTCTGGCGGTGGAGTTTTTGATGGCCAAGGAGCTACTGCTTGGGGCAAGAACGATTGTGCTAAACATAAATATTGTACCGCACTTCCCGTTGTAAGTTGGCTTCTTCGTGCAAGAATTTGAATTTTTTTTAACCCCTATTTCATTTTGAATTTATGTTAGATATTTTATCAGTGAATTGGATGATATTAACTTATTAATAAAATGAAATGATATCATTTGATACATTGATAATATATCAAATATAAACTCTTTGATTTTACTAATGAATTTATTTTTTGTGTTACTTTGTTCCATTCCAAAACGAATCAGAATTTAAGGTTCAATTTTGTGAACAATGCCATGATACAAGACATAACGACCAAAGACAGCAAACAATTTCATGTTAATGTTTTGGGATGCAAAAACATCACTTTCCTACATTTCACCGTCTCCGCACCTGAAAACAGTATAAACACAGATGGAATCCACATTGGACGATCAGATGGGGTCAACATTACTAACGCAATCATAAAAACTGGTGATGATTGTGTCTCTTTGGGTGATGGTAGCAAGAATGTGGTTGTCCATGGAGTAACCTGCGGACCAGGTCATGGTATCAGTATCGGTAGCCTTGGAAAGTTTCAAGGTGAAGAACCAGTTGCCGGAGTTCATGTGTCGAATTGCACCATCAGTAATACTATGAATGGTGTTAGAATCAAAAGTTGGCCAGCTTCCTATCCTGGCTCTGCAACGGACATGCATTTTCAAGATATCACCATGAATAATGTCGGCAATCCTATCATCGTTGATCAAGAATACTGTCCATGGAATCAATGTAATTTAAAGGTACGTACTTATCAAAATCTTGATCAAGTGAAAAGGGTTAGTCAATTTTTAAGCCATTATTTTGTTTTGTCCAGCTTCCATCACGTATTAAACTGAGCAACATTAGCTTCAAGAACATCCGAGGCACTTCTTCAACTCAGCAAGCTGTCAAACTTATTTGCAGTAGCAGTTTGCCATGCGAAGGTGTGGAACTCGCCAACATTGACCTTGTCTACAATGGACCCGAAGGACCTGCAACATGTCATTGTCAGAATGTCAGTCCCAAACTTACTGGCAAACAGAATCCGTCCACGTGTTCCACTCCTTCCCAGTGAACCCTACCTTCACCGCTACTTAATCTCTTTTGAAGTAATGAATCATAAGAATTAAAACGTGGAGGCACTTTAGGTTTCTAAATAAATGAAAATTTGCTTGTAAAATAATTGGAGAAAGCATCTCCACGTGCATTTTATTGTTCTTGGCATTTGGCAACTCTTTTACACGACGACGTTAATGTACAATTTCTTGTCACATAATTTATGTGAAAATTTTGATTCAAATAATCTTATTCACTTTGTATTTCTTTTTTTTTTTTTATTGGCTACATTTTGATTTACTGCTGGATTTTCTTATTATTTCTTCAATTGTTTTAAATATTTTAAGATACAAAATTATATATTCTAGATTAATGATTGAACAAATTGTTATTGCACTTGTACTTGATGGTTAAATGGTGCATACCATATATTATAAAAATATATTGAAGTATAAAAAATTATTTACTTTGTAATTATAATTTTTTATTAATCCCAGCATAATAAAATCAGTAATCAAATTCATCTCTTTTCTTGGGCATTTGATTTTTTCTTTTAATTTCTAATATACTCTTTAATTTTTTATTTTGTCTATTTAACTTAATTAAAGATGATATTATATACATAAATTTTTTTTTGAATCCGTAACTTTGTATTTGATTTCTAATTTAAAAACAAATAACGAATCGTGAAAACCATAGTAAATTAAACAAAAAGCCAAACCACCGACGGCTTGAATTTTATTTATTATATACCGACGACAATATGCTTTTCTTTTTCTTTTCTATTTGTTTGTATTATTAATAATTTACTATTTACTATTCTATTAGGTTTCAACTTCGTTTTGATCGCCAAACCATCTTTGGAAATACAATACGTATTCATCTATTAAACACTTCATGAACTCTCTAAGAAAAACCGTTTAAATAACAAAATTATAAATTGTCAATCAGCAAAATGGAGCATCTTCCTCAGGAAATTGTCCTTGACATACTGTCAAGGCTTCCAATTCCAACTTTAGTGCAATCCAAGTCCGTATGTCGAGCCTGGCGTAGCCTAATACGAGATCCAGTGCTTGTGAACAACCATTTCTGGCGCATGGTTGAGAATGATCCCAGCTTCATTCTACAGACTGATCACCCTGTCCAAAACCAGCTTTATTTTGGAGATTTCTCTACTGATCGAAACGATGGAGACGTCATCACAACGAAACTTTCCATGCCTCCCGAGCTCAACTTCCATTTGGTAAGTTCATGTAATGGATTGCTATGCTTGCGTGTCTCTCGTGGAAGCTTTGGACTCAGCATTTATAATCCTTTAACCGGGGATTATACAGAGTTACCCAAACTTACGAAGCCCGGTTATCATGAGGGAGTGTTAGGATTTGGTTTCGATCCTACGGCAAAGGAATATAAAGTCGTCGAGATATCATATGACAGAAGACCTAGATCTATTCTTCTTCGACCTCGGGGAGCTGCATCTACTTCAATTGAAGCTGCTGTTCATATTTTGACTATTGGTAACCCAAAATGGAGATATTTAGGGACTATGCCGTTCCATTTGATGTCGCAACGATCTCAGGTTCTAGTCAATGGTCAACTTCATTGGGTTTCTTATCCTGACAGATGTAAGGCAACCAACCTTATTATAGCCTTTGACCTGACCACTGAACGATTCCAGGAGGTCCCTGGGCCTGATTGCATTAATATGGCCAGGCGATTTGATCAACTCGTTGTTCTACGAGGTTGTCTCGCCGCAGCTTCTTGTCATGATGATAACGAACAGTTGGAGATCTGGGTTATGCTGGAATATAGTGTGAAGAAGTCTTGGGTCAAAGAATTTAGCATTGGAACTCACGTACCACAAATATTGCAGCAAAATGGGTATGGATCCTCCAATGATCCAAGGCTTTTTTTATCTAAAAAATGCATCCGAGTCCTATGCCTATTGAGAAGTGGGGAGATCTTATTGGAGTATAGAAATAAAGCACTTGTTCTATATGATCCTCATTGTGGGACATTCAAGGATCTCCAACTTACATTTCAAGGAATTCAGAAGCGTTTCGAAGTAGTCGTCCATGTTGCAAGCCTCAATTGGATCGATTCCTTCGTCAATACCTAAATACTGAAATCACTTACATACAAAATTTTACTCTTTCTTCATGATTAGATTGATCTCTGAATTAATGTTTACTTTAACTTTGTACATATCTGCACTAGCTGCTCAACTTGAAGAGATTGTCCTGGGTTTTTCCATTGTTTTTGTAATTGAATATCCTACAAAATGTGTATTTATTAAAAAATTTAAAAAATTATTATAATAAAATAATACACAGGGTAGTTCTTTTAACAATATTTGTGAAATTTAAGAACTCTATGACATGTATAAAAAAGAACTTTAAATTTAAACTTTACCCAAAAATTTTTATGAAGTTTCAATTTCACTTTTCTTTTCCATTTAAAAGAAAAACAAATTTCACTGACCTTTAATTCTTTGAATGAAGTTTATAGGCCTGTCAAGTTGGGTTTCCTATTTTTTATTGGAACAAATTTAATGAGCCCATGGGCCTATCTGTTTTCACACCCGTTTATTACTCTTTCACAAAAAATGTTGGTTAATATAAATAGAAAATATATAGAAACAGAATAATAAAAAGTCAATAATAACATTGCTGTTGGTAAAATATTAAATTTTTAGTTTTAATAATAAAAATTTTAATTTTAATAATTTTAAATATAATTAATAAATTATTTGACAATGGTTACTTGATCTATTGGTAAAATGTTTTATTTTTAATTTTGAGTTAATATTTAAATTTTGATAATTTTAAATATATAAAAAAAAAAGACAAGAAGAAAATCAAAGTCTAGAACAGGAAACCACTCCTCCACAACAAATTCTAACTTAGCAAAAGAAACCTTAATTCATGTTGGAATTCACTCTTTTGTTCCGGTCGTGGGGTTGTTTTTTTTTTCCCCCCAAATAGGTACTATTACTTTATCAAATTAATTGTCATTTATTCTATCTGATATTTACCATGTTGTTTATTTGATAGTACTTTTTGGTTTGTACTTGGAAATTGTTTGAAACATCTTATTATTATGTTATTTTTTCTGTATTAAAATTGGGTTTAGATAAACTGAATTTTCATAGATGAACATAAACTACTTGACATAAATTTCAATTTAGAGCCAGTCAAAAGGTCTTTTGATCAGATGCTGAAGAGTATGTATTTCCCATGGTCTGGGACAATCTGTTATGTTTCCAATGGGCGAAACCAAAAATTGTATGAATGGAAAACCTTGTCAGGTTAGTCTTCCAGACATTAAATGCTAATAATTAGCATTCAATATGTTGTTGTTCGTTTATACTCCTGGTGACAGATATCGATGTGTTAAATCTCTATCTATTTTGTAGTTTCTTAGAAACAATTTAAGAGAATGAGCAAATTTGTAATGTGGACCAGCTAGAAGGATGGAGCGTCTTCGTCTGGATGTTGTCATTGACATGTTATCCAGCTTCCTATAACAACTTTGTTGCAATCAAAGTCTGTATGCCGAGCCTGCCGAAGCATAATACAAGGCTTACTGCTTGCTAATAAGTATTTATCGCATACGGCTAAGAATGATCCAAGCATCATCTTTCAATGTCTTTTGCCCATCCAAAATCAATGCCACTTTATAGATTTTGCAACTTGCAGTGAAGGCAACAAGATGTTTAAAAAAATTTCTGTTTCAACAAAGCATGCTAATTTGGTAGGTTCATGTAATGGCAAGCTATGCTTGTGCAATGCTTCACGAATCCACATTTGCAATCCTTTTACCAAGGATTTCCTAGAGTTGCCAAAATTTTCAAGGGATCAAGGAAAAGATGGAAGTTTACGATTTGGTTTCATTCCAACCACAAAGGAATAAAAACTGGTTGAGATATAGTTTATAAAAGAAAAAGGCCTAGAGTCAGCCCCCATCTTGTTGCAGCTAATTGCTGAGGTCCGAATTTTAACTCTTGGTGGCTCCAGATGGAAAAGTTGTGGTCAGTGGGAGAGTTCATTGGATATCTCATCCTGGAAAACACAACATGGATAACCGGTTCATATCGTTTGACCTAACGGCGGAGCAATTCAAGGAGGTCCCTAAACCTAATTGTGGGAACTTAGAAAAGTGTTCTTATAAACTGTTGGTTCTTCAAGGTCATCTCTCTGCAGCCGGTTCTGATGGTGGTGGGGGATTAGAGATTTGGATTATGAAGGAATATGATATGAAAGAGTCTTGGATCAAAGAATTTAACAATGGAGGTTACCTGCCAAAAGAATTGCAACGACGTATCAATACAAGGTGCCCTTTCCCTGGATATGCTTTTCGAGCTATATGCTGTTTCAGAAGTGGTGAGATCCTACTAAAGCATAGAGGAAAAGCACTCGTTCTCTATGATTCAGTACGTGAAACATCTCAGTGTTTGAATGTCAGTCTCAAGCTTACTGGCAAACAGAATTCCTTTGTGTGTTCCACGCCTTCCCAAGCGAGCCCTACCTCTACCGCTGCTTAATCTCTTTTGAATTAGGAAATAATGAATCGTACGAATTAAAATGTGGAGGCAACTTTTTGTTTCTAAATAAATGAAAATTTGCTTGTAAATAATCGGAGAAAACATCTTCTCACACGACATGCATCTTTTGATTAGTCTTGTCATTTGGCAACTCTTTTATAAGTGTCATAACATATAGATCCATAGGTTTATAACTAGACGTAGACTTTACCACCAATTGATTGAGCATATAATAAATTTATCCCTTTAAAAAAGTCTTAAATTTGATTAAATGTCCCTAAAAAAAAAAGTTTTGATCTACGTTTTTTATCAAAGTTCGAGAGTTCGGTTACGTGTGGAGAATGTTATAATATACTCAGAATACTTATCTTAAGATGGTGTTATTCAATTTTAAATTATCCTAACAATCATCTTAGTTTTAATGGTATTTTATTTTAATATTTAAATATTAAAAATAACTTTTAAGATTTTTTCATCAATCTGATAAAATTTTTAAAAATATTTTTTCATCTCAAGAGTATTCAAAAATCACATTTATTTTTTTGAAGAGGCTCATTTGTTGGAAAAACTTAATCATTTATTTTTTTCATTAAATTTTTGTTTGTTGAAAATATATCTAATTTTTATACTATTTGAGCCTAAATTAGAAATATTTTTTAACCTAAAATTTTTTTAAATAATCATTCATTTGTGATTATTAAGAATTGCATCTTTGAAATTTATTTTTTTACATTACAAGTTTTATTAAATTTTTCACCATTTGAACCTAATTTAGAAATATCTTACAAGTTTCAATTCTAATTTTTTCACTGCTTGAGTCAAATTTAGAAATATTTTTCCTAAAATTTTGTCTTCATTTATTCATCATTTATCCTTTAAAAAAGAAAAATAACATGACAATTATTTTTTGAAGTCTCATCTAAATCTTTCCACTATTTGGGTTATATTTAGAAAAAACTTTTTACCTAAAAATTTTATGGAAATTCAATCACTTGTGATTTTTCTTAAGATTTCATTTTTGGATAATCATCATGTATTTTCACACCAAATTTTTTTAAAGTCATAATTTTAATTTTTAATTTAGAAAGGAATACAATTATTTTATTGAAATTTCATCTAAATTAATCTATCATTTGAGTTAAATTTAGAAAAAAATTTCACCTAGAGATTCTTAAAAAAATTACCATTTGAAATTTTTAGGAATAACATCATTGGAATAATTGTTAATTAATTTCCAAGAATTTTATTTAAATTTGAAAATAAATGTTAATTATTGTTATTGAAATTTTATCCAAATTTTTTCTCCATTTAGATCAAACTTAGAAAAAAAATTTCTTACCTAAAAATTTTTTAAAAATTAATTATTTGTAATTTTTAAAATTTCATCATTGAATAATTATTATTTATTTTCAAAATCTTATTTAAATTTTATTTTATATTTATTATAATTTAAAACTAACTTCCCTATCAATTTTTCTAAAAACAAATAAATGAAATATATTACAAATAAATAAATAATAATTAAATAAACAAAACTCATAAAAAATAAATAAAATAAAGAAAAAGAAATAATATCAAAACACCACAGCTTGGATTGGTGGTTGGAATAGAGCTCAGCTACATGCACAAAACTGGTTGGAAAGGCTTGGGAAGTGGCTCAACTTAGGCGTAAGTTCTAGATTCTAGAATTGGTTGTTAGAATTTGGGTAATTATGCTGGTATTTCGTCAGAAAATATAAACTTGATCAAAAAATTCAACTAATTTATGAAAATTTTTAGAAATTTTGTAGAAAATTCCATTCTTGTGAACTTCAATTTTTTGAATCTATTTAACCCATTATTTTCCTTGAATTAAACTCAAAACTATCAAAACACTCAATGGCTACCAAACTCTTACTCTCACATTTTCTTCTATTTTTCTTTTCAATTGCTCTTTGATTATTGTGCATTTTGTTCTGTGATTTAAGTGTCTGTTTATACGGCACAATAAGGAGAATTTTAGATTGATTCCCACCTAAAAACTTATGATTATCATAAAAAAATAAAATTTATGTTTAAAAAGTTTAACTTTAAATTTAATCATGATAAAACTATATTATCAATAGTTACTACTCTTTAGTTTATAGATATTTATTTTTTTAATTATCTTTTTTTAATAATCAGATAAATTTTAGAAAAATTAGATAAATATAAAAAAATTAAATAAATATAATTACAGATAAACAACAAATAAACAAGATAAAATAAGTAATAAAATAAAATAAAAAATATATAGATAACAAAGTAAAAATACAATGTTGACAATTAGGCTTGAATCAAATCTATACTCATTGATTTGTGTCTTTGACCTTGAAATTAAATCAGACTCAATTAATTTGGACTCTCAATTAAATTGGATGTCTACAATAAATACGACGTTAATGTATAATTTTTTGTCACATAATTTATGTGAATGTTCAAAATTTTGATTTAAATAGTCTTATTGACTTTTACCTTTTTTTATTGATTTATAGTCTTATTATTATTAAAGTTTCTACTAAACATTGAGTTGGAGCAGTTGACTCTAATTTTTTTTCTCTCATTTTCTACCAAATTTATGCAAATGCATTAAACCTTTCTGATGATTACCACAACATTATTAACTTGTTTTATTCTTTCGGAATATGGAAATTAATGTCTAATGAATTCTAATTATCTGTTGTCGTAATTGAAAATTAAATTGGGAGTTAAGTACATTTTTCTTTATTGCTGTATTTTCTTATTATTTCTTTGTTGACAATCAGAGTAAATTAAGCAAAAAGCCAAACCAAGGGCGGCTTGAATTTATTTATTATATACCGACAATATGCCCTTTTTTTTTCTTTTCTATTCGTTTGTATTATTAATAATTGATATTCTATTAGGTTTCAACTTCGTTTTGATCGCCAAACCATCTTTGGAAATACAATATACAGTCATCTTTAAACATTTCATGTAAGATAAACAGTTATAACTTGTGTGGAAAACCATATCAGCAAAATGGAGCTTCTTCCTTGGGAGATTGTCCTTGACATACTGTCAAGGCTTCCAATTCCAAGTTTAGTGCAATCCAAGTCCGTATGTCGAGCCTGGCATAGCCTAATACAAGATCCAGTGCTTGTGAACAAGCATTTCTGGCGCACGGTTGAGAATGATCCCGGCTTGATTTTACAGACTGATCACCCTGTCAAAAACCAGCTTTATTTTGGAGATTTCTCTACTGATCGAAACGATGGAAACTTGATCACAACGAAACTTTCCATGCCACCCCTGCTCAACTTACATTTGGTAAGTTCATGTAATGGATTGCTATGCTTGCGTGCCTCTTCCGTAAGCTTTGGACTCTGCATTTATAATCCTTTTACCAGGGATTATACAGAGTTACCCAAACTAACGAAGCCCCGTTGTCATGGGGGACTGTTAGGATTTGGTTTCGATCCTACAACAAAGGAATATAAGGTCATCGTGAAATCATATGATAGAAGACCTTTTAGACCCTTTTATGTTGCTGGATCTACACTTCTTCGACCTCAGGTTGCTGCATCTACTTCAATTGAAGCTGCGGTTCATATTTTGACTATTGGTAACCCCACATGGAGAAATTTAGGGAATCTGCCGTTCCATTTGAGGTTGCAACGATCTCAGGTTCTGGTCAATGGTAAACTTCATTGGGTTTCTTATCGTAACCGATATAAAGCAACTAACCCTATTATATCCTTTGACCTGACCACTGAACAATTCCAGGAGGTCCCTAGGCCTGATTGCATCAATATGGCCCGGCGAAGTGCTCAACTAGTTGTTCTACGAGGTTGTCTCGCCGCAGCTTCTTATCAGGATGATAGTGAACAATTGGAGATCTGGGTTATGACGGAATATAGTGTGAAGGAGTCTTGGGTCAAAGAATTTAGCATTGGAACTCACGTACCACAAATATTGCAGCAAAATGGGTGTGGATCCTTCAATCATCCAAGGCTTTTTTTATCTAAAAAATGCATCCGAGTCCTATGCCTATTAAGAAGTGGGAAGATCTTATTGGAGTATAAAAACAAAGCACTTGTTCTTTATGATCCTCATTGCGGGACATTCAAGGATCTTCAACTTAAATTTCAAGGAATTCAGAAGTGTTTCAAAGTAGTCGTCCATGTTGCAAGCCTCAATTGGATCGATTCCTTCCTCAATACCTAAATGCTGAAATCACACGCATACACAAAATTTTTACTCTTTCTTCATGATTAGATTGATCTCTGAATTAATGTTTACTTTGACTTTGTACATATCTTTACTAGCCGCTGAACTTGATGAGATTGTCCTTGGTTTTTCCGTTGTTTTTGTAATTGAATATCTACAAAATCTTAGCATGATTTGAACTTCATGTTTAATCCAAATGATTCATCTATTTCTCTTAAAAAATGGATTCTTACAAGATTGAAATTCGGCACTTGCAATTCTCTTTTCTTTGATATCCTTTGTACCAGCAAAAACATAAAGTTAACATGGCTCATTTTGGGCAAACGTTAAATACGAAACTGATCGGCAACTAATCAAGGTACATGTAAAACTTGCAATTAACTGACTCCTTTCATCTTTTAGAGATTTTTCATTAAAAAAAAAGTTAAATCACTGAATTATATGAATGATGGGCCATTCTCATAGTTGATGAAGGAAATTTTGGTCAGTTGGATACATTTATCGACCATGTCCTCAAAATATATAAGTTGCTTTTGATTTTTCCCTTTTCAAACATGGTTGAAGAAAAGGAAAAAGAAATTTGCATCCTAAAATTCTGATAGTCTTAAAGTTGCCAGAAATATGGTGGAGGGGGGATATCAAATCATACTATCAAACCAGCAGATTTTGTATAGAGAGGATGACTCACCAACTGTCAACACACTTCATCAAAGTATCATGTGATCAGACCATATTTTGTACAAGGTGGCATGTGAAAATGGATGATCTTTTATTCAGGATGTTGGAACACAGACTATGGCAGAAGTTTGAGGCTTGTTGATTTTGGTGGCTAAAGGCCACATTGGAAGATTGTGAAGGAAAAAATATATGCATGTGCAGTTAAATCATTTTAAAGAACAAATCTTGGTATCAGATTTTGGGTATATTGGAGCAACTGGATGAAATTGGACATTGGACAAATGTTAAATAAAGAGACTATGATTTATTATTAATATTATCAAGAAAACATACATAGTGCCTATTGGAACAAACATACAAGCAAAATCATTAATCTAAGCAACCTGATTGGGACCAAGAAACCATCCCTTACAGAGAACAGATGACCATGAAAATCCCACCAATGCAACTTGAAGCATCTCTAATTCTCTCTGCCAATGTATGTTTAGCCATTCGACAAGTTATCATTGGTGGGTCATCCCAACCCTCGTCTACGTTACTACATCCTTATTGAACTACATAGAAACTAATTGACTTTGACATGCAAACTTAGCTAACAGTAGCCACTCCCACTGGACAGATTTCCATTGATCCGCATGTCACAAGCTTATTACTCTGTCTTCTCAGCTGGAGCTTCTTTTTCAACCTTCTCCTCGGTTTCAGCTGGTTTTTCTTCTTCCTTAGCAACTTCCTCTTTGGGTGCTTCAACTGGGGCCTCTGGTTCTGCTTCTGGTTCCGCTTCTGGTTCCGCTGCTACCTCACTTTCTTTGGTTTCTTCAACAGTTTGCTCAGTAGTCTCCTTGCTCTCCTCGACAACTGGCTCCGGTGCTGTTTCCTTAGGAGCCTCCTCTTCTTTTTTCTGAACTTCTGGCTCCTCAAAGACAACCTTGGCCTCTTCTTCCACCTCCTTGGTTTCAACTTCAACTGAGGCTTCAGGCTCTGGAGCCACAGGTTCTTCAGATGCTGCTGCAGACTCGGCTACCTTTGGCTCTTCAGCAACAGTTTCCGTTGCTGGAGCTGCGACTACCTCTTCTGCTGTTGTTTCTTGAACCTTGATTGATTCTTCAGTTTTCTCCTCTTGAAGTGCACTTTGAACCGATACAACCTACAAAACACATCAAAAAATGAAAGACATACTTATTATGGAATTGGTTATTGGACGATCAGAATTTAAACGAAGAGTATAAAACAAGATCAGCTGACAAATTGAATAAAACAAAATCAGCTAATGAACACAAACCACGCTCATATGGAGTACTTAATCAGAATTCAATACCTTTGCAGTAGCCATAGGATTCCCAAGGAAATGTAAATAGAACTACAGAGAAATTTGGAAGAAACAGGCAGATAATTAAAGGCAAGCAGAGAAAGAATGCTTTGAGTTATACAGATATGATCAAAGAGAGTGCCTTATATAGAGCTGTGTATGCCTAAAAGCTGATGAGAGAGAGACAGAGAGAGAGTAGCTGGTGCCTGGTGGGTGAAATTGAAGAATCTTGGGATTTGACATCTCACTAACTACAAGGTAATTAGCATGTTTGTCAATAATGCTAAAAGTCTGTCTTAGTGATGAGGTTATGCTATATTTAATTACACTTGCTTGTGAACTTTTGATTGGGGTGGCCAAATAATGGAGGCAATTTTCAGCTAAAGCTATCATCTTTTCTTTGATTTAGTGATTGTGTGCTTTGTGCAGTCGGGCTTAGAGGTGACCTCATCATCATCCATTCACGTTCCAATCCCCTCCGTCCCCCACATTCTAGTCGCTTTACCATTCATTTACTGTCTGTTAACTGTGCCACTGGCAATTCAAACATACTGTTATTATTGTAAATATCTTGTAAACAGTTCTCTTAAACAAAATTTTTGGTAGACCAAACTTTCTTAGCTAGCAAAAGAACATTAACGAATCCAAAAATCAAGACAAAGCAGTTTACAATTAAGAAATCAACAAAGATTTACTGTCTAAAAAAATTAGGATGATACTTATGTCACGCTAAGAGCTCCAAAGACAAGTAGGCAGAGTATTCTTATCCTACATCGAACATGAAAAGAGGATCATTAGGATATAAAAAGGTTCACACCTCTTCCTTATGAAGCGTGGGACAAAATTGTAGGGTTAGAGCAAACAATACCTCATAAGAGTGTGAACCCTAGCAGGTAGGTTAATTTGAGACGTCGAATGAGTGTATGTTTGAGTATTGGAGCTGCACGAGCTTGAAGATTGAGTTTCGGCCACTGACAAGTAGTATCACAGCAAGTCCTAGACCATTCGACTCACGTCAAGCTTCTCAAGAGAAGTTGACAAGTGGTATCAAAGCAAGTCATAAACCGCATGATTGGATATTAGAAAGCCGTACGAGCCTGGAGATTGAGTCTCAACCACTGACAAGTGGGGTATTAAAGTAGGTCTTAGACCGTTCGACCCACGTCAAGCGCCTTGAAAGAGGTAGGCAGCCTGCAGGCAGGGTGGCCAGCCTCCGTGATGAGGGCGTTACAAGGTTGACAAGTGGTATCAAAGCAAGTTCTAGACTGCATGTTTGGGTATTAGAGCTGTCCGAGCTGAGTCTCGGCTACTGACAAGTGGGGTATCAAAGCAGGTCCTAAACCGTTCGACCCATGACAAGCGTCTCGAGAGAGGTAAGCAGGGTGTCCTAGACCGTTTAACCCACGTAAAGCGCCTCAAGAGAGGTTGACAAGTGGTATCAAAGCAAGTGTTGAACCGCATGTTTGAGTATTATAGAGCTGTACGAGCTTGGAGATTGAGTTTTAACCACTGACAAGTAGGGTATTAAAGCAGGTCTTAGACCATTCGACCCTGAAGATTGAGTCTCAACCACTGACAAGTGGGGTATCAAAACAGGTCTTAGACCGTTTGACCCACGTCAAGCGCCTTGAAAGAGATAGACAGGGTGCAAGCAGGGTGGCTAGCCTCCGTGATGAGGGCGTCACAAGGTTGACAAATGGTATCAAAGCAAGTTCTAGACCGCATGTTTGGGTATTAGAGCTGTACGAGCTTGAATGAGTCTCGACTACTGACAAGTAGGGTATCAAAGCATGTCCTAAACCATTCGACCCACGTCAAGCATCTCGAGAGAGGTAGGCAGGGTGCAGGCAGGATGACCAACCTCCGTGATGAGGGCGTCACAAGGTTGACAAGTAGTATCAAAGCAAGTCCTAGACCGCATGTTTGGGTATTAGAGCCAAGCTTGAATGTTGAGTCTCGGCCATTGACAAGTGGGGTATCAAAGTAGGTCTTAGATCATTCAACCCACGTCAAACGTCTTGAGAGAGGTATGCAAGGTGGGGTATCAAAGCAGATCCTAGACCATTCGACCCACGTCAAGTGTCTCGAGAGAGGTAGGCAGGGTGCAGGTAGAGTGACCAGCCTCCGTGATGAGGGCATCACAAGGTTGATAAGTGGTATCAAAGCAAGTCCTAGACCACATGTTTGGGTATTAAAGCTGTACGAGCCTGAATGTTGAGTCTCGGCCACTGATAAGTAGGGTATCAAAGCAGGTCTTAAATCGTTCGACCCATGTCAAGCATATTGAGAGAGGTAGGCAGGGTAACCATCCTCATGAGAGCGTCACAAGATTAGGTGGAGGAGAATGTCACACTAAACACTCCAAATGGGAGTAGACAAAGTACTTCAATCTCATATCAAACATGAAATAAGGGTCACTGGATGTTCTAAATGGGAGTGGACAAAGTACTTCAAACCCACATTGAACATAAAAGAAGGGTCGTTGAAATATAAAAAGATTCACACCACTTCTGTCTTGTAAGATATCTTTTGTGAGGTAAAATTATGAAGCCAAAGAGGTCAGAGAAATCAGAGTGAACAATAACTCACAAGCGTGTGAATTATGACAAATAAACTGATCTGAGACGTCGGATGAATATACACCTAAATTTTAGAGCTACACGAACCTAGAGGTTGAGCATCGACTTATGAAACTTAAAGATGACTCTATAAACAAATCGACTTAAATCTAAAATTATTCCACTATATATTATTAACATTCTTGAGGTGAGCCGCTTGAAAATCAGTCATAACAAGGTAAATCTCAAGCTTTTTTTTTTTTTACTCATGAATTGAAGGAGACCTTTTTCATTCTTAGACCAAAAGCAGGTGGGGAATTTAATACTAATAGTTTAGAGAAGCAAATAATCAAGAGAGGCAGCGCAGCTGATACGGAAAGTTTGGCCGACCAATGCCAGACAAAGATGCAACAAATGGGTATCATTTACTTGAAAGAAACGAATCAAATTCTGATGTGGCGAGTTACATGGACCACGACTTTGTGCCTCCGTTTGGCTTTTGGTTAAAAGTGATAAACCTTTCCACATCTGATAGGAAGGCGTTGGGCATGGACTCCCATTGGGACATACCCCTGATAGTGGCATTGATGATGAGAGATATAGTTCTCCCGTAGGGTCATGTTGGGGATCTGTAGCTGACTCTTGTTTTTCAATATGACCTGGGTCTGCTTCCTCGTATCCGGCTTCTTTTTTTAGGAACTCAGCGTTACAAGGTTAATTACATGATTTAGTATATGAATTATAGATTAAAATTTTACTTTCCATTAGAGCTTGTTGAGGTTGAAACCAACAGTTTGATCATTTCGGTCTGGGTTATTCTTGGCATGACGTGAATCCCTAAACCAACATCCTTGGTAATGAACACGTGGTATGCTGGCAGGTACGTTGCAATAATTAGTGTAAAATATTAATAATTTATGTATTTATATTAGTTTATATAAAAATGATGTATTATAAATTTTTTTATAATTTTTATTAAAAATTTAAATTATATTATTTTCGAATTTTTTATTTGTATAATTGTGATTCGTGAAAATTGCCCCCAGCCGCGCCTTGTGTCTAATGTCTTTGCCGCCTGCAAGCTACAAAGACTCCCATTTCTCTTCAAAATCCGACAAAAACAAAATATAACAAAACAAATCTTGTTGTCCATTTTTCCTCCTTTGGCTGCTCCGTCACGTTGGCCAAACTCGGCTTTTGGCTAATTTCTGCATGGGCGGTGGAGGCCCCCACCACAATGGAGCCCACGTGGTACGTTATTGTGCTATGAACCAATGGGAATCTGAAACATGTCATGAAAAAACACAGACCACGTGGGATGATGTTCATCCGTATCATATCATCATTCGGATTTGATTGGGTGCTTTTTGTGGGGAGTGGGACCCGATGCGTGATGAATCCGTTGAAGGGATTTTGTGTGGGTAAATCATGTGAATCTGATCAGGTGATGGCTGATCTTCCCTTGGAATTAACCCTTATTTGTTCAACGCCATACATGATTATCATTTATCTGGTAATTCCTTCATTTTGGTGATTAACCAAACCGTTATTACCTTAAATTAAAAAAAGGTTAAATCCATAACCGATTCCAAACTTTATATTTTTTATCACATTAATATCTAAAAATTTATAATTATCTTATTTAATAAGATATTGATATGTAAAAAAAATTTAATCAATATCACGTCGTCAATATCACATTAATATCAAAAAATTCAAAAAAATTTTTAAAAATTTTTTAATGAATTTTAAATGTATTAGATGTCATTTTTGAAAAGTAATTAAATTTCAAATTTTATCTAATATTAATTTGAGTTTATAAAAATTTTGGGTACTTAAAAAAGAGGTTTAGTCATGGCCAATTCTAGTCACAAAGAGAGAAATGTTAAAGTGTTCAAGAAGATGCCATGTAAATTTGACTCTGATTAGAAGTTTGGAGAGCTGCCATGAGTCCATAAACAAATCTGACTTTATCTTATTGTTATTTTTGCCCATTGTTATTAATTAGTAGTAATATTTTTAGGTATATAGCAAAGTAAAGCTAGCAAACAATCCCTAAAAGAAAAAGGCCATAGAAATTCGATAAGATTTAAGTCATATTTGATGCATATGATTATTGATTGAATATGATGATAATCATCTTATATCATCTTTAATTATATTTAAAAAGAAAGTTATGGATTGCAAGGATGATTAATATTCGCTTCACATAAAATTATTCGATCATTTTCAAGTAAAGATGATTATTTATAATCATAAAATTAAACTTATATATGCAATTATATCTTTAAAAATTACATAAATAATTTTAAATTATACAAACTTTAAATAAGGATAATTTTGATAAATAAATAAATTATTTTATCATAATCTTTGTATACATCAAATACAAAATAAAATAATATTATTTAATTTAATCCTATTTATAATATCATCTTATCCTATTTTATTATAATCTTATATACCAAGCATGACTTTAGTTTGCAATTAGACTTCAAAATCATGGTTCCAAAAAACTATGGTAAAAATATATTTATGTTTTTTAATTAAATTTAAGAAGTTAAAAATTTGAGTTCATATTTGTATATTTTTAAATGTTATATTCTATCAGTGTATTAAATATAAAGTTTTAACAATTTTAGATTTGTTAAACATTATAGTTAGTAACCAAACCACTATTATCAAGATAAATTAAAGTAAAATTAGCATGTGAGAATTACTATATTCTTTCCTTTTTATGGCTGGCTTGGTTCTTTTGCAATTCTAAGGTGAATTTTGGTGCTTCATGATATTGTGATGCCACTGGCTAAGATTCTTGGGTGGATGATCTAGTAGGCCAAATTAACCTTATTTAAATTTTGGATTGCTCTTAAGTTGGAACATGAACATGAACATGAACATGAAATGCTGGTTGTTTTGGGCTATTGGGTAGATTTTGTCTAAAAATCCAATCAAATCCATTAAAAATACTACACTAAAAGTTCAAATTAATTCGAATGCCCTCTTCGGTTAGGTCTGTAATTAGTACGAGAGTTTAAGAATAGATTAAAAATTTTAATTTTTTTTTAAATTTAAAAATAAAACTTAAAATATAAAAAATATAAATATTAAGATTTGAATTTTAAATTTATTAAATATTATTTGTAAAAATAATTACTTGACATTTTATTAATTCAAATTATATTGCCACGTCATATTTCATTAGACAAATATTTCATTATAGAATATCGATAAAATAATCAAACTAAAAAATTATCAAACATTATTGATTAAATTATATATAACTTAAGAGTGATCAAAATTAAAAAAAAAATCAAATGTTAATGATTAAATATTACATTTCATATCTGGACTATCAAAATAAAAAGTCGACCAAAATTAAAGGATTAATCTTCTAATTTTAATGTACAATAAATATATAAAAAAATTATCAAATATATTAATAATAAAATTTTTTTAATTTTATAAATAAAATTAAAATGATAATACATATTTTTTATATGTTTAAAATAATTAATTTAAAAAAATAAACATGTATTATTATTTTAATATCGCCTATAAAATTAAAACATTTTAAAATCACTGCATCAAATAATTTCTCTGAATATAATCTCCTTTTTGTTTTTGTAATTAGCGCACTTCACGTTCGCTCGCCCTTTGTATTTGTTACGTGGAGTAGTCATAAATTTCGGATCACCACATGACCATTTCTTACCCTGTCAGGTTTCAACAAACAAGCAACAACCAAGACCATATCCAAAAGCTACCCTTCCCTCTTTTAGGTTTTCTCTCCCTCGTGCATTTGAGTTTTTCAACAAAGCAGTTAGCCCACCACCAAAACAGCTAGCAGACAAGGACCAATCCCAGTTTCCCTTTTCTTTGTGACTCTTTCTGTCTTTTGGTTTTAATTTCCTTAAAAACACATCGGTTCCTAGCTAGCAGCTCCTTGTCAACATTTCTTTGTACTACAGTGTTGATGAGTTGATGTCTTTGGCCATTGGAGCTCTTCCAAGTTCCAGTAACATGGGTTTTGATGACAACAAGGAGTCAGCAGCTGAAGACAAGAGTGGGAGTACTCCTGAAAAGAATGCAACCCTTCCTCAAGAGATTGATGATGAAGGAGGAGACGGGATGGGCAGCAGACAGATGAGTGAATCCTCTTTCTATGCAACCGAGGATGATGATAACGATGATGAGCATCGCAACATTATTCAATTGGGTCCACAGTACACTCTCAAAGAACAGCTTGAAAAAGATAAGGTTAATTACTTTGTTTTCCAACATTAATATTGGTTACATGTATTGAAGTTTCTTTCTTTTTTTTTTTTTTTATTATTATATGCTGGTGATCAATGCGTGAGTGTAGGATGATGAGAGCTTAAGGAAATGGAAACAGCAGCTTCTTGGAAGTGTGGATATTAACAACATTGGAGGTACTGATCATATTCTTTCACCAACTAAATCAATTTGCAGAATGAATAAAAATCTATAGAATCACTCCCTTAGACATAAATCCTATATATATGGATACAACAAGCAGAAATAGATCTGGGTTGTTCCACAGATTATGGAATTCGTCTTAGCGAAAACCAACCATCAAAACTCAGGTCACTGTGCATGGTATGATATTGTTACTTCTCTAAGTTGAAAATTACCTGCCAGAGGATTGCTTTTTCAAGAAGAAACATTTTGGTCTGTAAAATAAATCATGATAGCTTAATGATTTGTCAATTCATTGCAAAATAATATTAATAGAGGGAATTTCTATGCATTATTTCTTGTACAAGATAACAAGAACTTTGTCAATCACTAGATTTTACGCATTTTCCCAATTTCAGCGGACATTGCCATCCTGGTGCTTGTAATATATTGGTTGATACTTTGTTGGTTTTCTGCAGGACTTCACCCAGAACTCATGTATATTAAACTCACATTGTTGAGAATTATGTGATTTAAAATATGATTTGCTCCCTTTTATTGCAGAAACACTTGAACCAGAAGTAAAGTTCCTTAGCGTGGCAATCGTCTCTCCTGATAGGGCTGACATAGTTCTTTCAATTCCTGAAGATGGAAAGCCCCAGGGATTATGGTTTACACTCAAAGAAGGTAGTCTCTATCGCTTGAAGTTCTCATTCCAAGTTGGCAACAACATTGTATCTGGTCTCAGGTATACCAACACTGTTTGGAAAACAGGTGTCAAGGGTAAGCATTTTATATGTAACAATTCTTGCAAAAAAAAAAAAAAATTGCAGGTAAAAACACTAGAAAGTTTGCTTTAAAACGATTTTTTTTTTTCAGTTTTCAGCACAAAAGAAATGATTGGAACCTTTAGTCCTCAGCTAGAGCCTTATACACATGAAATGCCAGAAGAGACAGCCCCTTCGGGTTTTATGGCTAGAGGATCATATACTGCAAAATCAAAGGTTTGTTCAACCAAATTATTTCTCTTACCTGTGTGCTTTACTTACGCTTACACACTAATTGTTTACCTCATTTTATGATATCATTGACATACTTCCCGAGCATGGTGGCACTGAAGTTAGAGGTTAATGATGCCTCGTATATTTAGGTTCAGCAGAAAATTATCAGTTTCTAGCGATTCCTTCCCAACCGATAAAAAAACACAGAAGCCGAATTCATCAATTGGTGTCAATTTTCACCTCTTGGTTTTATTTAATAAACTGCCAATGGGAGAAGGGAAAAAAGAAGAAACAAAGGCACGAACTTTATGATGTGAGTTCTTGGGCATGAATGAGGTCTTAGAGAAAAGAGCACAAGAGCTATTCGTTTCTTTTCGTAATAAATAGTGCATATATTATCCTACATACTTTCATGTGGATGATGATATCCATCATCTCTAACTTGCTTAATTTATGTTATGTTGCTCGGGCTCCGCATTTTCCATGAAGTATTCTTGTTTCACATGTTTCTGACAAGGATATGGAGGTCCGACAATTCAAATATATGAAAAAGTCGGATACACAACCATATCCGATGACAATCACCCCAAGGTCCGACTAACACTGATTTATATTATGGTATATTTGGTCCATGAATTCGTTCATTTAATTTAGTCATCATTGTTTGGTTACCTTTAGAAAGTTATATGGCTCATGCTGAACAATATCAATTACTTGATATAGATATCCAATTGTGCTACCTAGCTTTTTTAGAATAAGTCCCGGTAGTATTGGTGTTGCATCTTTAACATCTGAATTGTACATTTTCTTTAATATGCTTTCTGGTTCTAAATCAAAACAGCAAGTTGACTTACTGTTTCTCATTGTTTTCAGTTCCTTGATGATGATAACAAGTGCCACTTGGAGATCAACTATACATTTGACATCCGAAAAGAGTGGGCTGCTCTTGAATAGAGAAGAACCTGACGAGCTCTAGCACCCTTCATTCACTCCATGTTCTTACGCCTATTATCTTAACCACTTCATTTCTGTCAGACCACTTCCCACAACGAAGGCAAGTAATCAGAGAAAGATTTCTCTTGGCAAAGCTTTATTAATTTAAGAGAACTTCAGCATATTTCTTAGAGACATTTTGATAATGATGTCTGCAACTCTAGATATTGTTCTTGTTCTATTCTTTTACGTGCATATATAAAAAATGTCGACACCTAATTAAGTTGGTTCATATAATATTTTTTAAAAAATAACATTTAATATATTTGGGTTTGAATTTTAACAATTGCAACACCTTATCCTATCCACCAATTAATTAAAGAAGGTCCTATGCATTATTATTTAGCCAATTTTTCCCCCAATGTTTTTTGAAATATTATATTAATCTTTTTATCTTTCAAATTATGATCCGAGTTCGAATTTAAAATATTATAGTAATTTATATCAAGTCGTGTGCAAAAAATTCTTTTGCATGAGATTTATGATCGAATAAAGGAAGTGGATGTCAATAATCAAATTGACTAGTTTGATAATCCAAGGATTTAATTATTGAAAACAAGGTTATGTGCAGAAATTAGTTAAAATATTAAGACAGAGAATTTGATATTGCCAATTGCACCTAATTCCCCCTTTGTAAAAAAGGACAAAATCCCATATTTCCAACTAAAAATGTTTAGTTGTCGACAATTTTTTGAATCAGTTGACATGTTATTAGAATTTATATTTGAATGTTGTAGATTAAAAAGAGTTTAAGTATGTAATATTTTTTTAATTAGATAAATAGTATAGTACGATAAAAGGTTTAAGAGTATATTAAAAATTTCAAAAATAAAAAATAAAAAATTTAATTACTGATTAATTATAGCAGGAGTAATAAACAAATTTAACTCAAATTTGACTGCAGATTTCAATGATTTTTCACATGCTGGCTCGCTGTTGCCAGGCCGTTTTAATTGCTTCGAGCAAAGAGTTTTTTTAAGCGCATGTCCTTTAGCCAAAGATATTGTCTTTACAAGCAATTGGAATTCATATAATTAAACTATTTCAATATTTATATTTGATTTTTTTTATAGTTAAAATTGATACTAATATATTATTAATATGAATATATGAAAATATGTTTTTCTTTTCATCAAAAAGTATCAAAATATATAATTTGACTCTTGAATTATACTATTTTAATAATTTGTATTTATAAAAAATTTACGATCAGATACTCAAATTTTATTTTCATCAAATATTTTTTATTGTAAACTATTATTATTAATTAAACTGCTAATATAACAAATATTAAATAATAAATACGTATCACGTGTCATGATATTATTAATTTTTTTGTCACATTAGCTTACATCACAATAATAATGATAATAAAAATAATCAACACATTAACCTTTATATAATGATAAAATTAGGTATTAAATTATGAAAATGATATAATTCGTAGTTTAAATCACACATTAACCTTTATATATAGAGAGATAATACTCTTTCAAAGACCTTAAACGAAACTAATAATAATGATAATAAAAATAATCAACACATATGCTAATATTAATGGAATTATGAATCAACTTTTTTTTTTCTCTCTTAGAAAGGAAACATATGAGTGCTATAACTAAACAAAGATGGAGGGAGGAAACTAGGAGGAATATTGGAGGTGGGCATGGAGGAGAGTAACAATAGAATACTACAACTCCCTACAGTTGGCAATAAGCTTTTTCTCATGGCAGCCACGACCCGATAGCCAATGCTGGTTGGCTCTAATCTCCCCCAGTCCCCACCTACTAACTCTTTTTCTCACATCTTTTATTACTTTGCCTTTTTTTTATATAACAAAATCAAGATTTATTCAGTTTTCTTTTTAATTTAAAGCAAGATGTATTGGTGGGTTTTGATTTTGTTTTCATTTCTTATTTTCCACTCCAATATAATGTTTGTTTGGTTAGAAAATACCAAAGTTTTTCTTTCTTGTTTTTGTCTCTTTCACCCACTTAACAAAAGTAGGAAAAGTGGGATCCCAATTCCACCATTGTTATTTCTATGAAGTATTTCTATTAAGGTCGTTCTACAAGTCCTGGTTGGTCTTCTGAAAAAAGATTTATTTACCTCTTACTCTAAGTTATTTTGGTTTAGTCAGTTCTAGTTATACATATTGGCAAGACCAATGATGAAAAGGATGTGAGGAGCATAAGGGTTGGTGTCCCAAACGATTAGAAATTAATTAGTTGAAAAGTGATTAAGAAAGCCTACCTTACATGGTCCTCTTTCCTTCAAAGATTTGCCAAATAAGGAATGCATCATTTTTTCTCCAAGGAAGTACCATCCCCCATCCCCATCTCATTCAATCCACACTAAAGCAAATAACACCCCATACGTGATGTAATTTTTTCAATTTTTTTAATCATTGTTAGTTTTTTTTTTTTTTAATTTCTTGCACCTACTGTTTCCTTGCACTTTACAGTTTACACCCCCCTTTAAACACCAACAGCTGGTACCACCCCACACTCACGTTGGTTTTTTTTTGTTAATATCAAAAAAATCACATCTTTATATAGTCTCTCTCAGCTTATTCCAATCTGCTGCATTGGTACCCAAAGCACTAACTTTGTTTCGGAATTCCTCCTAATCAGGTTTGTATCCTTCATATGTCTGCTCTCATTGAAATTTGCTTTTGTGTTAAAAGTTCCACTCTTTGAAAGTTCTAGTGATCCATTTTCTTTCAAGTTAAATGAATGTTTAAGTTAAATCTGGATCTTTTTTGCTTTTTGTTGATGTACATTGTCTAGCTGTGGGTTCTTTTCTTTTGGTAACTTCTAGTGTGGAGGTACCCTGCTAGAAGTAAAGTTGAGTTCCAGCCATCTGTAAAGTCAAGGTGTAAATGCAAGGTGAAAATTAGATTTTGATCTGAGTTTTTGGTCAGAAATTTGATTACTTGGGGATTTTGTAAGTTGTGCTGTGTCTGAATGAGTTCAAGAACAAGAAAATGGATCATATTTATGAATTCAGTTTATGCTTCTTATCTCCACATTTGGATGTCATCTGTAATTGCATTGTCTTAGATCCTGTTTTAAGCTTTTTCTCATACTATGGTTAACAAGTGTTCTGATTATTTGCTTTGTTGGATGAGCTAGTCCAGATCTGGTTTTTCATTACATTCCATTCTTGGAGAAAGTTGGTGATTTTGGTTCTATTTACAATTCATTACTTGTTTAATACAGAAGATAGAACCCTGAGATTCTGATCTAGATTGTGAGATGTGGTTTTGATCTTAGGGAAATTTTTGTTAATTTTTTGTTCATAATGTAGATTTATTGGGTTTTTTCCCTGTTTAGCTGCAATGTAACTATCAAGGATTTGATTCTTGTAGGAATTTGGAGAGTGGTCACTAGTCACTACTGAAGCAAAACCAAATTTCTGGAAAAAATGGAGTTTTCCAGGATTTTTATGATTAGTTGTTCTGTATTGCTCTTGTGCTCCTCATTGGCATATGTTCAAGCTGCTAGTCCTCCGGCTCCTGTTGCAATGAGCCCAACTACGACACCAGCACCGGCACCCGCACCGGCATACGTAAACCTCACTTATTTACTCTCTGTGGCAGGTCCATTTCAGACTTTCCTTGACTACCTTGAATCCACAAAAGTCATGGACACCTTCCAAAACCAAGCCAACAACACTGAACAAGGCATTACAATTTTCGTACCAAAAGACAATGCCTTCAAGGCTCTTAAGAAGCCTTCTTTATCCAATCTCAGTGATGACCAGCTGAAATCACTCATCCTTTTCCATGCCCTGCCCAAATACTATGCCCTTGCAGACTTCAATGGCCTCAGTGCCAAAGGCCCTGTTAGTACTCTTGCTGGTGGCCTATACACTATGAATTTCACTGATGATTCTGGCACCGTGCTCCTCAATTCAGGATGGACCAGGACAAAAATCAGCAGCGCTGTACATTCAACTGACCCTGTTGCAATATACCAAGTCGATAAGGTCCTTCTTCCTGAGGCCATCTTTGGTACTGACATACCTCCAACTCCTGCTCCAGCCCCAGCTCCTGATATCAGCCCAGCTGCAGATACTCCATCAGCAGAATCCAAAGAAACTGGTTCTTCACCAAAGTCTTCACCTTCAAATTCATCATCTCATAGGATTTTGAACTTGAGCATTTGGTGTCAGCTGGTTTTGGCAGTCTTAGGTGGTTCTGTCCTTTTGAGATAGGACTTCATTGAGTCTATTTTATGTGAACAAGGGGTGGCACATCTGGGTTTCTCAATTCACTTTGATTTTTAAAACCATTTTTTCATTTATATGTTATTGAGGTTTAAGTGTTAAGAATGTGAGTTCATGTGTTACAATTACTATTTCAATTTAAATGATATTTTGCTTGAATCTCCGTTTCCATATCATTGTTTTTCTTGTTCAGGGTATCATAGAATTGTAATTGGCATGCTGTTAATATGAACAACTAGACTAGCATTGAATGATTGTAAATATTCTTTCATGGTGAGAAACTTGGTGAGAACCAGTGTGTTTTCCCGCTGCTCCTTGAAAATCATGCCGATAAACTCATTACAAGGACCCAAAACAATTATGCTGCAAAAAATACTTTCATGGCCAACTGTCGACCAACAAATTGAAAAGGAAGAACTTGAGAAAAATGATAAATTATTTATTTTAAATAAATATTAATATTTCTAATAACGAAACAACTGGCCTATTAGCTCAGTTGGTTAGAGCGTCGTGCTAATAACGCGAAGGTCGCAGGTTCGAGACCTGCATGGGCCATTTCTATATTTTGAGTTGTTTAATCCTTTATTCATTATTCCATCTCTCCTATTATTTTCCTAATGTCTTAAAATTATATATTTTTTTTAACATCTAAAACTTTTTTATATATTTTTTTAAATTATTTTTATTATTTTTATTTTTTAAAATTAAAAATTATGAAACTTGAATTTTATAAAAAAAAATTAATTTTAATATTAAAATATTAACATCAAAATTATTTTTTAATTATATTTTATTTTTTTAACATTTAAAACCCTTTTTTTTATAAATTTTAAAATTATTTTTATTATTTTTTTATTTTTTAACATTAAAAATTATGAAACTTGAATTTTATAAAAAAAAAAATTAATTTTAATATTAAATACATTATGTAACTACCCAGAGTGAGTTGTTTAACCCTTTATTCATTATTCCATCTCTCTCATTTTTTTTCTAATGTCTTAAAATTATATTTTATTTTTTTAACATCTAAAACTCTTTTTTATATATTTGAAAATTATTTTTATTATTTTTCATTTTTTAACATTAAAAATTATGAAACTTGAATTTTATAAAAAATTTAATTTTAATATTAAATATATTAACACCAAATTTTTTTCTTAAACTTCATAAAAATCAATACACGACAAATATTTTGAGATAAAAAAAATTATATATTTAAATTTATCCATATTAATTTGAAAAAATTGAAATTAATTTAAAAAATAATTACAAAAGAAATTTAATTATATAATTTAAAAATTTATGACTAATAATTTTTTATTTTCATTTTCAGAATCCAGGTTATTTTCCTTATCCTTATTTTTTTAAGTTGAAATTTGAATTTAAAATTTTAATTAATGAGTATTTTTAAAATTTAATGTACCGACAAGAAAGAATGGTTTCGGCCTTCTAAATTGTGTCAACAAGGTTGGGCAGCCAACGCAAATGCTCGAAAGGTCGGCTAATCCGGTCACCAGGGGCACCGACCAATGCCTTTTTTTTCTTTTTTTTTTGTTCTTTTTCATGTTGTTTTGGTCATGACTTATTAACTGACAGCAAGTCTTAGTTTGTGTTGGATAATGACGTTTTTGTAACATAGTTTAGGATTTGGTCATTTTGGCCGGCAAATATTCTTTTGCTGTAAGGAATCACTTTCCTTAAATGTTAAGAAATATTTTTTAATATATAAAAAATAAAAATTTATTTATTAATTTTTAACATGTAATAAAAAATTTATTATAAATAATAACTTTAAAGAATAAACAGTGCTCTAAAAATCCTCATGAATAAAACTCAAATAAATAAAGGGCTAATACCCAGTTTAACTCTTAAATTATTTTTTTTTAATATGATATCTAAATAATAAAATTTTTAATCAAATATCTAAACTTAATTTTCATGTATTAAGTCACCTAAACTTTTTAATACTGTTAAAATAATACTTATGTAAATAACATAAAACTATCATGTAATTTTATATATCATTATTGCATGTTATTTTTTAAAAAATTAAAAAAAAAACTTTTAAAATATTATTTTTTATTTTTTATTTTTAAAATGATATATGATAATCACATGATTATCAAATAATATTTACGTATTATTTACGTTAATATTTAAATATCACATCAATATTAATTTTACGAAATTAAAAGATCGAGACAATTTAATATATAAAAAATTAGATATTTTATTAGAAATTTTTTTAATTTAGATATTAATTTAAAATTTTACAGATCAAATGTTATATTATACCTAAAATAAAATCAGTTTGTGAATTTTAAAATTGACGTGTTGGTCTCAAAAGTAGAATATGAAATGAAAAAATAAGATAAAAAATAAAGAAAATTTAATAAAAATAATAATTAAATGAAGATGACCGATGCTGAAAAGATACAAAAGGCAACGATGGTTGCCAATGTTGTCTATTTTTGTATTTAATAAACTTTTTTTTTTTTAAAGAAAATTTTATTTGGCCTTTTTTCTGTCTCTGATTCACATTTGTAATCGGCAGTGTTCGCGGGCTGTCTGGGGGGCAACACGCTTTTCTCTCATCCTCATTTCCTTCACTTAATTCCAACATCACCCAACCCAAACACATCCTCTCTCTCTCTCTCCCAACTGCCAGTTAACCTACGACGAGCAAAGAGAACAAAGAAAATGAACGAGGAAACCACCCTTCAATCTTAGTTGCTCTGTCTCTTTTCTCTCTGTTTCTCTTAAGGTTCGTTTTCATCATTATCATTCGTTTTCTTACATGGGTCCTTTTTTTAGTCTCTGTTTTTGATCAATATAATTGTCTTTCTTTTGGGTTTATACTTTGGTTTGATCGTTACTTTTCCTATTGCATTTTATGTATTCATGCACGTTAATTTCGAACCTACATGATGGTTTCTCTATCGGGTTTCTTCATTTCTGCCTTCCTTGGATCTGCTTTTGTTAAATTTTCATTGGCTTAAGTAGTGTGTAATGTGAACATATAACAATCTTTGTTTTCGTGTGTGATTATGGGGTAGAATTTGGTGGAAAAAACAAGGCAAACAATGTCTAGTTATCAAGGTGTGCACGTTTCTGATCCTTGGCTTCAAAGCCAGTTCACTCAAGTCGAGCTCCGTACCCTCAAATCCAGGGTAACCTTAATTTTCTCATTCTTTGCGTTGCTTTTGGCTTTAGTTTTGCTTTTGTTTTCTTCTCTTGGGGTGTAAAATGTAACATCAATTCTTTACTTAATGCATTTTGTTCTAAAAGATCAAAACTTTTATTTCTAATTCTCCAAAATATCATTTGCCTTTTGTATGCAAATATACAAATAGCAAAAAAAAAAAAAAACAACTATATGTTACCTTATTTTATTAGGTTATATAGTGGATTGGCAATCTTTGTTTGACATGGGACATGGGTTTCTTTTTATGTTGCTTTTAGTTTCTCTCTGTGAGGACTCAACATGGTCATGTTACCTTGGGTGATCTGCCACCGGTTTTTGCAAAGTTGAAGACTTTCAATGAAATTATCAATGAGGATGAGATTAAGACTATCTTAGAAGAGTCAAATAGTGACATGGGTGAAGAAATTGATTTTGAGGCCTTCCTTCGGGTGAGTCTTTTCAAAATAAGGGCTGCACTACTTTTCCTTTATAGCCTTGGTAATGATGAAGAAAATCCAATAACTCAAACGTCGTGAATCAATATTTCCTGATGCATTTGTGTTAGGATACCTGGTGTATATATTTTTCACATTTTCTGCATATGTTCTCCGTATTTCTTGCTTAGTGGCAATCTTTGGTGTTCGGTTCATTGGCAGGCTTTTTTAAATTTGCAAGGTCGCGCAACTGCAAAATCAGGAAAGTCTTCATTTCTCAAGGCAACCACAACCACTTTTCACCATGCTATTAATGAATCCGAGAAGGCTTCCTATGTCGCTCATATTAATGGCTACCTGGCAGAAGATAAATTCTTGAAAGATTTTCTTCCAATTGATCCAGCCACAAATGCTTTGTTTGATCTTGCTAAAAATGGAGTTCTTCTTTGGTTGGTTCACTGGATCCACTTGACAATGCTTTACACCTTGGTGTTGATTCATGGTTTGATGTTTATTAATGCTTTTAGTTACTTTTATGCAGCAAGCTTATCAATGTAGCTGTTCCTGGGACCATAGATGAGCGAGCTATAAACACAAAAAAGGTTCTCAATCCCTGGGAGAGGAATGAGAACCATACTCTTTGCCTTAATTCTGCAAAAGCTATTGGTTGCACTGTGGTTAATATTGGCACACAAGACCTTGTTGAAGGAAGAGTAAGTAATGCTCCTTCCTAATACCAATTTAGGAGTTATTATAGGCTTGCACAAGGTTTTAACCTTTTCTATCATCCTTTTTTTTTGTGCTTTTTTTTTTTTAAATGTTGTAGCCCCATCTGGTACTCGGATTGATTTCTCAAATTATTAAGGTATTCAACTCAAACTTCCTTTGAAATCATTTATATTGTGTTTGTAATTTATGAAACCATACTGATATTATCAGTTTTCTTCATCCGTAGATGTTTCAAGGGATACATTTTAATTATATTGCTAATGATGTTTGCATGGCTGTGGCATCAGATTCAACTACTAGCAGATCTCAATTTGAAGAAAACTCCTCAACTCGTGGAATTGGTGGATGATAGCCAGGTCAGAGAACGTTAACTGGTTTTGCCTTCTTTCAATGTTTTGGTAGTAGCATGTACAGGATAAGTTCCATTTTGCAGGTCATAAACAAATTTTATTATGCGTTTGTATAAATTTTGTAGGATGTGGAGGAGCTCTTGGGTTTAGCACCTGAAAAGGTTTTGCTGAAATGGATGAATTTTCATCTGAAGAAAGCTGGATATGAAAAGCAGGTTACAAACTTCTCTTCAGATTTGAAGGTGAGAAAACTCATTAATTTATTAATTCTGTGGCATGTCAACTTTATCTATAAAAGATTATTCTTCTCACCGTTTTCGGTGCTGCACTAATCTCTAGTTTTGGGCCTTAAGCTCCTTGAAATGGTGAAACAATTGCAGGAAAACATTTATTAGTCTTTCAGTGTCTCAAACTTAAATATATCATCATATTCACAAACAATGCCTCCTCATATGGATAAGGATTTGATTCATTGTTATATAATCTGATACAAGTACTTGTTGATGTGTAAAGTATATATTTCCACTTGTTTATATTATTTTCAGTTTTCTAGTGTGACTGATGTATGATGAGCCTATTTATTTGAAGGATGGAGAGGCATATGCATACCTGCTTAACGCACTTGCTCCTGAACACAGTACCCCCTCAACTTTGGATACAAAAGATCCAACAGAAAGAGCAAACATGGTTCTTCAGCAGGCAGAGAAATTGGATTGCAAAAGATATCTCACTCCTAAGGATATTGTCGAGGGTTCACCAAATCTCAATCTTGCATTTGTTGCACAAATATTCCAGCACAGGTGAGAAATAATGTTTTTCATATTTTGTGCTTTATGTCTGAATTAAGTTTTCATGATCATTCATATTACTTGTCCCTGTTCATTTTCATCGATTTTCACAACTTGTCAATGAACTGATCAGTTCCTTTGTAAAACTTAACCATATTTTTCTGCTGACACTTGGTGACCTAGCAATGTGTACGGTCTGGTTTTATTTGTTATATGCATGCGAGAAAAGCTGACTCAATTATTTACTTACTAGTTTGTTTTCTCATTTCTTGGTTACATGATCTTGTGTTACAGAAAAAGAGGTAGCCTTCTCCCATCTCATAAACCCCAGGCTTCATATCTCAGGATCCAATCCTGAGACCTCTCAGTTGGATTCTCAACTTCTAACCATTGGGGTGTTCCCTTGGGGACATCTATGTATGATTGTCCTAATTAGTTTAACTAGCATATGATTTCTCTTTGCAGGAATGGTTTGTCTACTGACAGCAACAAGATGTCCTTTGCCGAGATGATGACTGATGATGCACAAACTTCTCGTGAAGAGAGATGCTTTCGACTTTGGATTAACAGTCTTGGAGTTGCTACGTATGTCAACAATCTTTTTGAAGATGTTAGGAACGGGTAGTTTACTCTTTTCTCTTTTATAATTTTGGCTTTCCCAGCAGTATCAAGCAGTTGTTGAAAGTGTCCACCCTTTTATGCATGCAGATGGGTTCTGCTAGAGGTTTTGGACAAAATTTCACCTGGATCGGTTAACTGGAAACATGCAAATAAACCTCCTATAAAGATGCCATTCAAAAAGGTTGAGAACTGCAATCAGGTTATAAAGATTGGGAAAGATTTAAACTTCTCACTTGTGAATGTAGCTGGCAATGATATTGTGCAAGGAAACAAGAAACTTATACTAGGTAAGATCTTCCATCTTACGTTTTCCCATAGAATGTCTGCTATCCTTTTCTTATTGTTAATGGATAGCCAGCTCAAGATAAAAGCTTTTAACTTTTCTATGCTCTCTGGTGTGAATAGGGGCTGTTATTTTGATTTTTTGATATAGAGCACTGCTATCATTATTCATTCCTATGGCTTTTAAATGGATGCAAATTCCAAGAAATTTTTTAGCTTTAGGGTTGTAATATGATCTTACAATGGCTAGCTTCTGAGTGGCACATAAATAAAAGCCTTGAACTGGCTCCTTGCTCTATATTTCTCCCCTATTTTCTGTAAAACAACTTCACTCTTCTCATTTTCTTGTTTTTCTTCCTCACTTCCAGCATTTTTGTGGCAACTCATGAGGTTTTCTATGCTCCAACTCCTTAAAAACTTGAGATTTCACTCCCAAGGAAAAGAAATTATGGATGCTGATATTCTGAACTGGGCTAACAATAAAGTAAAGAAGGCAGGTAGAACCTCTCAAATGGAGAGCTTCAAGGTACATAAGCAACAAAATGATAATCGTATCTTAAAAGTTTGATCATAAAACATAGACTGACTCTGATTTTTATTGGACTCTTGCTTTTAGGATAAAAACCTTTCAGATGGTATATTCTTCCTTGAACTTCTTAGTGTGGTGGAACCAAGGGTGGTTAACTGGAGTCTTGTTACCAAGGGAGAAACTGGTATGGTACTGTTTCATTATTGTAAAATGTGTCCTTTTCCTTTGAAACTTGGTTCACCATAATGTTATGCAGCACTTCAGCAATAAAATGAAGTACCTGCCAAGGCTTGCCTTTGGGTTCATATAAAGAACTTATGAATAGGATGAGACTCAGGTTTTTTATGTGAAATTCCTTAAATTCCTCAAAAAAAAAAAAATCACTAACATACATAAATCGTTCTTTGAACCTTTAATCTTTAATGCTCAACTGATAATTTTAATTCATGGCAGTGATTTTATTGGGGAAGCTAAGGAACTTTATACTGGAAACTTTTATGAATAAATAGATGATCCTATGCATATAAATGCGATGGAAGAGACGTATCATTTTATTGTTATTGACATTGCAGAGGAAGATAAGAAGTTGAATGCAACCTATATAATCAGTGTTGCACGGAAGCTCGGATGCTCCATTTTCTTGTTACCCGAGGATGTCATAGAGGTAATTATTGTTCTGAAATTCAATATCCTAAGCCCTTCTCTAAATCATTTCTGATTTGCCATTTCTTGTCTGTTTTTTAATTACGGTTAGATCAGCATGATGTTTCTTTACACAAAGTTATGACAAAAATAAATTCAGCTTATCTGATATTTCATGATGTTAGAAATGTCATGTTTTATAAAAGAGATGCAGACAACCGGTTAGACATACTTTGTCCCTCTTTGGGTTGATTTTGAATACGAGTCAATCATATACTGAGCCGAGCCTGACTATTTTATGCCTGAACTGGATAAACTAGACATCAGTTTGTACCTTTTTGTTAGGTTGGCTTACTTTGTTTAATATTACTTCTAATTTTAATGTCTGTTACAACAGGTAAACCAGAAAATGATGCTTACTTTGACTGCCAGCATCATGTACTGGAGCCTACAGCAGCAGGTAGCAGAGTCTGAAGGTGGTGAGGTTCCTGATGAATCCTCTGTGTCACCGAAGGAGGGCGAGAATGAGACTGATCTCGCAGGTGAAGTCTCGAGTTTGGATATTGATGATTCAGCCTCCGAAATGGCTCTATCCCCCCATGTCAAAAATGAGGAAAGTTCCACAAAAATTGAAAGTGACCAACAATCTCCAATGATCGTTGAAAAGGACGGTAGTGAATAGGCAGCTTTGCAATTCTTTTGTTTCAGAGGACTGGAACTAGAAGCCTTGTTCCTGTATATGGCTTTTTCTAGTAGACCACAGGAGAAAAAGAAATTTTGGACTGTAAATTTTTACCTGACACTAGAAATATTCTTTGGATTGCATTGATTATGCTGAATAATGCAAGATGGGAAGAGGCATTTTGGTCTTCAGGTCTTGGCTCGTAGCATTTTGTATTAGTCATTTCAATTGGATAATAGACTTGATGATTCATGTGTTTATATTATATAAAATATTAAAATTCATATACGTGTTGTGTTTTAAACAAAAATTGCATGTCATAAGTCGAATCAACACGAAAATATAAAAAAAAATTTTATTAAATTTATATATAATTATTATTAAAATTTTAAGTTGTATTACTTTTGTATTTTTTATTTATATCGTGTTAATATCGTATCATTATGTTATGTTTTAATTTACCTAATCTGTTGGACAGAAGGAGTAATGAACTTTGATGCTTTATTCATAACTTGTAATCTAAGATCTATTAGTTATCTATATTTATATTTATAATTTATATCTGTTATTAGATATATAATTTCTAAATTATCAGTTTAAATATTTTTAAATAATAAAATTTATTAAACTTATAATTAAAAATTTTAATTTTATTCAAAGAATTTCATTAAATGAATTTGTTTGATAAATATGAAATAATTAAAGTTTACATTGAATTACTTTATTTTCACCAATAATAATTTTTTAAATAAATATTAGAATTTTTTATCCAATTAATATTTTTAAAAAAATTTCATTTCATTGAAAGACTCTTGAAGGATTTATTTGATAGATAAAAATGAATTAAACTTTACATTAAATCCATTTATCTTCGTAATTCTAATTTTGCATTAACATTAGAAGTAGTAATAACTTTACATATTAATACAATTTTCAATTAATATTAAAAAATCAAATAAGACAGTATAGGACAGCAAATACTAATTAGGTATAAAATTATCAATTAATAAAACATCTTAGGGCCATGCCATGTTGCAAAACTTTCTTTCTAGCTTAAGCTTTAGAATCTTCAAATTGGCAATGTTTTTCAATAAATTTCTAATTTTGTGGATACTTGAAGAATGATCAATTAGGAATTCTTTGAAAATCAAATTTTAATTTAATTGATTCACATTTTTAAAGAATAAAATCCAATAAACCTGAAATTTAAATTCCACTTACAATGTTTTTTTCTATCATGCTACGGCTTTCTTTAAAAAAATATAATGCAGAGTGTAAGTGTTTAATCAAAGTAGGTGAAAATGGTGAAAAGAAGTTTAGACAAAGTGTTGGCATGTGATGGGAAATATTGACATTCTATTTGGAGAATTGTTGAGCAATGCATGGAAAAAAAGATGGGAGACAGATCAAAGCATTTATTTTTTCCTTCCTTCTAGGAATAGTTGGCAATGGATAAAACTGTTTTAAAGTAACCCTGGAAACATGTTTGAGGAAGCAGCCATTGGCAAATAAAATCAATGATTCAAAAGTACCCTGATTGATTTGCAAAGTAACTTCAGCTTTGTAGACTGTATGGATTCAAAATTTACATTTATCACCTACAAGTCTACAGTATCCTGGAAATGAAAAAGGAAAAAAAAAAAAAACTCTCTTTACCTGATTCTTGGCAGAGAGAATATAAGGCATTAATTTGATATTCTTCTACATAAGAGCAACAGGTCCATTGCAGAATGTTTGATGTACAACTTGGTCTTCTCATGACAACTGTTACTTTTCATCTGTTCTGAGAGTGTTTTGTCTTCTCGATCTCAGATCAAGCTCTTTCATTACAGCCGGTTCTTGCTTTTTCCTTTGCTTTGATATAGTGTTTGTCGTCATAAAACCGATCTTATCAAAAGCAACCTGTAGAGATATAGGGAAGGTTGCATTTCATGGTTCGTGGCAGAAGAATGATTCAAAGTGATACACCGAGTCCATAATCTTAAAAAAACAAGAGCAAGAAAGCAAGAATAGGTCTGCTACTCTTTAATTCACCACTCCGTGGAAAATGAGGAAAGAGGCATGAAAAGTAACAGAAGAGAAGAAAAATGAAGGGATAAATGATGACTTGTCTTACCGTCAATAACTCATCAGGATCGAAAAGGTGATGAGTCGTTCTCTGTAATATATTAATAGCGTCACCAACCTGATGCGTTAGAAGCAACTCCTCTTCCTTCATCTGCAGAAGCAAATCAAAACTTAAATTAGTTCCCATGGTATTGTTTTAACGGTTTTTAGCATATGCATTAAAGAAATTTTCCAACTTGACTAGAAAAGTGAAGAGCACATGGCAATGACATTTGCACCTTAAACATAGCCAAAGCTATATGAAAAAGGACCTTAGCCCCCTCATAGAAAAGGACATCCCACACCCGCAGAGTTGTCTGGACAAATAGCCCAACAAAGAGAAAACATAAGATAGTCAGAAAGCAACCTCGAATAAAATTGTCGCCATCTGCAAAGAGCAAATGAGAGATTCCAGAAGGAGGGAGGTTGTAATGAAATATTGTTCAAACCTCTGAAGGCAAGCTTTTAGAAAAGAGGCACAGGAACCACTCAGTAGCAACAAGGGAGACATCAAACTCCAATGCTTCCAAATGAGCAGCAATCCTGCATTTTAGTTTCTCCAATTTTAATAAAATAAACCCGACCTTAAGCATGTAGCTAAAACAGTTTAATTTATCCAAATAAATAGAACGGTTTAATCCTCAACAGAATACCTTGGACACTTCTTAGCAAGCAAATCTTTAAATACCCTTTGCTCAACGTGGCATCCGGATAAGTTATTTGTGTAGCAGTCATTAACTAAAACATTTTCAAGGAGAACGGCAAGCATCCAAAATGCATCTTCCTCTGTTTTCATAACTAGCAACAATAACGCTGCAACATAGTTTAAGCCCTACACCAAGAACAAATTTTGTCTCTAATATAAAAATACAATTAGTTGAAGAATTAAAAAAAAAAAACGTGATTACTCAAAAAAATCAAAGCAAGATGAACTGACAGTTAAAGTCACAATAGTAAGGACAAATTGGTTTCAATGAATGCAACTCCATTAGTTCTTTCTATTAAATTGATATGGTAAAAATGAAAGGGAAAAAGGAAAAAAGAAGAAACCAATCACAGCATGCATTAAAATGTGTATATCAAAAAATTCAGCACAAGTGATATTTCTCATGTTACGGGTAATATAATATCCCACGTCAAATTTGGTACAAATAATTAGTAGACAAAAGTAATCAAAGAAACCTATGGAATAATGACGTTTACTTAGGGTTGAAGCTCAAGGACATGGACACTTGGACAGAACTACAGAAATGGAAAAGTTCTATTTTCCTCTTCACTGGGTTATGGCAGATAGACATAAAATGCAGAAGCAGGATTTACTTATCAAGCTTAAATATAAATAAAAACTTTGGATACACTAAACTTGCACCATGAAACCAGTCTAGCTTTGTTGCCAAAATCATATGGTAGAATTGCAGAATAAAACTGCATCCTATACATTGTTGAAACCATAAAATAAGAGTACTGCCTTGTTAACTGTCATCATGGACCAAAAAAATACAAGCCAATGGGTATGAGACATGCATGATTCAACCACCAAAAGAGAAAGAAATCCTTCAAGGGGAAAATAGAAAACTAGAAAAGGGTGTCTTTTACGCAACAAATAAACAGCGTTACGTGTATCTGTAGCTTAAAGGCTGTAAGATAACAAGTGTTGAAGAACTAACCTGACAGTAGCCTACATCAGAATCACGAAAAGAATACACCACAAGCACACGCCGGAGAGCAGCATGGCCCTCTGGAGTGTCCAACCATGGGTGACCAGGGAAGGTTCGTGGAAGGTCCTGCAAGTATATATGATAAAGGCTCAAACCAAATTTTGCCTAATCTAAGAGAAATGCAACAACATAACTGAAATATGGACTAGAATTCACAGCACAGTAACGAAAATTTTAATTATTCATCTACTAAACTCCATGCTCAAACATCACAATTCTAGTTTATATCCAATCAACAATCTTGTGTCAAACACTCTTATTGGAATTTCACAAAGCACTTTTCAAAGATACACTTGTCAATTCTTCTGTTTTTGATTCAATAGGCTCAGTTGCCAGTGCACAACCTTGGTTGCACTCATCTAAAAAGGAAAGTTCACATGCTCTAGCCTAAAGAAAAGAGCATGATATAATTTTCCCTTCTGTCAGGTTGTATTGAAAATTTGGGTCCCCAGAGCACTGACAGGCACAGCTTCACACTGAAGAGATTATCAAGTGCATTGAGTAAATCTTTGATCTTGTCCAGGCATAAGTATATATCTTCGTTCATAAACTTATTATTAGTTTAAATAAATGCAATTATTGCTGAAAAACATAGAAAACTGAAATTGCTAAGATACTTCCAATAAGATGTTCAAATTCAATAGAGCATTTACTCACATTGATATAACTTCTAATTCTGCATTGTCAACATTATATGTTTTCAGTTCCAACCTATTGAGATTAAATTACAAAAGCAGCCTTTTTGTCAATAGATCAGATATGCATTTCCAAATTAACCACACCTCTAGAACAAGACCAGATAAATATCACATCCAAAAGCCATAAATGTAAACAAGATCCAAATAAAAATAGAAAAGAAGGGGAAAAAGAAGAAAAGAACCACAAAAAATAAAAAGAAAATTCAATGAAGCAAATGCAAAACACCCTTAATGCATGAACTTACATGATCAATCTGCCGTGTAGCAGGTGTGACCTTACCCTCTACCGCCTTTGTCAAATCATTATAATAGCTTTCGGGCACCGTAGATTTCTTCTTGGCGGCACCCGAAAGCGAAAACCAAATCTTAGGCCTAAGCACAGGGGGAACACCTTTCCTAATAAGCTTCTTCAATGTAATAGCATTAGCCAAAACTGACCATTTGAGTGAAGATTTCAACACAATTCCTTCAGATATTGAAGAAACCTGTGGCTGCAAATACCAATTCGCTCCTTTGCTAGCTTCAAGTGCCCACCAAACACGCCCTTGTTGTCTTACCTTTTCTCTTACCTCATTCAGTACATTAACATCATCCACATTGCCTTCTACTGTGAACCCATAAAGGTCTTGGAATTTCACTGTTATATTTGCTCTTCTTGAATGGATGCTCGGCCTTAAAATTGAAAATTGTGCTTGCAATTCCAAGGCAATGTCCCTTTTGCTTTGGGTACCAAACATTTTGCCTTTTTCGTTGGTTGATAGATCAAGAGAAAAGAAGAAATGGGTTATCAGGGCTTTGTCAAACAATGTGAGAAAGCTACAAGCTTGGAACCATGAAAAGGTCAATTTTTTGAAGCTTGAAAGCCTGGAAATTTGAAGAAAGCCTGAGTCTTGCAAATGGTTTTTGCTTAAAGAATTTGATTTGAGGAAGAGTTACAAACAACACAGAAAAAACTCTCACATTTGGATATGGCTATGGAAATGCCTTTTTATGTTATAATAATAAAAAAAAAGTGAAAATGGAATTGTTTTCAAAAGCAAGAATAAGCAAAAAAGAAAAAGAAAAGCAAAACAAAGCCCAGATAACAGATTTTTTTGTTCTGCAATTACAGAGATAAAAGCAAAACAAAAATTTTCCAAAAAAAGGAAATTGAATTATTGTTTTTCTTAATTTCTTCAAAGGAAATGGACGACTCAGATAGAAGAACAGTAGGCAAATTTATTGGTGGATAAAAATCAAAGCTTGAGAATATGTAGAAAATTAGGAGGTCTGAGATGGACTTCATCTTCATCTCTCTTCCTCAATCCTCATCACCAAAAATACTTAACTCATCTGATAATAATAATAATAATAATAATAATAATAATAATACACAAGAAAAAATAAATGCAAATTTTTTATTTTTATATTAATATTTTTGTTCATTGAAAAATTAGTGCTTCTATATATTTTCTTATTCACTAGTTCATGAGTCATTGCATTGCACATTTTATATGTTAGATTTTTTTTTTATTTTTAGAATTTTGATTATAAGATTTACATTTTTATTGAATGTTGAATATATAGTAGTGATAATAAAAATAGGTAAATATTTTTTTAATTTATATAATTAAATACTCTTTTAATTACATTTGAAATTAATTTTAATTTTTTCAACTTGATATGGCTAAAATTTATATATAATGAAATTGATTAAATAGAATTAAAATTTTTATCCATACCATAGATAAATCTAATTATCATTAATCTATATCTGCTATTTTTATTTATTTTAAATTATGATAATTATATAAATAATATAATTTTAATTTTAAAATATAATAATAAAGTATTCTTAGTCAAGTAAATCATCTTTTAATGGAAGTAATTCAATAAAATTAAAATTGTTACATAATTAAAAATATAATCAATAAAAATTATTTTAATTTGTACTTTAAAAATAAAATAAATATTTTTTTTTGTCAATCAAAAGTTTTATACACATTTTATCTCAAAAATCAAATTTATTCACATTCGTACATTAACATATTTGTTACTCTTTTGTTTTCTAAAATTTGATTATAAAATTGACAAATTAATGGATTTGAATATATAGTAGTAATAATAAATATAAATAAATGGTTTTTAATTATTATTATTATTATTTTAAAATTATATTGGAAAATAATTTTTATTTTCTTAATATGACTACAATTTAGAAATATAATCAAAATTCCAAAACAAGTAATATTGTTTAGTAAAAGTTATTCAATAAGATTAGAATTAAATATAAATCCGATAAATCTCATTGATTTTCAATAAAAAAAACTTTACATTAATTCTTTTATACTATAGATTATATAAATATAGATAAACTATAAATGTAGATATATATATTATGATTATAAATATATAGATATAGATTATAGATTATAATAATTAAATAAAATAAACCTTCTATTTGTTTTTGCGTAAAAATTTTTGTTTCAATTGGCAATGTTGCCATAAAAAATGTGAAGATGTTTTAGATATTATAATTAATGTATTTTTATCGTTTTTATTTTATATAAATATTTATAATATATAAAAATTATTATCAAATTTATATCATTAAATATAAATTATATTATTTTTTGTCAGATTACCGTACCATTTAAAATCGATTTGATGTAACCTAAGGACGTGAATAATTGTACACTGTGACCCACCGCTCGAAGTCGAGCCGAGCTGGCAAATCTACGAGCCCCTTTGCCTCAGCCCACGAAATAAAAGGATCTTACATGCACTCAATGTAAAAATTGTTAATAAAAAATCAGTTATTAAATTCGAATTTAAATTTTTTATATTAAAGTAATCAATTGATAATATTTTTAAATTTAAAAATAAATAAATTATTTAAAATTTTAAATTAAAATAAATTATATTATATTTAAAATTTTAAAATAAATTATTTTAAATTATATATTTAAAATAATCTTAATAAATAATTATCGATAAAATTTAAATTTAAAAATTTTTTTATTTAAAAAAAATAAATTTTATTCAATTCAATCAATTTTAAAATTTTCAAATTGCAGGCTTTGCAGTCTAATCACAATTGGACAATTGGAAATTTTGTGTGCTGTTGGATTTTGTGGTTATTGGGACTTTGCCACTTTGGTTAGCGTCATGGCAACGTCAAATACGAAGAAAATGGGCCGGTCAAATTTGGGGTTTAAAATCCACCCCCATATCGTATCCGTACATTAACAATGATAATTTTAAAATATTTTTTATAAAGATTTCAAATCATGGTTGATAATAACAAAGTTTTTTTTTTTTTAATCAAGTGAAGTAATCCTTGTGATTAAGTAATTAAATATTATTATATCAAAAAATTTTAAGTATGTTTTATTATTAATTAGTAATTTTAATCAAACATAAAAAGTTTATTAATTTAATTATGGTGTTATTGTGTGAATTTTATAAATTTTATTTAATTACTATGGATTTTATTATAATTCTTTTAATCTTTCATTCTATATTTGTGCATGTGTAGATATAATATTTCCCTTATACTAAATGAAGAATATTGAAGAAAGATTAGAAAAAACATGTTGAGACAATCATAAGAGATTGGTAAACGAAAGATTGAAAGTCAACAAATTGATCCTCGGGTGCAATGCAAGCGGAGTTAATCCGTTCTCTCTTGTTAAATTTAATAATTTAAAATATAATACAAATATAATAAAATATATTAAAATAATATAAATATGTAAATTTTAAAATTTTTCACGATAAAAATATATGAATCGTCTGATCCATTTCCCATACGCTCTACCAAAACAAATGCCGGCATATTTTTTCTAAATATTTTATAAAAATTTTCACCAAAATTTATTAGGTCAATAATGTATTAATTATATATTTCTTTTCTTAAATTTAAAGCAAATGTCCCCTTCATCTACGGTTGAATTAATAAGAAAAATGTTAACCAATGTCTAATGATACTAAGATATTTAAAAATCAACAACAAAAATAATTAACGTATTATTTCTTCTTGAATTTGGTAAAAATAATATTTAAAACACAAAAATATTTTCATAAATAATAAATTTTAAAAAAATCATAGTTTAGTGATAATAAAAAAAATTACAACTTGTAAATACTGAAATTTGAATTCAAAACTTACTAAATATTATTTTTTAAAAAAATTAATTGCTTAAATTAAATGAATTACGATTTAAATTTTCATAAATAATAGTTTTAACTATTTTTTAATGGTATTTATAGAAATCGGTTCACCGAAGTCAATTAATAACGACAACAATGGAGTGTCAAGATTAATCATACCTCCAAAAGAAGCAAAAAAAAAAAAAACTTAGGAAATTAAGGTAAATTTGATGTTAATTAAGAGTTTACAAGTCAAAAAAAAAAAAAAAAGAAGGAAATTTTGACATGTTTGGTTTCCAAACTAACCTACTCATTCTTGACGTATGCTCATGTTAGCATGAGCTATTTTTTTTTTTAATGTATTTTCTAAATTTTTTTTCTCTATAATGTACTTTTAGTTGTACTTTCGGGGATGAAATTTTTTCTAAGGAAGTCCAAATTTCTTGAAGATGAATTCAATCTTTCATGGAAAAATTATAATTTTTTTAGCATAATTCAAAACTTAATCTTTATAATTTATTTGTTTATCAACTAAGATTGATAAAAGTGATAAAAGACAAATGTATTTAGATTCAAAATTTTCCCTATCTTTTATTTATAAAACGATATATAAATTTAAAAAATTCAATGGATTCATAAATTTTAATTAAGTTGTGGGTTTATCTTATCTTTGAAAATGAGATAATCTCTTCTGCTCTTAAATATTTTTTGGATAAAAATTTTTTTTTTATTTTAAACTGTGATTTTTTAAGAAAAATTAATATAAAATATATATGTGATTAAAAAATGTTTAACCTATTCGTTTGAGGTACTATGATTTTCAGTGTCCAATTCACAGGTAAATCCCAACCATTAATTGGAAAAAAAAAAAGTAAAGCATATGTTCGAATCATTTAATTTAAACAGCTAATTATGGAGAGTTTTGTTCATTAATAATTCATTAAGATGGTTGGGTACAGGTTCAATTAATTAGCAATGAAAGCGACGCCATGATGAATAATATACTGACTTTGTTTTAAATTTCGTCAGTTGATTTTACACTGTACCAACTAACCTGTTATGTAAGACCTGCAGGCTGCAGGAGTTAAAATCCCATCATAATTGCATTTATTAAAAATGGCATCAAAATAATTTGGCACTTAATAAAGTACAGCTAATTATACATATATAATGTTATCTAACTATGTGTTAAAATAATTAGACATAATGACATAATTTGTAAATAAATCAAATGTTCATAAACAATAATTTTTTTGTGTTTACTTAATTGATTTTTTTTATTACATTAAAAAAATAAAATCTTAATAAAAGCAAAAGGAAAGAAAAAAAATCTGATTCGAAATTAAATCTTTGATATCTCATCAAACACCGTTAACCATTAAGTTAAAGGCTTGCAGATTACTTAATTAATATAATATCAGAGACTAAATATCAGCTAATTGATAGTTCTATAAAATTTTCATTTTGTAATATGATCTTATCTTCTGAATAATTTTGCAGTCTTGAGATATGATATGTAGATGCAAAAAATAGGAAAAATGTTTCTCCTGTCCCCTGGAATATTAATATTGTTCCTCAAAGCTGCTAAAATTTGAAAGAATCTATGGAAATATGCAGACATAAAGAGAAGAAACACTATCAGAGCATGAAAAAGTGATCAGCCAAAACATTATTTCACTGCTATAAATCTGCTTGATGTTAAGAACAAAGTTTACATATATAAATATATATATATATATATATATATTTTGGTAACTATTTTTCACTATCACCAATTCCATGAACACGTGAAAGCATGAACAAGGAGATCAAAGAAGAAATGAATAATCAGAAATGCCTGGCTTTCCCATGTACGCCGTTGAAGATTTTTGTATTCCGATGAATAATATCTCTTGGCCTTGAAACGATGAATATTATTATATTCTTCCAAGCAAACCTCAGGCCAACGTCGACGTTGGAAGTGCCTGATCAGTCGCCATAATCGAAAACTTCATCAGAAACTCCAAGGTTGCCAGAAAATACTTGAGCATGATGAAACTATAATCAATCTCTTGCAAGCAAGCGATAACATCATGATGTTTCTTCCTCTTCTTCATGGCTTTTTTGGGCTTTGGCTGCTCCTTCACAAACCCAAGTTTAATTTGAATGAAATGGTCAAAAAAATGAAGGGATTGTCTAGG